GGTTTACGGACTTCGTCAGGCTCCTCGTGAGTGGCACGACACCCTGCGTTCTACCCTGTCTGACCTTGGGTTCCAGCCGTCTTCTGCTGACCCGTCGCTGTTCGTTCGTCGTGGCCCCACACCTTTCTTTGTTCTGGTCTACGTTGACGACCTTGTTTTCGCCACCCCTGACAGGGTTGCTTTGGCACACGTGAAGTCCGAACTGCAGAAGAGACACACCTGCACTGATCTTGGTGAGCTGCGCCACTACCTTGGCCTGCAGATCACCAGGGACAGAGCTGCTCGCACCATTACACTTTCACAGTCGCACATGGTGCAGCAGGTCCTTCAGCGGTTCGGGCTTCAGCACTCCACAGTACAGCGCACACCTCTTGCTGTTGACCACAGACTCACTGGACCCTTTCCTGACGAGCCGTTCGAGCCTAGTGGTCCCTACGCAGAGCTTGTGGGTTGCCTCATGTACCTGATGACTTGTACTCGCCCGGACCTCGCCTTCCCTCTCAGCGTTCTTGCGCGCTTTGTTGCGCCAGGGAGACACCGTCCTGTTCACTGGACAGCAGCTGTGAGGGTGGCGAAGTACCTAGCGACGACGTCAGGCGTGGGGCTAGTTCTTGGAGGGCAGCAGTCTGTCGTACTTACTGGTCACTGTGACTCCTCTTACGCTGACGACGCTGAGACTCACAGGTCTACTCAGGGGTACTGTTTCAGCCTGGGTTCTGGAGCTGTTTCCTGGCGGTCCACGCGCTCCTCTTCGGTCTCGACCTCTACAGCTGAGGCTGAGATCTACGCTGGTGCCATGGCGGCACAGGAGCTGCGTTGGTTGACCTTCTTGCTCACCGACCTTGGTGAGCGGCCGAGCTCTGCACCGACCTTGTTCACTGACAACAAGGCGTCTATTCTCCTTTGTCGAGAGCCACGACTGGAGAGCAGAGTGAAGCACATTCACGTCAGGTACTTTCTTCTGCGAGAGTTGCAGAGGCGTGGACAGGCTCGCTTTGAGTTTGTGGAGTCCGAGGCCAACACTGCAGACATCTTCACCAAGGCGCTTCCGCCTTGTGACCACCAGAGGTGCTGTGTGCAGTTAGGCCTTGTTGACACTGGTTCTCGTGTTGCTTAGACTTGAGTGTACTGTTTACTTTGCTTTCTATATACCTCTGTTACTTCTTGGACTGGCCTTGTGGCCACTGTTGTTTGTGCTCAGACTGTGTGGTGACGTTGTGATCCACCCTGAGCTTCGTTTCTTGGACTGGTCTTGTGACCGTACTCGTTTGGTTCTGCTAGACACCCCTCACTTAGGCTATGGGGGTGTGTCAAATGTTGTAGCCTATAGTGAGGTTTGTCTTAGGGGGTACAAAACTTAGGGTTAGCTATATGTACCCCAACCAACAACAATGCATCATCCATTCTTCATTCTGACACTACATCACGAGAAAAATCTGCTGACGCAGCATGTGACTCAGATACATCATCATCTGAGTCATCGTGTGAATGAATTCACGCGCGCTCATGCAAAAACGTACACGATATGACCTGATTCAACATGAAGTTTTTATATTTCGTTTATAAGACATACATGTCTTATCCCATATCGGTAATGTGGTCTCCTATAAAAGGAACTTCCGTTTATAAGAAAACACCCGTATTACCGTAATCCCCCGGACATACCACCCCCCGAAATAGAGCACCCCCCGGGTGGCTTGTGCGGGGGGGGTGCTATAGCGGGCCTCGTTTCTACTATACCCCCCCTTTTGGGGGCATCCTATATAGCACCCGGGGGGGGTGTTATGTACGGGTATAATTGCAGTTTTTGCCTAAGTAGCACAGGGTTTCCAATGATAATCCATCTACAAGTTAACATTAGCAGAAACAAGCTACATATGACGCAATTAGCGGTTACACTCCGACCACAAAGTCTTTCCTACAGTCAACAGGGGCCTACTACCATCTAGTCAGAATGCTAACTACCTCGCAGATAAAGCCCACCCTCCTACTCCTCGTCCCCAGCATGCCATTCCTCAACCTCCTCCCCGTCAAAGCGGTCGGGGAGCCACCAGTCAGAGCCGGCCTCGCTCCACTCATCTGCATCCCCATCTTCTCCAGCCCCGTACCCTTCCCCATCGCCGTCTTCCGCCTCCGCATCCTCCTCGTCCTGCTCCACATGCATGGCGTCGTCGTCCGCCTGCAGCACCTCCTCCGGCACGCGGGCCTCTTCGAAAAAGGGGTTGGGGATGACCTCGTCTTCCTCCACGTCGTTCACATCCTCCAGGACTTCCACCTCACCCTTGTCCCGCAGGTGTGCGAGGACGAGGTGGTCTTCGCTCTCGTCGAGCTTGGTGGAAATCCCGCAGGTGACGAATGATTTCCTGATCAGCTCCTCTGGGACCTCACGCCACGACTCGTCAATCCACTTCAGAACCGTCTCCGCGTGTGGCTTCTGCAGATTGCCTGAGGGAAGGGCAAGGCACACACCGAGTTGTTTGATGAAATACACAGGCAAGCATGCACAACAACACGATGGGAAAGCACGGGACGCTCTCACCTGCACGCGTCCTGGTGTTGATCCCAATGTCTTCAAACCAAGTGCCATAGCGGTGACGCGTACCGGCCTTGAACGCGCGATTCACGGACACGTCTAGCGGCTGCAGAAGCGGGGTGCACCCCCCCGGGATGACCGCCCGCGTCAACCGGAACATGCGCATGGTTTGGCCCACAGCTTCGGTCAAATGCCCGCGGTAGGAATCCAGCACGACCAACGCCTCCGCGCGGCGTCCGGCTGCTTCGCGGATGGGCTTCAGAAACGGCACAAGTACCTGAGTTATCCAGTCCTGCACAAGGTGTTCGTCCATCCACCCCTTCTCTTGTGCACGGACGATCACACCTGCCGCTCACAACGCAAGGAGAGCGTGTGGTTAGAGGCAGTGATGGATAGAACGAGTAGTGTGAAGACGGAAATAGCAGGATACGTACCAGGCGGGACGTGCACTTTGGGGATGGTTTTGCGTTTGAAAACCACATAAGGAGGAAGCTTCAGCCCTCCCGCCGTCACTGCCAGCATGACAGTGACGCGTTCCTTCTCGTAGCCCGCTGTGCGCACGTGAACCGTCCGCGCTCCCTTCATTTCGAGTGTACGCTCGGCTGGCATCTCCATAAATAGCGGAGTCTGATCCGCGTTCACGATCAGGTCGAGCGGGTAGTCGTGGAGGGTGCGCATCCGCATCAGGTACTCCCAGAAGGATTCAACCTTCGCCTTGCAATCTGCACGCACAACAAAGAACAGAAGAAACATTAAGTGCAAGCAGAGCCCAGATAGAGATGCATCCATTCACGGACAACTTACCCGCAGCTAACTTCTGGCCCATCTTCGTCTTCACCCGTCGAGCCAGGTGCCAGCGAGCGCAGAAACGAGCAGTCCAGCGGTGAGAAGCGCGCCAATCAACGCCAGGCATCCGATGCTTCATGAATTTGGCGCTCCACTGCTGCAGCATGCGAACCGATACGGCGAGTCCCTTAGCGCGGTGCTTAAGAAACTGCCGATACATGGCCCGTTCCATGAACGGGTACTTCGCGCGGCGCCCAGCTCCCATAAGGCGACGGCGGCATCCAGAGGCGACCGCCAGACGCTCTTGCATTCCACTCGCGAATCTGGCAGGGCTGCACCTTCGCCAGCTTGGCCAAAGCTCGATTCGACAGGTCCGGCTGCGATTCCTGCAGTTTCAGCCAGTGGAGCTTCTCCTTGGCGGTGTACGCATGACGAGTGCGTTTCGTCATGCGATGACGTGGGGAAGGAGCGTCGGCATCCGCGTTGCGCTTCGGAGGTCCCTGGGGGCGTGTGTGTTCCAGGAAGGAAGGAATCTTCACCTTCGGCAGCGCCGGCAGAGGACGGGCCGCGCTGCTGCTCGGTTCATCGTTGGTGGAGCGACTCACGGGGGGTGACGGCTGCGGGAGGATGGGCCGGGGCGAACGCCGTGTGCCCGCAACAGTGGGTGACTGGGTGACGGAAGGCCGCTGCCGCCTAACCACTGTGCTACTGGAGTCTGGAGATGTAGCTATCTAAGCCTAGTGAACGTTGGTGTCACAGGCCATTGAAAGGTGAATTTATGCTAGGAAAGGGATCGACGAGGCAGGTGGTGTTAGCACACTCTGCCGAGCATTGCTCGAGTTCGTGGAGTGGAGACGCTGCTCAGAAAGAAGGATCAACTCCTCCTCAGCACAATGACGTGACCGCCCCAGCGAGGCAGCTGAGGCTGTTGCGGGCGCTCCGCCTTTGTGACTGCATGAACCCTCGTCGAGCGACGAGGGGGTGTGTTTTCGACCAATCAGGGCCTGGCAGTGGGCCTTGTTGGAGCTTGCAATGTGGCAGCTAACCCTCGACAGTAACGTTATCGCCCAGTCCTCGGTTTTGCGCACCCAACCAACAATCTACCACCACGTGAAACATGTACATTTTGTTCTCAACCGGATCTGCTATAAAAAAAATATACATTATGTAAAGACCCGGGTGCAATGTAGCTTTTTCCGATGACAAGACCCCCCCCCCCCTTTTTTTGTGTAGTTATCATAGCACCCTAGGGTGGTATGTCCGAGGGAATACGGTAAAGACACCCATGTCTTCAATTCAACACTATCTTCTATCCAGGTGATGACGGTAGTCATTTTACATGATGCAGGCTAGACAGCTCAAAGCTGCAAACCTATACGCTGGTTCTACTATCTACATAGTGCTCATATCACCGTGACTACAGCAGGTGTTTGTGGTACATACCCATAGAGCGAGCGAGTATTGTAGTGCCATGGAATATCAAATTTAGTCTGAAGTTTATCTGCTGTGCACAACTCTGGAAAAAAGAACCTACTGGGAGTATACCTTGAGAGATAACATAGCTAGCACTACAAGCAAAGCAACCAACCAACCCCACCATGCTGTTTAAGGAAAAAAACTTTATTGTTGAACTAGGCATAAAAACACAGATGATTGTATCCTATCATACACCAGATGGCCTCTATTTCTTGCCAAAGAGCCCGAACACACTGGTGAGTGCCTTGATGGCATTCTCGTTGATGATTGGCTCATCGTACCTGTCCATGAGCTCATCAAACTCGTCATCGTCTCTTAGGTAGGACAGGTCAGGGTCTTGGCGGATTTTCTGCAATTAGCGTGGAGACAAAGATACAAAGGAAGGAAACGAGATTTAGGCGGAGAATAGTAATGCAAGAGCATTACGGTTCCACGCCCAGACAGCCACACTGCAGCATGCTATTTGGCAGTTTAGTTTACCGCTCTCACACCACATGAGCTTGAAAATCCCCAAGAGGAACGCATGCTGTGTCAGATCAGCCCTACACCCATAAAATCTTGCCTTTTTCTCTCAGACATGCCCTCACGCTCTTGCCAATGTGTTTTCTCTGCGTCTCACCTTGTAGTCATCGAAGCCCGCCTCCATCGCCGCCTCTAGAGCCTGAAGGCCGCCCTCAACCTGCAGTGAGGAATAGATGAACATAGGCGAAAGGATGAGCGTTGTGGTCGAGTGTTTAGGGAGATGTCAGAAGGTCACTGCGAGTCACTCATGTCAGCCATCGCACTGCGTCAGTTTGATGTACCAGTGATCCCGATCATGGATAGCGCAGTTCACTAGTCAAAAGTGCGTCTTTCGCAACCTGCGAAGTGCTCATTGCAATGCACCCTCCACTGCTAGAAATCAATTCCAGGCGGAAGTCAACCCAAACCGATTCGTACCACGCGCAATGACTTCGCGCAGGCAAAGGTTATTCAATTGAAACCTTTGCTACGAAAGCACAGCACATACTTTTCCACTTATATGTTCGTCGCGGCTGCATCTGCATGGCATCTTTCTGGCTGGTTTCCATTATTAACTGCGGCGGCGTAATACTACCTGTTTCAGCATTAACGAAGCACGGACAAACGAAGAAAAAAACCCGAGGACCCTTACCCAAGCTCCGAGCAATAGCTCGGAGCAATTGCACGGAGAAAGAAATACTGTCCCAAGAAGCCTCACCTTCTTGAGCTTGGAGCAGCAGCACGCGATGTTGTAGAACGCCACGGCCTCCTCGCGGTACGACGGCACCAGCCCGATGATCGTCTGAAACTTCTGCATCGCCTCCTCGTACTTCCCCGCCCTGCCACGTGGCAACGCCAAACACAGGATCCCGAAACACGATTGAGCCCGGCTAATTTTCTCACACCAGGTTACCGGGTTGGTGCAGAAGGGAGTGGTTTATGTCAAGATGATGATTTCTCAGGATGGGGTCCGAAAACATAAAGAGGATCATGCATTGCTGCTTAAGGCTTACTTGTAGAGCTGGAGACCTTTGTCGAGAGCAGCGACGCGCTGTTCGGCCTGCTCTTGCCGGAGCGCCGCATTCTCCATCTGCTTCTCGCGGATGGCATCGCCGTAGTTGCCGGCCGCTCGCTCCTCCAGGTACTTGTCCTTCTTCCACGGGCCGATCTTTTGCCCTGCGGTAAGAGAACAACGCAAAGACGATGAACATCATTGAGGATTCTAAAAAATGACTACTCCAGGTACTTGCCCTTCTTCCAGGGACCAACCTTTTGCCCTGCGATGTAAGAACAAAGCAAATTGGATGGACGTACACACATGTAAGAAGAAGAATCAGGCTGTGGCGTCAACTGAATGATTATCGTCGCTGTACACATTGCAGTTTCAATGCAACTCCAGCCGTGCATAATGTCCGAGTATTAAAGCTCTAAGGCGGATTTCATCCTTCCAAACACAATGAATTCGACACGAACTCACCTCCCATTTTCTCGAGGCGGACCAGCAGCGTGCCGACGCGCTGCCTGACGGTGTACATGACGCGGCTGTACTCCGCAGCGGGCCACATCTCGTTACCGAACACGGCGCTCGTTGCAAGCACCTTGTCGCCCTCCTCTATCTGCTTGCTCAGAATCCCCGATTGCCCGGGGTACAGCGCGTCGATGTAGATCGCGCCGTCCTCGCCGCGGTAGAATTTGAGGCCGTACGGCCGCTCCAGCTCCACCTCGATGATCTCCCCCGCACGGACCTGCACCGCGCCGGATTTCGCGGCGGGAGATGCGGCGGCGCGTGTGGTGGCTTTCAGGGTGGGGAGGCGAGCGCCCTGGAAGAAAGGGGTGGCTGAGCTGGAGGCGGCTGATGACGTGGACATGGAGGAGGGGAGGGTGCGGAGTGAGCAGGACATGGTAGTCTGCTGCGCGGATGCTGACGTGGCAGCGGTGCGCGACGCCGAGGCGTATGAGGCGACGGAAGCAGCGGCATGAGCAGTGACGGACGCCATGGCTAGACAATGACAACGCAGAGGAGCTCTTACGGGGGGCTCGTACCAACGTTGAAATCGCGAAGAAAAGGCGCAGAACAGAAACGCCGTCAAATTGGAATCGTTAGCCGAGAACAGAGATAGCCGAGAGCATATACGAGATGGGAATGGGTAATTCTGATTCCTGACAGGAAATCCCAAGGCCTGGATTTCTCCGACTTCCCTGATTCCTGCTGGCGCTTGGCTTGGGAAATTGGTGATGTGCAGAGAGCTCAAAATTGGAGGGGGGAGAGAAGGCACGATACGACAATGATTGGTGGATGTTGTGAAGTGCTGAGCTGTCGGGATGCGACGAATCGATGTTCAAGTTTCTAGGAAGGGGGATGCTCCAAAGTTTGGCGGGAATGCTGACTAGGATGCTCAAGTGGTCTCGTGCCCGTCCATCATGGCAACTGGGGGTCTCCAAGATCGTTTGATCCTGGCTGTGAGAGGATACACGTGGAGGAGGTGAACTGGTGTGAGGGCTGGTGCTCAGAGGTTCCACGTAGGTGGAATACTGCTTCATCAGGTGGTCCGAACCAAATCGAACGGCGAAATGGCGATCGAATTGCGAAGGCTAGGCTGGAAACCGAGTTCGCACCTTTGGAGTCAAGGTGGATCGCAAGCAGCACACGATGTGTGAGGTTAGGGCGCGTGTCTTTTGGTGTAGAGGTTCGAAAATAAGGTCGACCTTACGCTGGTAACTCTATTCGTGAATTTCGTACACTAAACTTCGCACGCATCGTGTGTCCTCCCTTGTCAATGGGTGTGAAGTTGGAAAACAAACTTGGGTCGACCTCACGTTCAAACTTCGAAGAGCACGTAAGGCCAACCGTGTTTCCACACAACCATGAACCTCGAGAATGCGAAATCCGCGACGCTCGCAAATCACATCTCGCGCACAAGCGACTCCAATCACACGTGTCGCGCTGTCAAGGCGTGAGAACCGGGTAACCTACATTGGTTGAGCGCGGCTCGAATGTGAGTGTAGAAAGTCGACCCTAAATGTCGAACTTTTGTGTGCCATGTGATGTTTGTGAAAGTTGGAAACGCGGCTCGAGCCCAAAAGTTGAGATACTCGAGTACAGGTCGACCTAGGTTCAAACCTAAAAATTCGACTTAAAATCGTGAAATTTTGGCCAAAAACCAAAAGACACGCGCCCTTACCCCCCCTTCTGTCGCAAACACAGCAAATTGCTTGATGACAGTCTTGCCATGTCGCTAACACAGGTCCGCCATCGCCGTCAGTTTCGTGAACAACTCAATTGCCAAACATCCGCTCTTTCTGTTCAGCGGCGACAAATGTCAATTGGACTGCAGGAGACCCCAGTGTGCATGTCATATCTTTGTGATCGAGTGACCATTTGTGGAACCGGTGGATTGGACGCACAGCTTGAAAATTAATATAAATCATGTCTATATTATTTTTATTTAATTAATTAATTACAAGAGAGGGAGCCTAAAGCAACTAGGGATGAACAGACTCTCACTGCTCATTTGATCCATCCTCATAGTATCCACCCTCTTCCAGCCACTCGGGTGCAGTCTCACTCCAGGACCTGGAAGGAACCCCTGTCCATTGAAATATAATCTTTTCCAGGCCGGAAAAGAAACCAATAGAGTCGAGAAGAGGGTTGCATGCTCCACTAACGATGCAGTAATTGGCGTTATAAGGAGGACGGTGGTGCGCGCCGTGCATCTTTCTGGAAACTAAGAGGCCGGCGTCTTGGAGAATGGGGACGATTGGAGGGAGGAGGACGCGGGGCGTGTGCGACCAAGCGTGGAAAAGCTGGCTGAACATAACGGAAGCGAGGAAGACGCTAAAGAAAATATCTTGCTCGGCCGAATGCGGGAGCAATAAAATGAATGGGAGCGTGGAGAAAAGAATAGGCTTCGCGAGCACGTGCAGATTGTTCGCGAATTGTCGCTTGGTGATCGTCCACGGCCGCTTGTGGTGACCCTGAAACGCGTCGATTTGGGGCCCAAAAATCGGCGTCGAACCGTCGCCGTAATTATCGATTCCAAAGTGATACACGCCTGTTCCGAAATCAGCAAGTAAATACGCTCCAGCAGCCGCTGCAACTGCGCCCAGCACGGCTGTGACGCTCGCATCGTCCACAGTGGTCAGCACGCCGCGAGCGAACAACGCGGCGAGGGCCACGCAAGCGGAGGCCACCCACGCTCTATGCTCATCGGTCGAGACGAGGCTCGTGTCCGTCAGCCCCATCGTTTCTATCTTCTGCACCACGGAGTTAATCGCCGCCGCAGTTCCCGCTGCAGGCGGAGAGCTAGCAGTCGCCTCAAGCGCCGTGAGCGCATTCGAGACGACGCGTGGGGATGCGCTTGCGCGGACATCGCGTGGGGGAAGGTTTGCGCGGACGCGGAGAGATGCGAGACACGGCGCGGGCGAGAGCCTTGTCGCGGGTGTCGTTCTCGAGCAGAGGCGAAGGCCGTGGTGTAGGGCGATTGAGGGTGCCATGATAGGCGTGGTGTAGCGGTGAAGTCTGAACCGAATCCAACCGAGGCTGTCCCAAGACTTCGAGAGACTACTCAACAAATTGGACTGGCGGCAGTTGAGAAATGGGATTTGGTATGCGGGGGTCGCGGTTGTGGTATGTATGGCATTTGAAAGCAACGCTTCTTTATCCAATTTGCTTCGTGGATGGCTAGCTTCCTCTGTAACCTCTGTGAGCCTCCCGAGCGGTAACTGCGGCTGTGGCGGTGGTGACCTCTGAAAGCCTCCCAAGCGGTAGCTGCGGCTGTGGCTCTTATTCCTGCCCCTCATCACATCGCATCTGCCCAGTCCAGACACTCGGTCTCTGGCTGGATTGCTGAGTTGTTCGTGCGTGGTGACACCCAAGGCTCGCCCCCTATGGACGGAAACGCACCACGCCGCGCCGCGCATGACCCGCATATTCGTAGAAAACCCTGCCGCACATTTGTGCTAGGGGGAGGGACGAGGGAAAAATGTCTCTGCCGATGTGTCAAATCCTGGTGCGTCGATCTGAGGCTTGCGAACCTGCACCGGCTTCTACGGTGGCAGCTCGTGGCTTAGGATCACACGTGTCTGCAAGCCACGCCACAAGCTCAGCCAATAGTACTGCGTCTCCAAACCACCACAAGTCGTCAGCCCACTGGTTCTTTCAAGGCAAGCTCCGTGCAGAACCCGTTATTGCGTGACGCAGCAAGGTGGACGAGCAGACGCATAACGAAAACCGCATACATGCAACCTCTTAGAAGCTTATTAAGTACCAACTCCATGTACTTGTTGCATACATAACATCTGCTTTGCAACTATTGTCGCCCTTCAGACGCCAAGAATGCCTGCACATGACAGAAAGGAAAATGCCGTCAACAGACAAGTGCGTATAATGGTTAGTCGAGGATAGGAAAGTGAAAGCAGACACATCACTCAAGGAAAAAATGGCATGTTATGCGTATTAGCTTCAACTTGCTGTACCTGTTGAGCTTGTCGTGAACACTCAACAAACTTGTTCACCACACTTGAACAAGAGAGCGGATCCTGAAAACACCACCAAAAATACACGATCAACTCAGACAAAGTGGTTCAATCACAGCCAAAACTTCAAATAATAAACAACCCATAATGCCAATTTCTTTGCAAATGGACCAGACTTTTGTACAGAACAACATCTTCTTCCCCCATACCTTCATGTTTTCAGTGTAGCATCTTAGGCATTCCTCCCTCTCAGCTTGGCAAGGCACTTCCCTAGACGGTGGTCTGCTTTGGAAAGGCGGGAAGAGGGGTTGTGGAATGAACGTGCAATAAGGCTAGAACCTTCTCGCCTACTTTCGTTTGTGAACATTAGAGCCCCAAACACGTCCGACTAAAGAATACCTGAGAGATGATGACATTGTTTTCACCTGAACTGCTGTGCCTGCAATGCATGTGCCATGTTGGCGGCACGGGCAGCCTCCTCCTGCCGCTCATGAGCAATGTCAACCCGAAGAGACTTCTGGCAAAGTGGAGATGGTGGGAAATGTGGAAGAAAAGAGAGTTCTCTTACATCAGGGAGAAGTGCAGGGAACAACGAACGGTCACAAAAGACATGAGAGGAGACGGCAGAAAATGACTGAGAACCCAGATCACAACACTCCTGCAGTGTGGTTCACACAACTCCCACACCACCCACAGCACCCACCACTTGCTCCAGAGTCTTCTCCAAGTCCGCAAGCTCCTCCTTTCTCCGCTGCACTCTGTACGCCGCCTCTGCCTCTGCTGCAAACCCCACTCCAGAAGCTGCAACAGCGGACTCAGCAGCAACAGCAGAATCGGCTACCGTGGATGCAGTCACAGCCGCGCCAAAGAACAGCGGATTAAGACTGGGAGGAAGCGGTGGAGGAGCATGCAGCAATGCAGAAGAAACGCTGGCTCCATCTGCTGCTGCTGCTCCCCCCGCCGATCCTGCTTGATTTCTGAAATGCTCCCCGCGCCCCCCTCTCCCCTTGCCCTTCTTTCCCGTTCGCTTCCGCTCCTTCTCGCTTGCTTCCTCTGCGAGCATCTTCCGCACGAACCGGTCCGTCACCTGATGCATGGCCGTGGGTGGGGTGAGGGCGGGAGAGGAGGAATGAGCAGTGGTTGATAAGAGAGCAGAGCCGCTTGAGTGAAGTGTTACGGCGTGAGGTCTCCTCTGCCAGCATCTTCCGCACGAACCGGTGACTTTTGAGTCGACTCAAAAGTCACCTCGCACGAACCGGTCCGGCACCTGATGTCTGATGGTAATGAGTGGCGCGAGGGTAGTGCGGGGGCAAAACAAAACGGGTGGGGTGGGGTGAGCGGGTGGAAAGTCGGCAGTGGTTTCGAAAGAGCAGTGCGAAACTCCAGGTGGAGTAGTGAACTGATCTGCCAGGTGGGAAGGAGAGAGGCTAGGTCAAATGCGATAAAGTCGCAACATGCGACACTTGACGGGAACCGTCACACGGAGAGAATGACTCGACAAGAAAGTAAGGAGATTCACACCTGGAGCGCCGGCTGCGGTTTATCGGATCCCATGGTTGCGAGGCGGCGTTTTGCAAAACAATGGTGACGTGGCGACGATGTGCGAGCAGGGAAATTCAGGGGATCGGGAAAGTGAAAAAGGGCTGACGAGAGATTGCGATGGAGCTGCACCCCTGAAATATCATGTAGACTTTGGTCCGAACAATCTCAAGTGAAGTTTTTGGTTCATACAGTAACAAGTTTGCAGAGTTGAGAACCGCTGCAGGCTGATATTTTACCTGGAGTCTGCTTTTAGACAGTGAATTCGTTTTTTGGTTCGGTTGTTGCGTGTCTCCAAAAGCTAAGCCCCTAGCCTCCACGATAAGCTAGTTTCCGAGCCTAGCTTCTATAGACCAGGCTTGGAAAGCTGCTCTGGCCAAATGTCAGTCTCACGTTTGGCTTCAGCCGAACCAGCGGTTCGGGAAATTGCCCAATTGGACGACGGAAGGCGCAACCAGCCACGAAGCAGTTGCTGTTGCGTGCGCGTTTTCAGGGAAGTGAACCACTCATGTACACCACGGTTTTGCAAGGTGATATGCGTTTGAAAACAGTGAGAGGAGAATCAACCATCACCGCGCAGAAAGCTTCTGAACCAGACGGAACGTAACATAAAATCGCAGATACATAGATGGAAACCATGGCTGATGGCTGATAAGAGTCGGGGGGAACTTGGCCGGTCAGTTCAGTAGTAGCCAAGTAGCTTGAAGCTATCAGACACAGGTTGAACAGCACGCTTGCACAACTAGGCGATTCGTGATTTTAGTCGTTTAAGGGGTCGCGCGTTGCTCTACTTCTGCTGCGTGGGTCCTCTAACGATAGATCTGGTTGGGGGTAGCCGAATTCTTACTTTTCTGGATCTTTGTCGAGCTTAGCCACTGTGAACTCGACGTGAGAGGCGATCACGGAACCTGCTCCTCACCTGAACATGTTATCTTAGCGCATTTGCCTTGTCTCGTTACCGCCTTCCTCAGTTCTCGAGCCATTGTCGTGAGTCATGGGAACTGCGGGTCCTTTCGCTAGCAGCCGTAGATTACGTAGTTTCCTGGCGGAACGGTGTTAATATTAGTTTCCAGTTTCTTTGTGTCTCAAGTTACGTCAGCAATTGAGCTCATAACCTATTGCTGGGGGACCCTCCTAGAGATAGATCAAGATGGTTTTCCCAATCCTCAAGCTGGGCGCATTGGCGGTCAAAACGATGAGCAAGCCTCTCGCCAATGCGATCAAGCGGAGAGCCAAGAGCCATCCCAAATTCCGGGGAACCATCATTAATTTCGCTCAGGTCGGTTCTGTACCAATTCTGTCCATTCTCTCTTCGATTCAAAGTTAATCTCCATATGCATATGACTGAGCTGTGCCTCCCTGCTCCCCAACGACGCTCTTTGACAAGCAGCGATTCCCGTTATAGACTGGATCTTGCACCTGATCCCACCCCTTCGTACTTCCAGGCACCCGTGTCTCACTAGTTGCGTCTCTTCCCATCTCTTCGTTTCATGCGCAGAGCTATCATAAGATCAACGTAGGGTTACAGCGCAGATTGTACGGCTACAGCACGAATGTGGACATCAAGCCTCTGATCGAGGAGAAGGCTGTGGAAACGGCAGCAGACCTCGTGGGCGAGCTTGTGGTCTTTGGGGTGAGTCCCATGTCTCACTAGTTGCGTCTTTCCAAAGCAGTGGGGACTGCAGCAGAGGAGACTGCAGCAGACCTCGTGGGCGAGCTTTTAGTCTGCGGGGTGATTCGCCCACTGTGGTTGCTGTTAGAATCAGCTGGTAGCTGCTGATGTCCTTCATATGCGGTTGTTGAGGATGTCTGGTGTTTGTTGGAGTCCTCGGGTACTGGGTTGCTCTGCTTTTTGTGAGATTTTTTCTGTGCTTTGAAATGGATTGTATGGTGAGCTGGGAATTGTGGTGTGAAGTGGGGACATGGGATTGATGGGTTGTGAAATGGCTGAACTGGTGATGTCGTGCTGGAGTGATGCATGAGTGCTTTTCGCAAGAAGGATAGGATGTGACGATGGTGGGGTAGCGTCTGTTGTCACAGCCAGTTCCATATTGTGAGACTGTTTCATGCGGTGGGTTGGATCAGCTGGCTCATGCTTGTGCGTGATCTGTCATTGGTTTCTTTTCGGCAGGTGGCTGGCGGTGTTGTTGTTGCAGAGTACACAAGAAGCTCAATAGCTGATTCGAGGAAAGAGGAGAAGAGAAGGCAGGAACGGGAGGTGGGTGTTGACATTCATGGGTTCCTTTGTTCTACTTGCCGATTATGTGATCGTTTGAGGAATCTCATTTGCTTTTCCATTGTCGTTTGTGTTTGTGCCCTCTTCTGTTTGTCTTCACCACACCCAGGCTCTTCGTCAGAAGGACCTTGAGCTTGAGCGTGAATTGCAGATGCTGAAGGCACGATTGGACGCATTGGAGAATGCAGCATCTGACAGCTGGCTCCCACGCATTCTGCGAGGCAGCACTATAACATTGGGTGGGGGCACCCGCAGCGCAACCAGTCCTGCCCCCAAAAATAGTGGATCTGCGGCAAGTGAAGTGGAGACAACAGAGGCTCACGAGGAGGATGACGGGCATGGGTCTGAGGAGACAGATGAAGAAAGCCTTAGTACGGATGGTCCTAGACAGAAGTAAGATTTTATCGCCATGCAATCTAATCATGCACAAATTCTGTATCTAAGCTATTGGTGAAGTATGATGAAGCCATATAATTGAGGCTGCTCTGCCTATTTTCCTTTTCCTTTTTAGCTGTGCAGCTGTGTATTGTCTGCAGTCAATAAACCTTCCCCCGATGAAATTATCAACGAGAAAAGCGTGCTGTACAATTGTGCTATAACCCAAACCAGCCCTCCATCGACACTGTATGGCGGACAAAGCATCGCAACGCAAGGCAGTGAGTGGGTACAAATGCTGCCAAATTGCGCTGTTTCACATGTCGTGACTAGTGAATTTGACAGCAAGGTTGTTGGCTCCATGCTGGGCGTCGTTTTCAAAGCTGCCGAGGCATGATACACCTGAAAGACTGAACCAAGCGGAGGCCGGATTTCTTTCACCTTTCAACAGACCGAACCAGCCAGATGCCCACTGATGATCCAATGGAAGGTTGTGAAGGACTGCAGCCATTGGCTAAGCTTTGTTTTTGTGGTCAGTAAAATGTACGGCGTCAGGTTTGGCAGGTCAGCCAGATTTTATGGGCATGGCTGGGTTCGCCTCTCTAACAACGAACCATATATGCGCGAAACCAAGGCTCGACGACAAGCTTTGCAGAGCAGCTGAACCATTGCGACGACTCTAGCTCGTCGCGCCCCAACCGGCCGTCCCCAAACCAAGAGCAATAAAACCGCTAGGTTGGGTGGTTCGCATGGTAACTATCAGATGTCACTATAAGAACACTTTAATACCCTTTTGCCCACGTAAAGAACCGTCTTGTACCTCTGAAAGATGTGATTTTTACAATGAATGGCTTCCAGATTGTCATATTGAGGGATGGGCCATGGGCTGTGGTTCGGTCATCACTCCCTGACTGATGAAACTCCGAAGAGACAGGGTGGGGCAAGGCAATCCCAAGGCTGGCAGCGAATATGTGGTGTTGTGTCATGTGCCTCGACTCTAGTGGAAGAGCAATGGAGGTTTCTGTTTCTGTACAGCTCTGTGCCATAAGATAGTGGTCAAGTGGGCTTCACCTAATCTGCTCAGTAGCTTAGGAGGGGGACGCGAGCTATAATCAGTCCATAACGACCATTCGCCGTGCTAGTCTGCATTTTGTGAAGGAATTGTCAGTTGGTGTTCAGTCTTGTGATATGAAAATGCATCTATCATATACGCTGAGCAATTCTTATCCTGAAGGCAATCGATGACAGTCCCAGCCATTTCATTTCAGCAGTTTCATGACAGTCCTTACCTCAAATCCGATGCATTAGAATCTTAAAGCTCGGTTTTTTCCGTTTCACGTCGGCATTTTTCCCTGTCTATAATTTATATAATTTACCAATGGCGATCTACAGTGACAAGCCTCTTTCCATACGCATGGGCGACGCAGCCATTGACGCGTTCACCGGTGCGCAGCCAGTCTCTAAAGTCCTCCGATACTACCCGGAGCACGAAATAGTCGCCATCAGCAACGCACGCGACGCGCGCGACGAGTCGCCTCCTCCCCTCCCCCCGGACCATCTACTCGTTCCGGGCCGCTCGTACTTACTCCTGCCGAAGATTAAACCCAAGCCTACCGGCGGCATTGGCGTTGCGGGAATGCGGTTCCCAAAAAGTGCGTCCGTGGCCGTGGGAGAGACGGCTCGCGACGCGAGAGCCAGCGGCGAAGGCGGTGTTAGTTACAGCAGCATGCAGCGCGCTTTACGGAAAGCGGGATCGCAGGCGATGGAGCGGTCCGACGTGGATCCGACTCTTTGCTCCCCGACAGAGGTGAGAGAGCAAGTTAAGCCTAGCATTTATAGAATATACGGAGCAACTAAAGCAGGGTCACATGCTTTTGAACGGTGGAATTTGGATTATAACGTTGTTTTTTACGAAAGCTGTGGTAGGTCAATGAAACGCGTTCGAAGCACGGAATGGATGGACATTGCGTTTTTGGATCGTGCGAGAGGAAACCCTGGGGCGAGTCATACCTGGATGACTCTATAGGCTATAGCACAGGCGACGAAAAACGTACCGCATGTGTCGAACAAGAGCTCACGCTATTACGATTGCAATGCGATTGGCGCGGATGGTTGCGAGACGGAGGGCTAAAAGGAAGAGAAACTGCTGAATCTTCTTAGATAAGGCGGAATCACTGGTTTATCAAGTCCGCATTAAAGCAGCTGACTCTCCTTACGCCCTTCCGCCCGCTTTGCGCCTAATTTCCTTCTCCCGTTCCCCCTTACCCCGCCTCCCCCATTCTTGTCCCTTCCTCCCCCCTTGCTCTTTTTTCATCTCCCCTTCCCCCTCTCTCTCCCCAGTCGACTCCCCACGATCCGCCTGCCCCGCGTGCCTTCAAGCCCGTGGCTCTCCTGTCCCTTTGAGAATTCTGAAAAGTTTCCCTTTTTCCCTCGTTTCATCCCCGCTTTCCCCCTCTCTCTCCCCAGTCGACTCCCCAGGACCCGCCTGCCCCGCGTGCCTTCAAGCCCGTGGCTCTCCTGTCCCTTTGAGAATTCTGAAAAGTTTCTCTTTTTCCCTCGTTTCGTCTCCCCTTTCTCCCCGCTCTCTCCCCAGTCAACTCCCCAGGACGCTCCTGCCCCTCGTTCCTTCAAGCCTGCGGCTCTCCTGTCCGGTCGTCCACCCACCCCTCCCACCCACCGCTCCTCCTATAGCTTCTCCTGCTCTCCCTCCCACCCCCACACCTCCACCTCGCCTCCCTCCCACCCCCACACCTCCACCTCGCCTCCCTCCCACCTCTCCTCTTCCTCCCCGCCTCCCCCTCACCACGTCACTACCGCCGCAGGAAAAGGCCTGAGAGCAGCAGAAGCAGCAGGCGGGTCAGGTGAAAACGCAGGCGCGCGGATGGAGCCGTGGGATCAGAGCCCAGGTTGGGGGGGGCATGGGCCGTGGAGTGAGCTTGCCGCGATTGACTCTGACTCGAGCCAGAATGAGAGTGAGACGCAGAGTGAGATGCAGAGTGGGCCGTGGGGTCAGAATTTGTCTGCCGGGCAGACTGACGTGTTTGTGGTCCGCCCAGCCTCGCCGTCCGATCAACTAGGTGCAGCCAGCGACGAATCCGACGGTCAGGATGCAGGATCGTCGGGCCTGGACGGTCCCCAGCAGAGATCGCAAAAGAAAATGCAGCAGCAGCAGAGTCAGAATCAGAGTCAGAACCTGAACGAGAATCAGCAGGATCAGCAGCAGCAGCAGCAGCCGCACCCTCATCGCATGCTGGTGCCCGTGATCTTCCGCTCCCGCCGCGGCTCTGCCCTCCGCTTCCCCCGCTCCGCCTCCGCGTCCGAAGCCATGCCCACCAGCACCCCCGACTCCGCCACTGACTCCGCCTCCCCCTCCCCGTTCCTCTCCCCCGCCCATCCCTCCCCCCACGCCACATCCGTCCCTTCCCACGGCTCCCCTTCGCCCATCAAAGCTAAATTATCTTCTAAAATCGCATCTAAGCCGTCCACTAAACCTGACTCCGCCAAGCCCTCCGCGCAGCCCTCCGCCAGGGCGTCCGCGGAGTCCCCCCGCGAGCGCGCGCGCGCCAGCAGCTCCCTGCACCGCAAGCTGTCGCGCACAAGCAGCGGAGGAGGCGGGGCGGACGGAGGGGATGCGGGGGGTAGTGCTGGGGGAGTGGGGGGTACTACTGGGGGAGGCGGCACTGGGACAGGCGGCTCTGGGGAAAGCGGTGCTGTTAAGAGGCGAGACAAATCAACGGCTGCTGGCGCCTCTTCCTCTTCCTCCTCTTCCTCGCTGCCTCCTGTCCCCTCCTCCGCCTCCTCGCCTCTCCCTCGCTCTCTCCATACGAACCCCATGACGTCTAGAACGAACCGTCCTTCCTCCCGCGAGGGTAGATCTACCTCTGATCCCAGCAACCTGCTAAGCGCGTCTGAAGCTGCTGCTGCTGCTGCTGCTGCTGGAGCTGCTTCTGGTGTTTATAGCACCAGCAGCACCACGCACCGACCAAACAGCCGCCCGTCTTCTCGCGAGGGTCGATCCACCTCCGACCCCAACAACCTGCTAAGCGCGGCTGAAGCTGCTGCTGCCGCGGCTGCTTGTTCCACCAGCAGCAGCAGCACCGCCAGCAGCATCGGGGCGTTCTGTGGCACTGGCAGCAGCACCAGCACCACCGGCACCGCCAGCACTATCAGCAGCACGAGCAGTGGCAGCAGCAGAGATGGTAGGGCGCGGAGGGGCGTGCATGCGAGCAGTGTGAGCTTTGGAGGGGTGGGGCTTGATGGGACAGCTGGGGATGGGGGCAGCCCGGACCTTTGCTTCGCGAACAGCACTGGTGGTTACCATGACAGCAGCGGTGACCGTACCAATAGCGGTGGTAACCGCACTAGCGGCGGTGCGAGTGCAGATTCTGTAAAGGTCGCTCACAAGGCAGAGAAGGCGGAGAACGCAGACAAGTCAAGCAAGCCAGACAGGCCAAAGAGTGCAGCAGGTAAGCCAGGGGATCCGGACAAGTCAACCAAGTCAAAGGATTCAAAGGAGACAAAGGAGTCAACCAGAGGTGAGAAATCTCGGGCGCTTCACCGCGCTGCCTCCCAGGGGAGGGAGATTGACCGAGCCAGACTGGGTTGTAGCAGCCCTGAAGCGAAGCTGGGGGGGAGGAGCCACACGGAAGGGAGGGAGGAGACGAAGGAGAGGATGATGAGAGAGAGGAAGAAGGGAAGGGGTGGGAGTATTGGGGGAGGTGATGATGTAAGTGGATTTAGCCCTGAAGCGAAGCTGGGGGGAAGGAGCCATGCAGAAGGGAGGGAGGGGATGGGCGAGAGGGTGAAGGGGAGGATGAGAGAGAGGAGGGGGAGTGTGAGTGATGTTGACGGTTTGGGTGGATTTGGCAGTGAGGCAAGGCTGGGAGGGTGGAGTCAAACGGAGGGGAGGGATGAGACGTTTGAGAGGGCGAAGGAGAGGAGGAGGGAGAAGGAGAGGGAGAAGGAGAGGGAGAAGGAGAGGGAGAAGGAGAGGGAGAAGGGGGCCGTGGAGGGTGTTGGGTCTCCCGGGCACCCCAAGCAGAAGCACCGACCTCCAACAATTTCCAACCATCCCCCCGAGCATGGTCATCAAAACGATCGGCCTCAGCAGCAGCAGCAATCGGGACATCAGCAGGCTGAGAGCAACAGTGATGATCAAGAAGAGGAGCAGGAGCAGGGGCAGGGGCAGGGTGCGCCTCCCTCAAATGTGCCTCCCTCAAATGCGCCTCCCTCAGATGCGCCTCCCTCAGATGTGCCTCCCTCAGATGCACCCTGCGAGGAGGACTGGTCCCGCAGCATCAGCCTCGCCCATACAATTGACAACTCCCATGGCATCCATGCATCTCCGCCCCACTCTGCTTCTCACTCCGCTCATGCTGCTGCTTCTGCTGCTGATGCTGGTGATGATGCTGGTGATGATGCTGGTGATGATGATGGTGTTGACGCTGGCTCTGCTTGCTTCGATCCGTCCTTTGACTGCCTGCTCGCTCCTCATGCCGCCGACCCTTCCAGCATCGGAAATCGGTCCGAGCTTGATTCCGAACCACTCTCCAGCTTCCGGCTCGGCCCTGCCGATCCAGACCTTGCGAGCCCCAGGTTTGGTCCGGTGAAGAAGAAAGAGCGTTTTTCCAGAGCTGAGCAGCAGGTCCGGCAGGATGATTCGGAGTTGGGTAGCTCAGGTTCGGAAGCCACAAGTTCAGATACAGGCAGTGGGAGTGATCGCAGGAGAGGCAGAAGCAGAAGCAGACGGAGCAGAAGCAGGAGTGATAGCAGGAGCAGGAGCAGCAGCAGGGGAAGTGATAATACTGAGGGCAGAGACACACGCAAGGAGGATGAAAGTGACAACAGCAGGTTTGCTGGTAAGGAATGGAGAAGCAATGAGGGGGAGCGCAGAGAGGCCGCAAGCAGCAGAGTCAACGCTCCTGATCGTACCAGAGAAACAGGGAAAGTAGGAACTCGCGGAGATGGTGCGAGGGCGCGGAGAAAGAGCATGGAAGGCAGTGCAGCAGTGGCTAAGTCCCAGGAGGAGCAGCCAAGTGTAAGTGCTGCAGCTGATGTCACACTAGCGCTCTGGTGTTTAAGAGAGTCTCTTAGCATGCAGCGGCAGAAGGAGGAAGAGGAGAGACTCGCGCGGGAAAACAAGGCCGAACGTGCAGGAGGAGAGGGAGGCAGAGCGGTTGGAGGGGGTGCAGAGGGTGATGCTGGGGTGCAGGGCAAGGGAGGGGAGGCGGATCGCAACAGGAGCCCTCTGCGGAGGTTTCTCGGCGCCTTGTCTCTCGACATATCAGCAGCTGACGTCCCGGTTGTTGCTGTTGCTCCTGCCGCCTTTGGCGGCCTTTATGCCAGCGGCTTTCCTGCTGCGAGTGCCTTTCCCGCTGCCATTGGCTCAAAGGCAGATGGTCGTAAGCAAGCAACGCTGGGGGAGGCTGAGGAGCAGGTGAAGGGACAGGGAAGGTTTCAGGAGCAGCAACACAAGAATCAGCACCCGCAGCGGCAGCAGAAGCCGCAGCAAGAGAGGCAGCAGGCGGAGCAGCAGCAGAAGCAGGAGGGGGGGGTTCGAAACCGCAGCCCCATGCGTAGCCTCCTCCGTGCTCTCTCCATAGAAGCTTCCACGGAAGCTGCAGCGGTGGTTGCAGCTCTTCAGTCCTCCTCTGCTGCCGATGTGCCTCTTGCCTCAGGCCCCTCTGCTGCCCGCGCATCCCACCGCTACCCGCGATCGCAATCCCTCACAACCAAACTTACCAGCGGCATTAGCATCGGCAGTAACAGTATTGGTGGTGGCGCCAGTGGCAGGGATAACAGTGGCAGCGCTGCTGCTGCTGGTCGCTCTGGTGGTGGTGGTGATGGTGGTGGTGATGGTAATAGTGGTAGTGGCAGCAGCAGCAAGGCACGAAGTGGTGGTGGTGGGGGTGGAAGTAGCAGCAGCAGTCACGGCCACAGTCGCAGCAGCAGTGCCATTCTCGGTCTGGGAACCAGCAGCAGCAGCAAGCACAAGAGCAGCAAAGAGGAGAACGATGCTGAGCTAAAAGCAGCTCTCGAGGCCTTCAGAAAACGGGTGGAGATGCTAAGTGACACGTGTCACTTAACTTATGCTGCTAACGTTGGTGCGCAAGGGTCGGGAGGAGGGGGTGGAGGGAAGAAGGGCGGGACATGGAAGCCAAGGCTCCCAGATGTGAAGGAGGTGGAACAGCCGAACAAGACTCTTGCGGGTTCATTGTCGTTCCATGCAGACAGGCGGAGGGCTTTGTCCGACCAACTTTCTCTGTGGATTAAGTGAGACACTGGTACTGCTCTGAAAGGCATGAAAGACGGCTGTACCGTATTGGTAGTGAACCATCTGGTGATTCAGGTGTGTGGACTTCTGTCCTACTGTCCTATGTATCATGTGCTTCCTTGATTTGTTACTTGAGATATTATAATTTTAAACAGTGTTTTTTTTTAATTGTGTATTGTGAAAACGAAGCTGCTTGTACTGCACGATTGGCATCGTCGAAGCGCGCTAAACGCCCTTCTCCAACTACAAAAACCGTGGGTTGGAGTTCATTTCCCTCCACCCACATTTCTCGATTTTCAAACGGCTCACTCAACATTCCCACCACCCACCCCAGAGTAAACCGCCTTGCTAATGCCACTTGGATAGGGTACATCTTAGCTAGTGTTATTAGAATGCAGTAGCTTGTGTTCAACGTTGATGCAAATGTTGTAATAAGCCATTTGTAATGAGAACGATGCCAATTGATAAGAATAAGAAAACAAGCTTTCTCAATGTATGGATATGTAGAAAGTTGGTTGATGTTTTGGGGTACTTCTGTGAACTCTCTGCCACTTGACTGTAAGGCAGATGGTTGGCGGGCTTGAACTACGGTATGGCTATACAGATTATTTGACTGGCTACCTTGGAATTTTATGTCATCCAATGCGAATCTTGATGTTCCATTGATACTCTGCCAATAAGCTAGAAAGTTTCCGAATGCGTCTTGTAATCTGGAAATCATGTCACAAACGCGTTTTGCCTTGCTACGCCAAGATTCACGGCCCTAGCCAATAGCTGTGGCAGCAATATGTTGCCACGTTTTGCGTTCACGCTTCGCTTAATCTCGTCACTAACTTCGCGAAAGGATTTCAGAACTCGCGAGTGCATTCTGCTGGTTCAGGACAGGTGCATGACTTCGTCCGAGTTACCACAGATTCCTCCTTTTTTGGAAGGATCCTCGCGGCAGGCCGACTTCACCCTACAAGCATGCTATCGGTCGGACTCACGCTTGACGTTTGACGTGGCTGGAATCTGGAAGCCTCTTCGATTATGTAGCAGTCTCACCATTCTCTTCACGGTTCTGAATATTCTAGACTGGGCAGGACTATTGAAGGCAGCAGGATTCCTGCCTTCACATTGCTGTTATTGACTGTCTGTAGCTACTATAGCGTGATTCCGCTGTTGCTTCTCTGCTAAGACGCACCGCCTGGTGCAACGCCGTGCCTTTTACACGTTACTGAATCCCCGTTATGGAGCGTCTCGTTATAAGCTCATGCGCGCTACCGTGCAGTCCAGCCGCTTCGTCCGCTTCGGCTCCTATTCTTGCAACATCTGCTGGCGACGCCGCTGGTTCGCGGAACGTTCGTCCTGCATCCGCCATCCATCGCCAGCAATCCCATCTGCCACGTGTGCAGACCAATCGAACGCAAGGACCCCAGCGTCGCGTTTCCATTGGACAGTAAGTGTTCGTCTGGTCAGCGGTTACAGATTCGCCAATGATTCGTTAGATTCTCGCTCCTTTTCGCTATATGCACTTGAATTTTCACGCAAAAGTCAGGCATTTGGTTGGTCTTTAATCTCTTACGAGCTCACCTTGGTCGAACCAGAAGTTCACTTGTTTGCTTCTGGTTCGAATAAGTTTTGCATTCTTCCCGCTTCACATCATCCCTCCGTCTGCTCTTTATAAGCCTTGCCGCGGCGCGGTTCATCCCGTCGTCTCTACACTCCGGCTCCACCCGTCGCGTACACTGTAACGCATCTGCTGGTAACGCGGACGGAACCGGGTCGAGTGACGACAAAGGGAAGGGGGAGGGGGGAGAGGCGGCGGGAAAGGAGAGAGGAGGGGATGTAGAACCTGAAAAGTCGGATAAGAGGTCGGACGATGCTGTATCTGGTGAGGGTAAGGACAAAGCCGCAGATGTTACTCGCGGGTACGTCACTAGCGAGGATGAAAGCGCGGACATTGTGAGCAGCCTGGGGGATTGGCGTGAATTCCGCGCGCGACTGATCCGCGGGGAGGTTGGGGTGGCGGGGGAGGAGCCTGGCGCATCTGGATCAACGGACGGTGGAGATGCGTTGACAGGCAGCACATCAACGTCTGGAGGCTTGCCAGGCTTGGACGATGTACCAGCTGCAGGAGCAGTAGCAGCAGCAGGAGAAGTAGGAGAAGCAGCAGGGGATTCAGAAGGAGGGGAGAGAGAAACCAATGTGACCTCCCCACTCTCTTCCTCCACCTCTCCCTTCTCCTCTTCCTCCTTTTCCTCCTCTTCCTCGTCCTCCTCTCCCTCCTCCCCCAAGTCATGGGCTCACCCTATAGCAGTGCCCGAGACGGGGTGTGTGCTGCTGGCGCATCCGAGGGCGTTCGGAGTGTCTCAGCAGTACTTCAACCGTGCTGTGATTTTCCTTCTCATGCACGGGTGAGCGCGAGAGAGAGAGAGCGAGAGAGAGAGAGAGAGAGAGAGAGAGAGAGAGAGAGAGAGAGAGAGAGAGAGAGAGAGAGAGAGAGAGTGAGGGAATGAGTGAGGGAGGGAGGAGGGTAAGGGAGGAAGTAAGGGATGTTGCGATTGAGATTGGGAGTGACGGTGTGAGTGAGTAAGGGAGAGTGCGGGAGGGAGTGAATGAGAGAGTGATTGCGGGAGCAAGGGAAACGAAGTGTGTGCTGCTGGCGCATCCTAAAGCGTTCGGCGTGTCTCAGCAGTACTTCAGCCGCGCTGTGATCTTCCTGCTCATGCACGGGTGAGCGCGAGAGGGAGTGAGTGAAGGGGTGAGCATGGGAGACAGTGCGAGAGCAAGAGAGGTTGGGTACTCACTGCTGGCGCATCTGAGGGCGTTTGGAGTGTCTCATTTCAGCAGTACTTCACCCGCACTGTGATTTTCCTGCTCATGCACGGGTGAGAGCGCGAGGGAGGGAGTGAGGCAGGGAGTGAGGAAGGAAGGGAGCGAGGAAGGAAGGGAACAAGGGAGTGATCAAGGTTCTGTGTGTGTGAAGGAAAAGCAACGACTTACCCCTCCTGTTGTTCACGTGCTTCCATTGCGTTTCATCTCCCATACCATGCTGCAGTCCACAAGGCACAGCAGGCGTGATTCTCAACAGGTACACGTCCCACCCTCCCAAAAACCCACCCTCCCACTCCCCCATCCCACCCTCTCACCGTTCCACCTTTCCACCATCTCTCCACCTGCCGTCCCACTGTCGTGCCATATCCATCTTCTCTCTCCATCCGTTTCTACCTGCTCTCTCCCCCTCCCGCCTCTACCCTCACACCGCTCATTCTTCCCCCTGTTCATTCTATCTTTCTGCTGCTCCCTCATTCTCCTTGCATATCTCTCGCTCTCCTTTCTCTCACGCACCTGTCCACCCTTTCTCCGCGGCTCTATCCTCCCAGACCCTCACAGTACACGCTCGGGCAGCTCGCAGGCTTCGAGGAGCTCCTGCCGGAATTTTCAGCCTGCCCGTTATATCTGGGCGGCGATGTTGGCTCAACGTCCACACACTGCCTGCACGGGGTGGCGGATCTGGTGGGGGGGGAGGGGGGCGCGCGGGAGGTGTGTCCGGGGGTGTACGTGGGGGGGTACTCGCGGATCAAGGAGCATGTGGGCAGCGGAAAGAGCAACAGCATGGACTATCGATGGTTCGCCAGATATGCCGGTGAGTGGTGTGGGTGGGGCCCACGGAAGAACGGGGAACGGGTGAACGGGGGAACAGGGGCAGGAAGGGGGGCATGGGGGCATTTCATTTGTTGAAAGTTCGAAAATCTCCCCCAGGGTGAAATCTTGCATTCCCTTTTACCGCAGCCCCCAGGGTGGGCGCCAGGGCAGTTGGAATGGGAGGTGGCAGCAGGGGTGTGGTACCGGGAGCATGCTTGCCAGACCACCTCTTCTCCCGCTTTCTCTGATCTCGCCTCCCCTACTCCCACCTCCCCCTGCCCATCTGCTACCATCTTTCCTCCTCTTTCCCTCGCCTCCCCTTCTATATCTTCCCGGGTGGGCGCCAGGGCAGTTGGAACGGGAGGTGGCAGCAGGTGTGTGGTACCTGAGAGCATGCTTGCCAGACCTTCCCTACTCCCTCCCTGTCCCCCTTTCCCATTCCCTCTCCCTCCCAGGGTGGGCGCCAGGGCAGTTGGAGCGTGAGGCGGCAGCAGGGGTGCGGTACCTGGGAAAATTCATCCTTATTCACAGTCCCTTTTATTCGTGCATGTCCTTTACCCCTCACACCGATTCTTTTCCCATCCCCAGGCTGGGCACCAGGGCAGTTGGAGCGGGAGGTGGCAGCAGGTGTGTGGTACCTGGGAGCATGCTCGCCAGACCTCATTCTCAGGCATTCCCTGAGAGAAACTGTTGCTGTAGAGAGCGCAGGGGACAGTAGCGAGATTGACAGTATTGAGGCCGCGGAGAGGGGGGTTCAGAGCAGTGAGACAGGTGGTGTGGGGGGGAGGAGAGAGGGAGTGGTGGGTGTGAGTGGGAACACAGGGCTGTGGAGGGAGGTGATGGAGTTGATGGGGGGAGAGTATGCTTTCCTGCGTAAACAGGCAGATGGGGAGTTGTAGATAAGGTTTGAATGCCACGGAGTTCTCTTTGAAAAGTTTTGGAGTGATACAGTGTCTGCTATTACACCATCAGCAAATTTTGGCAACATTCTGATCACTTGTTCTGCCTGGACGTTTTACCTCCACTACAAGAAATTCAGCTCAAAAGGTGATCTGAATGGGGTACGATGGTGGGTCCATAGAGACCCATGCTACGAAATAGAGATGTCACAAGCAGAGAATTATATCATAGAATGGTAGAGAAAACCAGACAAGAGCGAAATCTTTGCAGGCAAGTCATAAGCATTTATTGGCTTTATCACTATTTGTAACAATCCAGGGCAAAGCTACCCCTTCAGAAAAAGAGGCTGCTGCATGCAAGCCTGAAATCAACGTGTCACTCGATCTGGCAGTTGGGTGATCGGAGGGCGGACAGCAGAATGAGCTCCAACCGTCTGTGTTCGCCTACAGAACTTCGCGACGTTGCGCAAAGAAGGCGGCGGGTTCCTGGTTCTGCCGTTGCCCCTTACGGGAGATCGCTCCGCCACACGCCACTTCGGCAACGCGCGTGCTTAGTTCCCTGGTAACACCTCCTCCGCATTTACTTCCGTGATTTCGCCTTGGTTCGTAACCTCTTCGCGAAACGTGCCGATTTCACTCGCAAGCAGCATCTCGTTGGTGAACAAAGCAGCGTCGTCGTCCGAGAAAGCAGTGTCGTCCAGATCGTCAAGCCCGAGATACGCGTCGCAAATGCTCGCCACGGGTAACCGATAGAGAGCGAAACTTTTAGCCCGCCGATCACGAACTTCGCCAAAATTAGAGGACCAATCATAATGATAGAATGTTGGCCCGGACATTCGCGGTTCAGACGCCTGCTTGCTCAGGTAACGCGGGCAGGAAATATCAAGCTGCTTCGGCGCGCAATTATAGTCTGCTCCGTTACCGTACACATCGCTGACATCGTAACAGGGTTCGGTTACAGAGATTTCTCCGCCGAGGCTGTTACTCTTCCCCTGCTTGGCCCAGCACCAATCACGCAAGCCTGCCTCTTCCGGATGTGCCTCAAAACGCCCAGCATCTTGCAAGCGCGCTCCTTCGTCTCGTTGACGCGAGTTCGCGAGCGACACGGTGCATGGCGAGCCGAGTGAGCAGCCGAGAACGCGCGAGCGCAATTCGCGGAAGCTCCGGGCTCGCGATGCGGAGCTCTCTGCAGGCGACGGTGGCGAGGATGTGAGACGGACGGCTGTTTCTTCGAAGCGGCTCTGGTGACGCGGCGGCGAAACCGCGATCGGCAGCTCAGATTGAGACCTTGCGTGACGCTCATTGGTGCGTTGCTGGTGAACCGACACGTTGCGGAATTGCTCAGCTAGCCGCGCACATTGCGGAAATATCTCATCATAATTAATGTCCCACGGATTCAGAGGGGCTCCTTTCTCGGGTTCGTCTGACGTTGCCGGGGACTCGATCTTAAGCGGACTCACGCGCCGCCTGAATGCGTCAAGGGAGCTTTGCCGGTGGAGCGGTAGGCTGGCGGCGCGAGCTAGCGAGCCTACTGGTGGAATGCCTGTGCGTTCGCAGTGAGCAGCAGCCATCGAGAAGACGAAATTGAAGGCAGAATTTGTCAAGTAGACAACCTGAAGGGAAAGACAACACTGGAATGGTTCGAGAATTGTGGTGGGGCTAACAAAAATGACCACTGACTCGGATCAGAGGGCTCAGCTAGATTTTGTTATGGAGCTCAGCTCAGGTGGTGGGTAAAATTATCAGTGGTTGGAACGTCAGGACCAATCTGTACCGCTCTGTAACGTACACCGCTTGGCTTCTGGAATGGAATGCGCCATCCCCCCCTTTCCGCAAAACCGCAGATGCGCGATCGAATCGAGGTCAAGATCGTTCCTTTCCATTTCAACCGCAGATGCGCTCGTCCCTCTCATCTTCTCATCTCCACCCCACTTTCCTCTGACCCGCCTTGCACGCTTGCTTCTGTTCGCGCAGAATGGCAGTTTTTCGCGCGTGAGACAGGCAGGCTGCGTTGAGCGTCCCGAGCAGATTCGGTTGATGGCAGTTTCCAGATTGGCTGATCTGGAAGGGACTTTCGGTAACAGCAACCTTCTGTTGCTGCTCTGAGTCATGTCCATGTCATCACTGTCGCACAATCTATTCGTGGCAACGCGGCACGTGTGAAAACGATCAGCGAGTGCACAGCGAACGACGTTATCGTCGCGAGGCATCCGCGACAGCACAAGGCGGGCGAAAGGCAACAGCTTTGGTCACTTTTTCCGTGAGGGAATCGCGATTCGTCTCGCACGAGAGCAGGTACAGTTGTTCTCGTTTAAAATCCGACGGAGAAACACGCCGCGCGCGGACTATATGTCAAAATGCCCGAATCCCCGGGCAAACGGGACCCTATAGTCCCAAATTCGAGAAAATTGCATGAAAAGCGGTTTTTTGTCTCTACTGGTTGTTCATTTTGTTATATACGTACGTATGGACCGCGCTTGCTTCAACTTCTCGTCGAACGGTTTTACGCGTTATCAGTGATGCGTGAAAAACGGGCAGAAATAAACAACATCGATTATGTTTGATGCCATAATAAGTTTGTCTTTTTGTTTTTCCTTCCTGTCAGCGAGATTACTGAGATGTCATCGTGGAGCGCGCTAGGAATCGCGCGACGGGAATAAGAAACAAGCGCGGTCAAGAGAAACAAAAACAAATCAGTTGTAAATGTTTACTCCAAAACAAAACTGCCCTTTTTAGCATTCTCCGTAATTGCTCAAGGCACTTATACGTGCAATGAACCTGGTCAAAAAAGGGACTGTAGAGGAGGGGCCACACCTAGGAATTAAAGGAAAAAGCTCCTCATTCTGAAAATGGGACTTTGTGAGCGCAGGACTTTATAGCGGAACCATTTGTATGTGGTGGATGTTTTTTGCGTGTTGGCTCGCTCTGCTACAGCGAGGCCATTATTTCTGGATTTGTCGTAGGTGAGGACTACTGCATCTGTTTTTCAATCGCCTCATAGCGAAACGTTTCACTAAACTGCCAATGCTGCAAGCGTACGAGGTGGTTGTGACAATCCACAATACGACAAAAGTATATGCACAATTACTGCAACCTAATCAGACGTTGGCTTCGCAAAGTGGTAACAAAGCCCACAAATGTTCAGTTCTATTGATAAAATTCGCATAAATTTCTAGTAAGTTCATGTTATGGATCCAGTGAAAGTACCATAAAAGCCAGATATGATGTTCCCCGTTTTTCCTTCAAGTGAGACTCTAATCTTTTTATCAAGATGGATGTTGTGATTTTTTGAGGAAAAAAGGTGTATTACCTCCAAATGCATCACTAGTTGGCACTGGCAGCCACGGAGGAGAGAACTGTACAGTGTATTGCCAGCCCCAGTCCGCGAAGGGGACGGTGGGAGCGACCCCAATTCCCTCGCTCGACAGCTGTGTCCCTATAGGAAACGACACAGTCGGTAAACTAAGGCTTCATTCTTCACGTGGATGGCATGCGCCTGCAAACTCGAACCAATGACAGCCTCCTCGTCATGTGATAGGTTTGTGCTGACTGTGGCAGAACAGCAATAACGGCTGAAAGGAACGTCACTTGGCGGGAAAACAAATGCCCAAACACAGCAATAAACCCGGTTTGGGGCCCTCTGGATCAGCAATCAAGACAATATAAATACATGTGACTTCGACATACCTCTTTACTGGTTATGAGTCAACCTGACAGTAATAAGACCAATCTACCGTATCACTCCTTCCAGCAAAATGCTGGAAATTGGAGGCTGTAGGGGGTCTACATCATCGTTTTTAGTCAACTAGCCCAGGATGGCTGGGCGGTGTAGAGTGTCAAATTTTCCCTCTTGAGAGGTGGCTTTTTAGCGCTCCTGGTACAAAGCAGACAGAGCATGGGGGGGGGGGGATCGGAGGAATCAATATACTTATGTATTCATGTATACACATACATCACAGCATCCAATGTACCTGACTTGTGAATCAATATACTTATGTATATGCCTGACCCATCTGACTTCACAGCATATGTGTCCAAGACGACACACACGCACACCCCTTAAAACTTCATACCACATCACCCCAACATGCGTGACATGGGAACTCACCCTGGGGTGTGCATGTAGTTGCATATCAGGAGCTCCTGGAATGGAGGGCACAGGAAAGAGGGCAACGCAGCCAGGGCAGTGAGAAGTTTAATGAAGAGAATGATCATAACCCCTTCCAGCTCTCATCCACGTCCACACCTAAGTACCCCCACACGAGCACACCACCCAATCCACCACTCTCTTTGCCCATCTCCCCCCACCTCCCCCCCCCTCTTCCCTTCCCAGCCCCTTGTTACACTCACAATCATTCAGGTGCCTCGAATACAGACTGCCCCTCACTCATACCTGCTCGGCCAAACGCTCTCTGCATGCCTCCAGCTCTTCCCTTAGAGCAGCCATCTCGTTACTGTCCCTTCCGACACAATCACCGGCCACTGCAGCAGAGGCTGCCTGCTCCTGCGCTGCTCTCTCAACAAGATCCTGGGGGGAACGGTGGGGTGTGCGGATGATGACACAAACAGAACGGAGAAAGATGCTGCACTCAGCATTAGAGTAAGCTTTGAGTCAACTAAAAGAACGAGGCCGCCTGCTGCAGCGCTCTCTCAACAAGATCCTGGGGGGAACGGTGGGGTGGGCAAGTGATGAGACATACCGAACATCGAAAAGCGGCGGACACAGCGTTAGAGTAAGGATGGGGCAATCTTAAATGGGTCAATCTTTAACGGGGATATCTTAAATGACAGGTGGAATGAGCTGTGACAGGTGTGTGATGCAGGTGACAAGACATGACAGCTGGGCCGGGGTGTGGGATGCATGGCAACACGTACTCGCATGGTGGTCATAATGCGTTGGTGTAGGTCCATGAGGTGTGGGCACGCCATGTTGGGTGGCAGGGCGTACACGTCCTGGTGGGAGGGAGATGAGGGGGGCAGAGAGAGAGGAGGGCAGGGATTTAAGTTGCCTAAAGCATGATGTGTGGGGACATGCTGCGGTGGTTGGGAGCACATACACATACTGGTGGCGGGGAGACAAGGAGCTGGGAGAGGCAAAGCTTGAGGAAAGGAAAGAAATGGAAAAGTAAAAAAAAGGGCGGCACAAATAAAGAGGAAGGGAAAATCTAAAGGGGCGTGAAACTTGAGCAGATGGAGAGCACTCACCATGCTCTCCTCTTCCTCTTCTTCCACCTCCTCCCCCCTCTCCGAACCACTCTCACTCCCTCTATCCTCCTCCTTCTCGTCCCTTCTGATTCCACCCTCCTCGGCACCCTTCTCATGCCCCCTTTCCTTCCGCTGCCCTTCTCCTGCTGTTGCGGGCTGGCCCTTGATGTACTCGCTATTGAGTGATTGGAGGTCCGTCTGAAGATCCAAAAAAAGCGACATTTTGCAATGAGAGTGGTAGCAGGAACAAGGGCACGTGAATGCGTGGCACGATCCGTCCAAGCAAGCAGTGGATGTGCAAGAACGATACAATAAGCAATAACCAGAAAACAAAACTATGTTGATAATTGATATGTTGTCTGATTGATATAGTGTACCTGCATGGAGCGAATGACTGCCATGAGCTGCTTGCTATCCTCCCCCACGGCCCGCAGCTGCCTCTCATGCGCCTCCATCTGTAACCAGTGGGAACAAAAAGGGGAGCGACAATGCACGGACAGAGGGTGAGTACCAGGTATATAAGGGATGTATGGATGTCACATCAGCTTTTGAGTCGACTCATGAGTACCAGGTATATAAGGGGTGTATGGATGTCACATCAGCTTTTGAGTCGACTCATGAGTACCAGGTATATAAGGGATGTACGGATGTCACATCAGGGACTGGACGGGTGATGCATGGAGGGGTGATGTGTGGGAGGAGGGGAGGCGGGGGAACGGGAGAGCAATACGTCAAGATTCACAGCATCTTTGGGCTTCGCAAATTGAATTTCACGAAGAAAGCACTTAGCAGAGTGACAACTACCACGCGACAAATACGACAGGGATGCTTACCATAGTGACAATCAAACAAATCGATGCTCACCATGCGCTTGTAAAATTGGCTTTTGAGTCGACTCAAAAGTCACCTTGATGCTCACCATGCGCTTGTAAAAGTCGCTATCTGTCTTCTTCCCGCCCCATGTGGCCCTCTGCCTGCCCTCCGACTGAAAAGCAGAGAGCACAGGGTGGTGCAGGGGAACAAGGGTGGTGCAGGGGAACAAGGGTGGTGCAGGGGAACAAGGGTGGTGCAGGGGAACAAGGGTGGTGCAGGGGAACAAGGGTGGTGCAGGGGAACAAGGGTGGTGCAGGGGAACAAGGGTGGTGTTAAGAATCGTTGGGATGGGAAGGGTAAGGTTGGGTGGAAGGGATGAAGAACCTCACATCATGCTGCCTGGTGGACATTCGCTTGGCCTGCAACGCACAACTCTAGCCTCTCCCACACATAGCACAGCACAGCACCACAATGCACACTTCCGCACCGCAGTGCACCGCACTGTACCTGCGGATTGAGGTTGACTATGTCCACTCCCGGCTGTCTGGCGGGCGTGCGCTTGCCCCCCACGCAAGACGCCAGCTTCTCCTGTAGCTTCACGAACTCGCGCTTCTCCTTGCGCAACTCGAACGCCTGTTGCGCCTTCACTTGCTGCAGAGGGCGGGTGGGAGAGGCGAGAGGAGGATGGTGGTAAGGACGTGTGGGGGGATGGTGGGAGAGGCATGGCGATTATTATGTTTTCAAACCATAATGGCGTCGTAACGATGCAGTATGTGAGGCGCTGCATTGGATGGAGTCGGGTGCAGCAGTATCGAGGATCAGATGCTTTCAGACCGCCCCCACATACTACGCCAGCTTCTCCCGTACCTTCCAAGACTCGCGCTCCACCTGAACGGCGTGCTGACTCACCTGCAGGGCTTGCTGACTCATCTGCAAGGGATGCTGACTCACCTGCAGGGCGTGCTGACTCACCTGCAGGGCGTGCTGACTCACCTGCAGGGCGTGCTGACTCATCTGCAGAGCTTGCTGACTCACCTGCAGGGCGATGACATGCTTGCTCAGCTCGTCCCTCTCTGCTCTAAGCTTCTTGATCTGCGCCTTGGACTCCGCCGCCGCTTTTTGCTCCTGAAAAGTGAAAAGACGATTCATTTCACGGCACGCAGGAAGAGGAGATGAAAGTGAGATGAGAGGAGGTAAAACGAGACGAGGAACGATGAGATGAGAAACACGATACGGACAGGGGATCTCTCTTGTGAAAACTGGGCTTGTGATTGAATTGCCTCTTTGTGCACGTTTGTACGATGATAACGGTTGTGAATTAACACGTTCCTGCAACCATACCCACCCGATCCTCCCCCATTCCCACCCATCTATCCCCCTTTCTCTCCCCTCGCGCTTTCTCCCAACCCACACCCCACCTGCGACGTAAGCGACTGGATTTTTCGCCTAGCGACTTCCAGCTCGTCCTCTAGACGATCTGAGCGACTCTCCGCCGTCGCCAGGTCGCACATCAGCCGGTGTCGCTGCGTCGCCAGGTCGTCGCGCTGCTTCGCATCCGCCTGCCGCTGCTGCACCAGCTGGTAAATGCAGTCGCACGCCGTCGCCATTGACGCCTGCGATGGATCGTGCGACAGCCCATGACACGAAGCAAGTGCTGGTCATTGGACAAACGGCTGACGGTCCTGAAATTACTTGAAAAGAATCACGTATCTTGAAAGCCAATCAAGGAGCTCAGATGACTGGAAATTAAGCAGTAACCTGCGAAGCATTACTTATTATTTATTACATGATACAACACGAGCTATTAAAACTATATCTCCAGTGAGCTACGCACCGCTTCATCGGACCGAAGAGCGAGGGTCGGTGGAAGACCGAGCAGTACCAATGACTCGTTCAGGTACGCGATACAGTGGTCAAGGTTTTGCGTGTTAGCGAAACCGTCCGCCAGCTGTAGCACATGTTCATCCTCCATCGCTCCTCGACGATTGCTCAGTAGTCTACAGCGGGGATCCCCTAGATAGTAAATAAATGAATAAATAATATGCCGATGACCGTTTATTGCTCCGTGATAGCTAACGGAGATAGCAGAAACTGATTGCTGTCCAATAGTCTCGGCTAGAACCTAAGGTCGTACGGAAATTCCAGCTCTCTGAAGTGTATGAAGACTTGTAGCTTGAGGCAACGTAAAGATGGTGACAAAAACTCCAAGGACGGAATGACTTCTAGGCGGCGGTGAAACCGACGAGTTCGAGATAACTTTCAGGCGATGAAGTCAGGGCGACACTGTACTTTCTAGGTGGAAATTTATTTCAGACATATTTCACGACCACTTCACGGCTTTGGTTTGGTGCGACCAGCATCCATCCAAAGTTGATTGGTGGCAGGCAGGTGAGGGAGTTCGAATCGCGCGCGTCAGACGGCGGAGAAAGATTCTGTCAGATTGGAACAAGGGTTGTCTGGTGCGGTCCGTTGTAGGTCAAAGACTACGGTTTTGGTCGGTTCATATATTTTATTAATGACGAAATGCACTTTGGAGGGCCTTATAGAAAGTCTACATAATTAGTCTGGTTGAGTTGTTCGTACGCGCTAAAAAGAACCGTCAAAACTTCTCGAGTTTGTAACCCGCTTCGTCCAGTCGCCTCTTCTTCGCGACGCAAATTCAAACCGAAAAGCGCACGCAACCCCAACCCAAGCCAAGTGCACGCAATACTGACCCCAAATTTCGCATTTCCCCATAATTCTGCTATTCTTGGCGATTCTGCAAATCCACGTGTCTCGCGGAGCCAAAAACGGTTGACAAAAATCACCGAGCAAGAAAAAGAGTTGTTTCCAGCATTTTCCTGACATCCTCCAGTCGCCTCGTGTCTACCTTACCTCGCTCGTACTAACGCTTGTCGCATTCTCACCGCTAGTACTAGTAAGCGCAGCTCCATTTGGTGCGCGGGAGTAGCAGGAGCGGTAAATGCTGTCTATCGCGGTTTCTGCTAGGAGATTTCCCTCTCTCGCACGCCCATGTCGCCGCGCCCCACCCCTGACGCGCCGATGTAGTGTTACTATCGCTCTCCCTAGAAGTTCTACCGCTTCTGCGCCTTCTTCCGCTTCCGCCGTTGCTTATTGCGCTTCTTCCGCCTCCGCCGCCGCTTCTCGCTGCGCCGCCCGCTTCTCCTCGTTATCCTCCGCGCGTTGCCGGCCGTTCCAAGATCCCGCACAGGCATCGCCCCAAGCGGCAAAAACATTTCCGTTAGTAACAGTCATGAGCCACCAGCAACACCTCCGGCAGCATTTCAGCGGCCGGCAAGACGAAACAAGTGGCCGGCAGATCCCCCAAGAAACCCACCAGCAGCACCAGGAACCCACTCGCGCGGCCGCCTTCCCTGTCTGTATAGCTGACGGCCGCCGGTTCCACAACCTGCTAGCCGACTTTGACCCCTCTCAGGCTGCTGTAGCGCAAGTAGAACGGAGGGCCCAGGAACTCGAGGTCCCTGGAGCAGGAGTGACTGTAACGGGGGAAGGCGGAGTGAATGTAACCGGGAAAACAGGAGTGACTGTGACGGGGAAAGGGCGAGAAGAAGCGTCTCTGCCAGGTGTCGGCCCGTCATCGGGTGTCCCGTCTGAGGAGGAGTTTCTTAGGGCGGGGCTGGATCTGAAGGATAAGGTGGGGTCCTTTCTGTCTCATTCTTCACTCCCCCGTCCCTCCAACTCTCTCAACCCTTCCCTTCATCTCTCTCAACCCTTCCCTTCATCAGTGTCCTCTCTTTCCTCTCTCTAACCCGTTCACTTCACAGAAACATATCCCCTTCCCCTTCGTTTCTCCCCTCGTTTGGCTCAGATAGTGGAAGCCACATGGAGGAATGGAGCGCCAGCACCCAGGGTGCGGGACCCCTTCCTCTATGTGGGCCTGCTGGGGACAGCCTGGGTGTGCTTCAGGGCCTATCAAGCCACAGGAGACGTTGCTGACCTGGCACTCGCTGCTGACATCATCCGGGCTGCTGCTGACATGGCAGAACACCACCGAACGTGGGTGCTGCACTGTTTTTTGCCTCAGCAAGCTAGTACAGACCCATTCGCCTTGTGTTAGCACATCCCATTCGCCCCACCTTTTCAGATCGTGTTGGCACATCCCATTCGCCCACCCCTTTCAAATGCTCGCTCTTCCCCTCCCCATCCTTGCATTTCCCCCCCCCCCCCCCCACACACCTTCAACCCACTCCCAACGCCCATCAGGCATTACACATTCTACTGCGGTCAGCCAGGCATCCTCGCGTTGGGGGCTGTCGTGCGCCACCACCTCATGGACCACTCTCAACCGAAGCAGCCGCATCAGCTGCAGCCTGAAGAGCTTGACTCCAATCCCTACTTCCGCTCCTTCCTCTCCCTCCTCACCTCCGCCCTCCCCTCGCTCTCCCTCCTTCCCTCCTCCCCCACCGACACTGCACCAGCCACCATCCCCCACGAGCTGCTATACGGACGAGCAGGCATGCTCTGGGCCTTCCTGTTCCTGCGTAGGAACCTTCCTGTGGAAATGCGGAGGAAGCTTCTTCCTCTATCTCTCGCCCGCCCTATTGCTGCTGCCATATTAGATGCCGGGCTGTCCCTTGCATCGACCTATGATCATGGTGAGCACAGCGGCAGGGCATCAGGGTAGGCCAGTAGAGGTGGCTTTGACTCAACTCAAATCAAATGTCACCTCGCTTCAGAAGCCATTGTGGATGCTGGGCTGTCGCTTGCATTGCATCGACTTACAGTCATAGTGGCCACAACGACAGGAAGTTTGGGTAATTCCTGAGCCGACTTGGAGGCTAGGACAGAAGACATATGGTCAATTTAAGTGAGGCGCTTCAGAAGCCATTGTCAATGCTGGGCTGTCCCTTGCATCGACTTACAGCCATAATGGCTGCCCGCATGTCCTGATCCATGTTGCCCCATGTTACCCTCCCTGCAGATGGCCTCCCCCTCCTGCCTCTCATGTACGAGTGGTACGGAACTCGGTACCTGGGGGCAGCACACGGCGTGGCAGGGATAGCACACGTGCTGCTGCTGCTGAGGAGAGAAGAACTGGAGGAGGAGGAGGTGGAGGGAAGGAGGGACAGGACACTGGAGGAGGCAGCAGAAGCAGCAGCAGCAGCGCTCGAGTACCTCGTAGCCACTCGGCTGTCCTCAGGGAACTACGCTGCCAGTGATGAGGAGAGCCGCGCAGCTGCTGCTGCACGCGAAAGCAGTGCTGCTGCTGCTGCTGCTACTGCAAGGGATGCTGCGGGTGGAGGTGGAAGCACGAGTGGGGGGGAGGTAGAGGTCAGGGAGGTGAGGGAGGCAGATCGGTTGGTGCATTGGTGTCACGGCGCCCCTGGTGTGGCTCCAGCTCTCGCCCTTGCAGCCATGGTGAGACCCTTAGCGCATGCAGCCATGGTGAGACCCTTTGCGCATGCAGCCATGGCAAGATGACAGCCTGCTGTTGAGGTGAATACACATCCATCTAGCGGTTGGTGCATTGGTGTCATGGCGCCCCTGGTGTGGCTCCAGCTCTCGCCCTTGCAGCCATGGTGAGACCCTTAGCGCATGCAGCCATGGTGAGACCCGTTTGCTCATGCTTCTGAAGTGATTAGACCTTGATCTGGTGGTACTCAGTCCGTTCTTTTGGACGTGAACCGCTCAGTTTCAGTGCTCATCCTTTCCTCCCTGTCTTTCCCTTTTTCCTCCAAACGCCAGCTGTACCCGTCCAAGCCCCATCTGTTGCAAGCAGCCATCGAAGCTGGGGAGGTGGTTTGGCGCCGAGGCTTGCAGGTCGGACTCTGCCACGGCATCAGCGGCAACACCTACACCTTCCTGGCTCTCCACCGAGCCACAACCGCTGGCTCGGCAACCGTCCCTGCCCCAGGCTTGGGATCAGCTGCTGCCGAGGGCGCTGGAACTTCTATGGCTGCCATTTCAGCATTGCCCGGAGCTTTGACAGCAGGAGACGCTGCCACATCAGCACTGATGACACGTCACCTGCACAGGGCGCGTGCGTTTGCTGGTTTCCTGCATGCCAACTGGCGCCAGCTGGCGGAGGCAGGGATGATGCATTGTGGGGACCACCCATTCTCCCTGATGGAAGGTCTGGGCGGCCCTGCTTGTCTGTTTCTGGACATGAGCCGGCCCAACGAAGCAAGGTTTCCAGGGTATGAGCTGTAGAGCTGGCTTGGATATAGTGTTCTTGGGACCTGCGTAGGATATAGTGCAGAGAGGGTGGAAAGAGTGGTATCAAGCAGATGACAAGCAGCAGATAGTAGTTGACGTCACAATGCCATGCATGATATGAAGTTGGATGTACCATGGATATTGCTTTTTCGCTCCGAAGAGTTTAGAATAGAACTCCGACGCCGCCGTCAGCACTTCCCTTTCTCCTTCGTACTTCTTCCCTTCATACACTATCTCCTTGATCGTTGTTTTTGCCTTCCGTATTGTAATCCTCCGTGTCAGGGATTTCGTCGCGATCTCCCCGACGAAACAGTACGATGGGGTGTGATGTGAATCAGTTTTTCGTGAAGCAGTACGTATACCTAGTGGAACAAACTATATGCTGTTACACATGAAGAATGCTCATAGTCAATAGATACTACACCAATGCTAAAGAGAACGATCACACTGGGCTACAGTAAGCACGTCCACTAATCTACGCCAACAACGTTTGACACTCCACTCAACACAAACAACCTCAATAGAGTCAATCAGGTCAATCAGAAAGAAGCATATCAGAAAGGCGATGGTAGTACACAACACTAGGACGCCGAGCTAGCAGGCATATAAGGAAGGGACGCAGCATGGGTATGAATGCATTCTATTCTACCCCCCTACGACTCTAGTATGAGCTCAAGCCGCCCCAGTGCCATGCGCTACCATCGCCAAACGCCGCTCATCTCTCACTCAACTTTTGATCGCTCCCATTCGAAAATGGGCTCATTTGTTTCGAGCACGCGGTGACGGAAGAATGCGGTACAAAAGTGGGCAATGATAAACACGAAGCAGAAGCGGTAAGGATGGCAAGGGCGAAGGGAGAGGGAACTTAGCCGTATGGGGGTGCTTGCAGGACAGTGGCGTCAGGCTTCCAGGAGGCTCGCACACCGCTGTGACTGCCTGCCGTGCGTCATCCCACCGCCCTCCCTCCCCGCACCACGCTGCCATAGCACCAGACGAGATGGGAAGGAGAGCAAGAAAACAGAGCAGGGGAAAGGAACCCAAGTAGTCAGTAGAAGCATGAAAGTAGTGAAATGCATGCAAGGAGGCAGAGATAACAAGAACGATGAGTAGAGGAAACGAAAGTTGAAGATAAAAAGCACGTGGCACTGTGACGCTGTGAAAGGGGAGGCGATGGTAGCACACAGCACTAGGGCGCCGAGCTAGCAGGCAAGGGGGACGAGGTTAGGAAGGGACGCAGCATGGGTATGAATGCATCCTATTATACCCCTCTACGACTCTAGTATGAGCTCAAGCCGCCCCAGTGCCATGCGCTACCATCATGCGCCTCATAAACCCCCATTCAACTTTTGACCCTTCCCACAAGGATATGACGTTTTGGTTTCGAGCATGCACCAAGAGAAAGAACAGAGCGGTAAGGAAAAGAACAAACGACAGCAAGGAATACGGCAGCAGCTTGATGGCAAGACAGTGTGGAACAAACGACAGCAAGGAATACGGCAGCAGCTCGATGGCAAGACAGTGTGGAACAAACGACAGCAAGGAATACAGAGGCAAGACAGTGTGGGGCTTAGGAGGGAACTTAGAGACGGAAGCAGCAGCAGTCGTTCCAAGCTGCATCGGGAGGCTGCATCAGGGGGCTGTATCAGGAGGCTGCATCGGGAGGCTGCTCCTCCCGTTGTGATCCGCAGCAGTTGGACTCCCATTGCCGGCACTCCAAGCCACCTCCCTCCCAGCAGCACAGAGACTCCCACCAGCAGCCCTCCCAGCAGCACAGAGACTCCCACCAGCAGCCCTCCCAGCAGCACAGAGACTCCCACCAGCAGCCCTCCCAGCAGCACAGAGACTCCCACCAGCAGCCCTCCCAGCAGCACAGAGACTCCCACCAGCAGCCCTCCCAGCAGCACAGAGACTCCCACCAGCAGCCCTCCCATCCCAGCAGCAGCGAAATTCCCATCGGCCACACTCCCAGCTGCCCGTGAGGGAGTGGCGTGGTCAGCAAGGCACACGCATGCCTGCCGTGCGCCATCCCACTGCCCTCCCTCCCTCCCCTCTCCTCTCCTGGCCTGCAACAAGGGAATGGATTGGGGAGAGAAGGCAGTGATTTGAAGGAATCGAGCAGGAAGAAGCAAGGAAGCAAGCAATACAATGAATCTGCTGAAAAATAGAAAAACAGAACGGTGAAAAAGACAGACATCAAGCACTACGGTAACGAAAGGCGATGGTAGGCATGGCACTTGGGCAGCAAGAGCTAGCACGCGAGGGTGGACTGGGGGTAAGAAAGAGACGCGAGCATGGGTATGAATGCATTCTATTCTACCCCCCTACCACTCTAGTATGAGCTCAAGCCGCCCCAGTGCCATGCGCTACCATCGCCACGGTGAATTGACGTTTTGGTTACGAGCATGCACCGAGAAAGCAAAGCATCAAGAAAATGAACTAAAGGCAGAGAAGCGATACGGATGGCAAGAGGGTAAGTAAAGGGGTTAAGAGGGGACTTAGCAGCGGTACGACGGGTTGAGCGACGGAAGCAGCAGCAGTTGTTGCCAGCAGCAGAGTGACTCCCATCATCAACGGCACTCCCAGCAGCAGCCCTCCCAGCAGCAGCAGCAGCAGCAGCAGCGCCAGTCGAGCTCGTTTGGCGCGTGAGGGAGTGGCGTGGTCAGCAGGGCATGCAGGACGCAGGCCGTGCGTCATCCCACTGCCCTCCCTCCTCTCCTCCCCTCGGACGTGGAAGTGCGTTTGGGAGAGAAGGCAGAGGGGATGGGAATTAAGAATCAGGTACAGCAGAAGGAAGAATAGGAAAACGAGGGTACAGTCTGTGAGAGGGAGCGAGGTGACAAAATCAAACAAAGCAACAAACTTGCCACCAGGAAAACGAAAGGTGATGGTAGCACAAAGCACTAGGGCGGCGAGCTAGCATGCGAGGTGGACTGGGGATAAGAAAGAGACGCGAGCATGAGTATGAATGCATTCTAGCCACCTACAACTCTAGTATGAGCTCAAGCCGCCCCAGTGCCATGCGCTACCATCGCCACGCTGAATTGACGTTTTGGTTACGAGCATGCGCCGAGAAAGCATAGAATCAAGAAAATGAACGAAAGACAGAGAGGCGATACGGAGGGCAAGGGAGCGAGCGAGTAAGGGGGTTACGAGAGAACTTAGCTGTGAGGTGGTTGAGCGGCAGGATGCATCGCCTTCGCCTTCGCTTCCCTTTTACCTTCAATGCGTGGTCAGCAAGTGCCGTCTCGATGGTCCTCGTCAGCCAGGGAGTGGATAGGTGAGAGAAGGCAGTGATAAGAAGGAATTCTCTAATTGAAGTGTGGAACAAGTAAACGGAAAGATGCAAGCAACGGAACAACCAACAAGAGCAAGTGGAAGGTACAGTTTTGTGGAAAAAACAGACACAGGGCACTCAAGACCAGGGTAACATAAGGCGGTGGGTGGCCATGGCACTAGGGCAGCGAGAGCTAGCATGCGAGGGTGGGACTGAGGGTAAGAGAGAGACGCGAGCATGATATGAATGCATTCTAGCCCCGTACGACTCTAGTATGAGCTCAAACCGCTCCAGTGCCATGCGCTACCATCGCCACACGCCCGAGAACCCCCAAATTCAACTTTTTGCCCCTTCCCGAGTGGAAATGAAGTTTTAATTCAAGCATGCAGTGAGAGAACAACGCGTTACGAGAATGGACAGAAGACAGAAAGCGAAAAGGATGGCAAGGGGGTGAGAAAGCGGGTTAAGAGGGGACTTAGCAGCGGTAGGACGTATTGAGCGACGAACGGAAGCAGCAGCAGTTGTTCCCAGCAGCAGGGTCCCTCAATGTCCTTCGCTGTCAATCGCCTCTTCAACCCTCGCCTCCTTGTCGTTGCAGATAGTCGCAGATCCTCGCAGATAGTCGTCGCAGATCGTCGCAGATCGTGGTCGCGCAAATCGTCGTCGCAGATAGTCGTTGCAGACCGTCGTCGAAGATCATCGTCGCAGATCATCGTCGCCGAGGTTGCCATCATCAGAAAGCGCCATCGCGGTCGTCGACCTTGGAAGATCCGCCATCGCGGTCGTCAGAACTCGCCGCCTCGGTATTATAAAATTTCACCGTCTCCTCATCACGGTCGGCACTCCCATCGAAAGACTCCACTCGTCGCGTAATTCCTCATCGCAATCGCAATCGTCGCCACTCCATCGACTTTCTCCATTTCCGCTTCCCGTCGAGCGCTCACCTTCGCCTTCGCCTTCACCGCCTCGATCGTCAGGGTCACTCAGAAAACGCCGCCGTGACCGTCACGATTTGTCAGTCAAAAAACGTAACCTCATTTGCAACGTGAGATCTCGCCGTCTCGATCAACATCCTCGCTACTTGCCGTCCCTTCTCCGTCAGAATATCGTCACTGTCAGAGTATCGTCACCGTCAGAAGGTCGTCACCGTCAGAAGGTCTTCACCGTCAGAACTTTCACAAGTCACACTTGTCACCGTCACAAGGCGTCAATCGTCACCGCAAGAGCTCCTCATTAGAATTTTCACCGTCAGATAACGCCGTCTCGATCGTCAGCCTCAGCACTCCTCGTCGTCCCAATCGTCGCAGTCACGGATCGCCTCTCAATAATGATCACCCTCGAATTTACTATCGTCCTTATAAAGCAGCAATCCGATTCTATTGGCGGAATTCCGAGCGTCGCTACCGACGTATACTTCAACGGCGGTACTAACGTCTCCAAGGCTCATGAACCGTCTCCGAATAGCAGTAATTTCTGGATGCTATTAGACAATTGACTGAATGACGAGCGTTGCTAATGCTACAATCGAGCTGCTCTGAGGTATACAGTAGTAGCGTAGTCATAGATAGCATACAGATAGGACTAAGATAACGTCTGCGGGTCTGTTAGCGGTCTGTGATGGAATGGAACACGACAGCGATGAATTGCTGACGAAACGATCTGAGAGTCCCGCGATCTGAAAGTCGAACAGAAGTGCACTGAATAGGTAGAGAAGAACAATCTTAACAAGATCTTGCGGCGACTACGATTAAGACATAACTAATGGTTGGTATTCAATAAATTTCGGGCGACAGCCATGGATTTCAGGGAAACCGAACGAGCTAACGTCTAGGAGTACGCGGGAGATGTGGTGATGACAGAATTCGGAAAGCTTAGCGATTGAGTTCATGGATAGTAGCACTGGTATGAGGAGTACATTGGAGCAATGCAGGATAGACAGAGCGTTTAAGAGTGGTGTAGAGAGATTCACAGACAGGTAAGAGAGGTGAGGCAAAGGGATTGAGTAGAGCGGAAGAAGCAACATGCTCGAGTACACCGAGGCCTCTGCTTTGGTGGAGGCCGCCGTATCATCGGCGCTTGGCGCCAGTTTCGTGAACCAGTGTGCCTTTCGCTTGCGGAAGAATAATTTCGCGACCAAATTAACTAGTTCTCGCGAGAGGAGTTACAGCATATGGGGATCAGACAGGAACATGTGTCACTGTTTGATCGAACGGTCGAGCGCAACTTTCAGCAGAATACTCGACAGTATGAGGCCCAACAGTAGCCTAGGCTAGTCATAATCAAACGAAAGAAAAGTCGATGTGAGTTACTGTAACGCATTCTGATTGGATCAACATATTGCTTTTATACAGCACACAGGCTCCAAAACAGACTCAACCTGTACATTTTAACTCAGTACGGCGGCCATGACTGTTTTGCAAATTATATTCGAGTACAAACCTTGCATTTCTTGTACCAGTATTAGCATCATTATTTCCACTTCTTGGCAGTCCTCTTGTGTTGTGCTTCCCATCTCTTCTGCAGATTCCGGCATTGACTGGCCTTGGAATGTTCTGAGACCAGGCAGCACCACCTGATTCCCACCTAGATGCTCCTTTACACGAGACAGGAGCTCACACACGCAGCAGCAGCCCCACCCATGCCATCCGCCTGTCTGAACAACCTCACCAGAGCGTGGTCGTCAAAATCCCTCGCGTGCTCTCGAAACACCACCAGCCCATCATTTCCCGCCCAGTTGCTTCCATCACTCAATCAGGACGACTCAAAGGCAGCACCAGCCTGTCATTTCTCATCCAGCTGCTCCATCACGTGAGTCAGCGCTGCCACCGGCAGCAGCAGCCCCACGCTCTCTGTGCCATCCGCCTGCCTGAATGTCCTCACCAGAGCATGGTCCTCAAACTCTCTTAGGTGCTCTCGACATAATTCCAGCCCATCATTTCACACCCAGCTGCTCCATCACGTGAGTCAGAGCCCCCACTGGCAGCAGCAGAACCATGCTCTCCGTGCCATCCGCCTGTCTGAACACCCTCACCAAAGCATGGTCCTCAAACTCCCTCAGCTGCATGGTACATCTTACCATGCACTTTAAGAACTGCTGTTATTTCCTACCCAGCTGCTCCATCACGTGAGTCAGAGCCGGGATCGGGAGCAGCAGCCCCACACTCTCAGTGCCATCCGCCTGCCTGAATGTTCTCACCAGAGCATGGTCCTCAAACTCCCTCAGATGTGCCCGCAGCGTTACCTCGCTGGTAACCAGAAAGCGCGTTCGGCAGAGGGAGTAAAGCTGGGCGAAGGGCAGGGCTGTAGAAAACAGACACAATGGCATAGGGAAAGAGTTGAGAAAGAGAGAAAGAGGATACTGATTACCTCACTGGTAACCGACACGACACAGGATGCAAGCATGTGCGCAATCAATGTATCATTGGTGCAACATATTTGCAAGAATGGGAAGAAATAGATCGAGTGAACATGTGGGACGGGAAAGGCGAAGGAGCAGGGAGAAAGGAGGGGCAGGGACAAAGGAGGGGCAGGGACAAAGGAGGGGCAGGGACAAAGGAGGGTCCAAGAGAAAGGGCACCTTGAGGCTGGTTCTTCTGGCCTGACCCCCCGCCTTCCTCCTCCCCATCCCCGTCCCCACCACCACCACCACCAGAACTGCCACCAGCAGACCCCCCTCCACTGCCTCGGCCTTTACTGCCACCAGCACTAGACAGAAACGGCTGTGCTATGAGGATGAAAATCTGGCAGGCGTTGGGGGGGAGACTGCGGAGGACCAGCAGGGCGGCCTGTGCTGCAGCAGTGGCTGAGTGCGCGTGGGAGAGGGTGGCGGGGGAGAAGGCGGAGGCCTCCTTGGTGTAGGCGCCACGTGTCACCACGTGATGGGTGGCGAAGTTGAAGAGGGAGAGGGTCTGACGGTCAAATACTGGAGATTTTTTGGGGTTGGGAACAAGGGGGGTATATGTGAAAGACAATGAGCACATGTTGTGGAAGAAACATGTGTGTTTATGAATGTGGATATGCACATGTGAAGGAGCATGGGAAGACCGGAGTGCATGACATAGGGCATGACATAGGGACACCCAGATTCCAACTCACATGCGGAGGAGAGGACGTGGTCAACTGAGGTGATGACAGCAATGGCAGGGCAGGCAGCAAGAACGGCGAGCAGAGAAATGCAGGCAGGCGATGCTCTCAAAGGGGGTGCGTCCAGATTGTGAACCACAATGCACAGCCACGGACTGGCATTCTCTCTGCTACAGCTGCTACAGCTGCTACAGCTGCTACAGCTGCTACAGCTGCCGTTCCCCTCAAGCTGCTCCTGCTTCTTCGTTTGCTGACGCTGTTTTGACACCTGGCGCTGCTTCCTCTGCAGCAGCTGCTGCTGCTGCTCGGTCACCAGATCGATGATCCACCGTGCCAGCTCAGCAGCGGATGCTGATGATGTGGCAGATCCTTTTCGGCCTTTGGTTGATGTGACAGGTTGACAAGACGAGGCGATTGCAGATGCCATCTGGACATGACATGTCACCAAACACGTGCAGCACATGCATTCGTGGACAGCACAGCATGCATAGTCAGACATGTATGCACGACCATGCATAAATTCATGAGTTCATGAGCATGCATTGCCATTCAAGCTGCTTACCAAAGCGCGCACATCACACACACGACAAGAGCACCAGGCAAAAATAAGACAAAGGAGCACCAAGGACACCGGGAATGCAAGCATGCATTAGCAAATGTATAGATGCATAATTACTGGTGGACTCGCAATTACCCGTGCAGGGGTGGCGTTGGCATCGGCGCCATTAATGGTGACGACTGTCTTGTCCGCTAAGCATTCCGATGCGAATGCGGTGAGCAGGGCGTGCTTGGAGCCAAGGCCATAGAACAGGAGGGAGAATCCGTCCCTGAAACGACACAATAAGGTGGGATAATCGAGTTTTGAGGCTTGAAACTGTCTTGTCCACTGGAGGCTTTGATGCTAATGCGGTGAGCAATGCGTGCTTGGAGACAAGGCCATAGGACGGGAGGGAGAATCCGTCCCTGAAACGACACAAGCCTATGGGATGGGACAATCATAGCCGTTCCTTGATGAGATCGTGCTTCTGTTGCTCCGCGGTTATGTACCAGACTATTGGACAAAACAATATCAGACGAGGGAATTACAGACACGACAAATTCCATCAAGGAAACCGAAATGGATCGCGGCGAAAATTCGTAGTGTGACCTTGCCTGATCATGATCCAAACGCTGGTATCGACCTTGCCCGGTATCACCATCAGCATCGTCATCATAAGACATAACGCGTGTGGATGAATGATTAAACGACTCTCGGTCCACGACGCGGACAAATTCACTCACTCACTCTAGCTGCTGTCTCCAAAGCGGGAACCGACCCCGCAGATCCTGGATGCTGTGAACCTCGATGGACGTCCGTTCCTCCTGATCATGAAGCGGAGCTGCTACTGCTGACTCAACGTCCATAACTCTTAGGCAGTGTAGCTCAGATCATAATGGTTTCAAATGTTTACTTCAAGGTGCAGAAGGTATAGCTCAACCACTGAATCAACGTCCATGATTTAGCGGTCGCGATAGCAATGACGGATCAGATCCAAGACAGCCTTTGCTATCTAATCCGATTCTAGTCACGCGTTGTCACCGCCATAGAAGCCTTCTAATCCAATTCTAGTCACCAACGAATCTAGACCAATGAAAGAAGAACTACCAGCAGCACACGAGAACCAAACGGCCTTCGGAATGAACGATTTCTAGACAGTAAGGACGCGTCAACTCCTGCTAAAATCGGCGATCGATCCTGCAAAATCGATCGGCCACCGCACTGAAATCCCGCATTTGCTTCCAATTTTTACTAGAACCTCCTCTAACCCAGGTAACATTCGATCCTGCGCAGGATCGATCACCAAAATTTGCAGGAGTTGACGCGTCCTAACGACTTGCAATGGCATCACCACTATGCCCTCTCGACTCGATGTGTTTATGATGAAAGCTGAGTGGCTGTCGGTCAACTGCTGTCATCATGAAACATCAGCGAGAAATTCAGAGTGACGGCTAGGCTGGAATGATACAGTTTTATGCTTCACCATTGAGCACCTCGGCACACGGTGGAGGCGAAAAGGCAAACATTATAGTATCCATGCCAAAAGGCATGATTGCTAATAGCAACCACACTTATGCCAGCTGCAGTTGCACAACACAAAACACGTATGGTTCAATAGCCTAAACTATAAAGATAAAGCACCAACTTCCCCTTGTCATTGCACACTTATCGGTGCCTTCACATCACTAGTAGGTTCAGGGGAAGCCGACGCAGCAAGTCTAGCTGCAGCCGTGACAGCAACAGATGCTGCTGCTGCGGCAGCAGTCACTGCCGAAGGCCGTTTCACCTCCAGTGCCAAATCCTTGGGACTTGTGTCAAAAAGCTGGAGAGTAGTTGTGGGTAAAGAACGGTCCTCAGCAAAACGCACAGCATCGCCAGCAGTAGTTGAAATGCTGCTTCCGTCTCCAGCAGCAGATGGAACACCAGCAGCAGTAGCACCACCAGCAGTAGCACCAGCACCAGTCGCGCTAGCAGCAACCCCACCAGCTGCAGCAGCACCACCAGCAGCAGCAGCACCAGCAGCAGCATCAGGCACAAGCGGCAGCTGGGGAAGGCTATTCTGGGCAGGTGTTACCTGCCCAGCAGATACATTCCAAGGGCCGGTAGCAGTAGCGACACCAGAAGGACCCACAGCACCACCAGGAGCAGGCACAGATGCAGACGCAGCGGCAGAGGAAGAGGCAGTGGGAGCAGTAGAAGCAGAGAAGGCTGCTTGCTGTGCTGCTGCTGCTGCAGCCGCGGCAGCAGCAGAGGAAGCAGACGGGAAGTGCGACGTGGTTCTAGGCCAGAGGAAGGAGGTGTAGGGGTAGCTGGAGGGGTAGCCGGTAGGGGGAGAGGACGAGAGGGGGGCGTAAGGGTAGGTGGAGGATGGAGAGGCAGGGAGATATGCTGATGGTACTGCTGCTGCAGCGCCCGCAGCACCCGCAGCAGCAGAAGCGGCAGCAACAGGAGCAGGCAATCCGGATCGGAAAGGGGAGAAAGCAGAGCCCCCACCAGCTGCTGCAGCCGCAGCGGCAGCAGCAGCAGCAGCAGCAGCACTGGCAGGACCAATCCCACAAGAAGCAGCAGCATTACCGCCACCCACAGCACCAGCACTACTAGGAAAGCCCATGCCACTCTCAAGTTTTGTCCTTTTCTCCACGTTGCTGCTGCCCCCCAGCAGCTTCGGACCGCCCCCATCCGCCCCTGCTCGCTCAGCAGCCTGGCTCATCCTGGCCATCCGTTGCGCCAACTCATGTCCAATCTGGACCGTTGCTTCATGCCCCATCTGCATCATCATCTCATGCCCAATCCTGTGCCGCGCAGCTGCTGCGTCTGCAAGCGCGCCGAGCCCTGCGCCCGCGCCCACCCCTGGCGCACCACCCATGCCCGTGTCCCCCCCCTGGCGCCCCATCGCCGCGGCGGCGGCTGCGGCCGCCGCGGAACTCCCCGCGCCTGCGGCGCCACCGGCGCACATAGACCAGTCGAGCGCCATTGCCCCACGCCCAACAGCGCGCGCGGCGGCGGCGGAGGCGGCGGAAGCGTTGGCGGAAGACGAGGGGAACAGATGCCACTGGGGGGCCTGCGAGTGTGGATGCGCGGAATAGCCATGCGCGGAATAGCCATGCGCGGAATAGCCATGCGCGGAGGGGAGATAATGCGCCGGGCCGAGATCGACCGGCGGAACGGCGGAAGACTCGGGGATGGAGGGCGGGTGAAGGGACGGCAGGGACATGGGACGCGTGAGCGGCGGAAATGCTGCGGAAAGTGGGCCGCCACGGGCAGCGGCCGCGGCGGAAGCGGCGGGAAGGGCGACATTATCGTAAGGGCTTCCGCTTTCGAGCATGTGAACTGCGGGGTACGACTGGCAACGGCTCAGATCGAGAAAACCGTGAGCGGACGCGGAAGGGGCGAAGGAATGCGGGGAAGGATGCGCGGAAGGGGAGGAGGCGGAGGCGAAGGGATGGGCGGAAGAAGAGTGCGGGTTGTAAGAGGGCGGGGGTAGGGTTTGCGCGGTGTTGGGGAGCTGGTACGGGCGGGAAAACGCGCGTGCGTGCGGAAGCGCCTGATGGAGTGCATGGTGGGAGAGCGATTGCGGGGAGACGAGCGCGGAGGCGGAGGGGGAAAGCGCGGAAATGGCGGCGGCGGAAGAGACGGCGTTGAGTCCGCCGGAAGCTCCGGAGGGGAGTAGCTTGGGATCGTCGCGGAGCGACGGGAGAGACGGCGTGCTCATGGATCGAGACATGACCGTTGCGCCCGCCGCTTCCTCCGCTAGCTGCGGCGTGGGGAAAAAGCGGGAGAGGATCGCATGGGGTTTGTTTCTCTGTCCTAAACAACAAGAGATTGATGGAAATAAGGCCTCCGCAGCCCACCTGTTCGACTTCGACAGCTGGCGCAGCGAGGGTTGTGAAAGCGAGGAGCATGTTCTAACAGTACACTCACTTCAAAACAACGAGCACACTCAATCACACCCGATCACGTACCACGTCTGTGCTTATATCGAAGAGGCTCGACCGCCGCTTGCGCTTGTTCAGGTTGCTCTGGCGGATGAAGTACTTCTGCGCGTGGCTCGCCACCTGCGTGGGCGTGCGCGTCGTCACGTAGTTGCGCGAGATCCCCCGCCAGTCGCCCTTCCCCAGCTTGCTCAGACCAATCAGAAACAGCCGATGCTCCTCCTCCGTCCACGCGATCCCCTTCTTCCGCTCCCTCGACGATGATGTTCCGCCCATGTGCCCCCCTCCCCCTCCGCCTCCGCCGCCTCCGATTCCTCCTCCGCCTCCGCCGCCTCCCCGTCCCCCGCCGTCAACCCTTCCGCCCACCCCTCCTCCCCGCCCGCTCATCGGCGCGTTCGCGACTTCACTTCCCGCGTGTTGCGGCGTACAATTCGAGCCCTCGCTGCGCGCCGCTACCGCCGCCTGTCGCGCTCGTTCCCCGCCGCAGCCGCCGGCGCTGCCAGCGGAAGACTCGGGGTCTGCTGCCGGCCGTCCTGCCGGTTGCTGTAGCGCGCCGCCACGGGAATCGCGGGCTTCCCGTTCCGCTTTTCCCCCTGAGCCCTCCGCGCGGGCCCCGTCCCCCTCCGCATCCTCCGCGTCCTCCGCGTCATCTTCAGCTGCACTATCCTCTTCCATACTGTTCCCTACGCTCCCCTCGCCCGCGCGGAACAGCGGAAGCCGCAAGCGCGCGGCTGCGCCTGAGGCGGCAAAATTGCGGCGGCGGCGGCTGAGATCCGCCAGCGCGCTCGTGCTTGCGCACTTGCGCATGCCATCCGGAGGGGAGGACGTGCGGAGCGGAATTGACGTAGGCGTCAGTTCTACCGGCCCGGCTGGCTGCGGAGGGGAATTCAACGGTGGCTGCGCCAAGCTAACACCGAATATACGGAAATTCTGAACGGGAGCTGCGCCATCCTCTTTTTCTTTGCTACGTTTTTCGCCATCATCGGAGGAAGGATCTGTAGAGACCATGACGGGGCGTGGGGGCTAAAGAGGGAGAAGGGAGCGGGAGCGGGTTAACTATCCGAGAAAGGGGCGTTGAGGGCTTTCGTGAAATACGAATCCTGTGGTGCTTGCGCCTGGGATGGACGACGGAACGCGTGTGTTTGACGGGCAGCAACGTGAGCTGGTCGACGTGAGGAAAGTGCAACGGTTATCCTAATTGTTCAAGGAGAGGCTTCATAGACGAGAGCGAGCTCAACAATCGTTGGCCACGGCGTTGTGCCGTAATCCCGCTGTTAGTGCTCCAAGGTTGGTGGCAATGAGCAAGCATTGGAAATCTCGACCCTGAATGTTGGCCACGAGAGAAGCAAGGAGCTGCAGACAACAGACTAGGATGGGATGGAAAACAAGTGTTGCTGCAGAAGGGGAGGATCGCCTCGCCGCACAGCTCACATGTGCTGCTGGATGCAACTGCCAGCCACACAGGAAGATATGACAAAACCCCCAAGGTGTTCCGTTTCGTGTGGTGCTGCGAATCGGGGATTGAAAAATCGGCCATTATCTCCGATACTCAAATTATGCCCGGAGCGTTTTTCGTTCGTACTCAACCGACAATTTCTGTTGTATTGCTCACATATACTGTTTCATTTTTTATAGGCACAAAACTGAAACAAAGTTGCCACTAACACCTCACCTGCACATACCCCTGCAAACAAAACAAGATATAAAATGAAACACTTAGATAACCTGAATACACTTTGGGAAAATCAAACATAAATACAGGAAGCTACCAAATATTTAAGGTTGATGCCTTCGCTTTTGCCTGCAGTCTTTTAATGAGTGTTAATATACTTATTGTTCTTTACGGAAGTTAAGCTCCGATCCAAGGGCGCGTATATATGGATTGAAAGATTTCATCTCAAATTTAAAACTGTTGAAGACTTTGTTGGATTTAGGATTCCGTGATTGGTTGGCGAACTACAAAATCTATGACGAGCTGGGGTAACTTTTTTGCTTCACCAATCACGGGCGAGCAAACCAGCCAAGTGTTAAACGTCAGGGTATAAGTGTAGAACGTTTGTAAATATGAGTCGCGAGTTTTAAGTTCACATCGAAAGATCGATACAATTTTTTGTAATTTAATGTGGTAACTGCGTTCAGTAATCGCGTTCTGTTTCTATCACATTTCAACAGTATTATTAGCGTAGAAAGTGTGATTAAAGAGCGAGAGCCAATCGGCGATGAGGAATACAGGTTGAGTATGAACGAAAAACGCTCCGGGCATAATTTGAGTATCGGAGATAATGGCCGATTGAAAAATGAAAAGGTAATTTCGTGGTGTGACAGTTTCTAGGAGGGGCATTGGGATTCAGTTTCTAGGAGCCCTCGCAACGCAATGCGCCTCGCGTGTCACACGTGGACGTCAAGAAGTGGTTCAGGCTGCACTTGTGCTCACGGAGTTTGTTGCCACGCGGCAGCTCCTCAAGCGGCAAGATTTCCGCCAAAATTGGAGGTTAGGAGGTGGAGCAGAAAAAGACAGACGCTGATTTTTTTGGCGCGCAGTATCCGGACGGTGGTCATGTGGCGGTCAAATTTGGGAGGTCTGGATGGATAATTCATGGTGATGCGGATGGCTGATGGTTTGGGCAGCTTCCAGCCCAAAAGAAACATGCAACCAACCAGTTGAGTCCGCATGTGTCTGCAGAACAGTCCGCACACATGTAACTTCGGATGAAATGAAAGAGGAAAAATGTTTGGGCAGGGGAATGCGGAACAAGACGCTGTAGTTCTCACACGAGTTGTTCTTGTTCTTGGTGGATGACGTGTGACGTGACGGATTGTGACAACTATGGATGTTGTGGTTGTGGCTGAGGATTCAGCCACACAAAACCAGAACCAGATCCGTCCACACATAACCGTTGTGCAAAATTAACCTGAGTTCTTCAGATGATTCACTACTTTCATCATTCTCTAACTTCGTTTGGATTGAAGTGGGGCCTCGGCCATTTCATGGTTTTCAAAGTTCGCACGGACTTTTTTTTTTTTTTTTTTTTTGGAGTTGCCTCTAGATTCAGTGTCTGTAGGTGGAAACGGTATTTGCTCTAATCAAGTTTCAGCCTTTGTAAACGGCGAGTCTGCGTATGTCTACAGTTACTACTGGTGAGGACTGATACTGATCTATTGGCGCTGTACATCATGGGCTTGGAGCGCGTGAATTTTCATTTGTCATCGTCGACTTGTCTGCGTATATAATAGCGGAGCATGCACGTCAGAAAGAATACTAATGGATATGAAGTGTAAAAATCTAGGGTGCGCGCATCCGTTCCGTTGTTTACGGAAAGATCCAGATTCCATGTGCAGAATTATGATGATCGGACGACGAGGCAGCAACTCCCTTCATGTCCGAAGACTTTGGAAGGCTAGCCAATTGTCCGTTATTGACACAATGAAAATCGTGGTCAATAAATCTCTGATGGACATTGCACAGCTGGAGGAGATACAGTGGTGCAAATATTCATTATAGAGTAATTGGAGTCGCCGACCACATTAGGTTCAAGCACAACCATACAACCATCATCATACACACTGCTCATATGCTCTTCTACGATCTCATTCACTTATAATATTATTCTACTGAGTTGAAAATACGCCTTGTCTAGGAACCATACGATTGCAATCTTGAAGAGTCATGGTAAGCCGAGATAAAATCAGGCCATGCACAGGAATCACCAGTCTTATTGAGAGTACGTATAATCGTATTTCCACAAGCTCTACACAAAAGAAAGATATCCGATTTCCGCGGATAGTTCTTCACTGAGTCACCTCCTCCGCCCCAATGCATCTACACCACCACCACTGTTATTCTCACGCCTTGTAATATTTGGTGGGAACAAACGGCATCTTCGTAATCACAGCATCATTCACCTTCCCCCTCACATTTACCTTCAGCTCCGTACCCGCCTTGTGCAGCCCATTCTTCACATACCCCATCGCAATATTCTTCTTCAAGCACGGGCTGAACCCTCCACTGGTCACCTCACCCACCACATTCCCCTCCTTATCCAAAATCTCTACGTGGCTCCTCGCAGGAGCTCCAGTAGAACCCCACTCGCCTCCTTGCAGGCCCATCCGCCAGCTGCTTCAAAATCACGTCAGCTCCAATGAACCCTCCCTCTGCCCGCCGCCTCTTCCCGATTGTCCACGCCAGCGCACCTTCAATCGGGGTAATTTCCTCTGTTAAATCGTTGCCGTAGAGGCAAAGTCCGGCCTCCAGGCGGAGAGAGTCACGGGCACCAAGCCCGGTGAGCCTCACCTTGCCTTCGCCCACCTCGAGAAGCTTCTTGGCAAGTGCCAGTGCGTTCTCATTAGGCACGGAGATCTCAAACCCATCCTCTCCAGTGTAGCTGAAAATCGGTGGAGGGGAAAAAAAACGAAGGAATATAAGACGTTCGATTATTGTAAGCGCACCAATATCAATTGGAGCGTTTTTCATGCGTTGTTTGAATTGAACCATAGCAGGATCTTCCGCATTGTGACGATGACTATCGCCGTGAAAGTCAAGCTGTTATTAGTTCACATATTTCCGTCTAGAAAGTTCATTCCAACAAAGGAAAACCAGACAGAAAATCAATTTCGTGTAAACGGCGCAGAGAAAGGGAGGACATGAAGAAACATACCCCGTTCGGGTGAGGAAGCAATCGTGGCCGTCGATCTTGAGCATGGTGAAATCGCTGAAAGACATCTTGGAGAGGCCCGTCGACACGAGAGGCTGCAGCGTGGACGCCGCCAGAGGGCCCTGCAGCGCCAGCAGCGCGCGGTCGTCATGAATCTGCCAGGAAACGTCCTTGCCCGCCGCCTTGTAGGCCTCCAGATGAGCTCCGATGTGGTCTGTGGGACATGGATGGAAAACAATGTTTGGAAGGGAAAGGGGAAGCGTATGAGACGGAGGTACGAGTAGCTAACATGGTTGAAAGCTGAACAGGGTGATGCGAATGGTGATGCGAATAGGGGTTGTTTGGAAAGTAACGAGCGACATTGCGACGTGTAAGGTGGAGGTACTTTAGTTTACTCTCTAAATGATCACTCACCCAAATCCTTCTCGCGGCAGCCAGCGTTGACGACGAGATAGATGTGCGAAGGGGTAACCCGAGTGATGACAGTGTCGTCGATGATTCCACCCTTCTGGTTCGTGAAAACCGACAGGGTGCCAGTGCCATCCTTGAGAGCAGCAATATCCCCAACCACGAGCGTCTCGAGGAACGGAATCACATCCTTGCCCTTCAGACTAAGACCGCACATGTGGGAGACGTCGAACAGGCTTCCGTTTGTCCGGCAGTTGATGGTGGAATCGATAATGCTGTCCTTGTACTGGATCGGCATGCTGTAGCCGGCGAAGGGGACCATTTTCCCGCCTTCCGCCACGTGAAAATCGTACAACGGGGTGCGTTTCAGGTTCTCATCACTGGCAAATCCTCGGTGGAGGTTTTGAGGGATGATTCCAGCAGCAGGAGTCAGGGAGGCTCCTAGGGGTGCTGGAACGCCAGCTGAGGCTGCTGATTGCCTGGCCACTGCGGCGGCCAGAACACGGAGGGCTCCTTTACGCATCATGGCTGACAGTTTTGTTCACTGCTGCACGGGTGCACTCAGCGGAAAACGTGCAACACCACGAGCCTAGAACGTAATGAAACTATATCCGCACGCACAAGCAGCTAGGCCTCCACAAGGCGTCCTGAAAGAAAATGCAATGGTGAATGCCGTACTGGATTAGGAGACTCGAATAGAAGGGATGTGTGGAATTCCCTTTGGTTCAATTTCATAATCCATGGCTCCTGCTTGGCGTGGGAGTGTTGCTTGCTGAATTCTGAATCCAGTCATCCAGACATTTGCTGACGTCAGGTGCTCATCCGCAAGGCCAGGAGGGAGATCCCAAGGCTGACGAGGACGATTGACGTGGAAGGGTGAGAGGGGAAGGAAACGTGTGGTGGCTGTGACACACATATCGCGAGTCCTGATTGGTTCAGGCATCTTGAAAAGGGTCATGGTGCTACTGAACTGCCTAGTGAAAAGGAAACCGCGAGTCTAAAAATGCTGTCCCACGAATCAACGACGGGAGATGAATTTGATCGGACTATGGCGGGCAGGAGAACCTGAAAAAGAAGGGAAATGGTGCACGCACTCACTTTCTGCGGACGTGTATCCATCGTGGACGAACTCCAGGTGGCATCGTCGAATTATGGGAGATGCACCCCCCCCAAGCACACGCGAACACACAAGTACAGTCTACAGTGCTCCTATGTTGAAGTACTACCGTACAACAAAAATCATCTACACCTTTCTACTTGGGTTGGGTGGTGTTCAATGCCATGTAAACGCGATAAGCAATCCAACCACAGTTGGCACAATCACTGACAAACCATACACCCCTTGCAGCAAGCATTCAATTTCAGACTCACTGCAGAGCTACCGATACTGCACCATTTCAATGTAAGTCAGCTATGTTATTAGAGCGGCTATGAGGATGGGATTTTAGTGTAAGCGCGCGAGATGGTGAGGCGTCAGTGTATCCTGGTAGCACCATTGCTAGGAGAGGGGTCACCGTGGCAACGAGGTCCCACTTTCCCTGAAGAAAAAAGGGGATTGTAGCAGACAATACAAGGAATCGGTCGAATGAGAAGTGTAGAGTAATGCATGCCATGCCAGGCAAGCAGGCTAGACGTTCACAACAGCTTTGTAACAGGGTGAAGCAGCACAGCATTGCAGCATTCTGACTAAATGGCTGACTCACAGAAGCAGAGTTGATGGTGGCGCCACCTGTGGACTTCAGGACGGCAATTGTTGTCTCGACATCGCTCAGCCTTTGGAGCACCATGTCTCTCTCCCTCTCCTTGTCCTCTCTTGCTTGGCAGCTGGCAAGAATAGCCTGCGTAAGGAAGGAAAGGTGGGAGACACAAAGGGGGGGGGGGGGGGGGGGGCGGGAGCCATTTATTATACTCGACTAAAAAAAAATCTGCTGCCAGCCAGCACGAATAGGCCGTGGAGAAGGAAGGGCGGTGGTGGATACAAGGAAGGCGTGGGAAAAGGAGGGGGAGGGGGAGCACATTGACAAGCGTTGACCCACCTGGTCAAGTGCTTCGGCTTGCTTCCAAGCATCTCTAACGGCTGTGAGAAGAACATCTCGAGACATCTGCACAGATTCCTGCTCCTCCCCATCCCCCCCTGCGTAGATTGCTCCTCCTCAAGCTCCCCTAACCTCTCCGGCTCATTCTCTTTCACAACCACACCGTCTCCCTCCCCCCCCTCCCCCACCCTCTTTGGTCGAATCTCTATCCTATCCACATCCCCCCTCTCCTCCTGCCCCTCTCCCCTCCTCGCCCCCTCCTTTTCCCCAACCACACCACCTCCCTCCTCCTCCCCTCCCCCGAGCACCTCAGTATCTCCACCCAAGGCATCAGCATTGACCGAGTCCTCTCTGAATAGAACAAGACTGGCCTCTAACCCACCCACCCTCTCCTCTACATCTGTTTTCTCAATTGACAGAGGTGACTTTTGAGTCGACTCAAAAGTCTCTCTGAATAAAACAAGAGTGGCTTCTAACCCAGCCACCCTCTCCTCTACATCTGTTTTCTCCATCGTCAGCCGCCTCACCGTCCTCCCTTCCACGCTAGCTTCTTCCCTAAGCACCTCGGCTGTAGCCCTCAGGGCTTCAGCCTGTAGCTCCAGCACGCATAGCTCTACTGACCGCTCCCGAGCCTTCCGAACCTGCTCCCGAGCTAGCTTCCGAGCCTGCTCCCAAGCTGGCTTCCGAGCCTGCTTCCGCGCCTTCTCTGGATCCTGCTCCCGAGCCTCATGCCAAGCCTTGCCGACACCGCCGCTACTGTTGCCACTGCTGCCGCTGCTGTCAGTGGTATTGCGGTTACCCAGTGATAATCTCCCACTGCTATTTCTGCTACTGAGATCTAGAAGCTCCGTCCCTTCCGCTGCAATGCTGCCTGCTGCGCCCACTGTTGCTGCTGAGGCTGGTGTTGCTGCAACTGCGGCTGTGGCTGCTGCGGCTGCAAGAGGCTGGAACAGCCGACTGAAGGAGAGCACTGAGAGCAGACGAGAGCCAGTAGAGACACCAGAAGAGGCGGATGCAGGGGCAGCGGCAGGGGCACTCTCAGCAGCAGAGGCACCTGATGGAGAAGTCGTAGAGGCCCCAGCAACATCAGTGCCAGCAGCAACATCAGAGCCAGCAGCAGCAGCGGCAGCAGCAGCAGCGGCAGCAGCACACTGCTGGATATTTCCCCGCTGCTTCTACTTCTGCTGCTGCCGCAAGAGCTGCTGCTGCTGCAGTCTTGTCTGTCGCCGCCACCCTTGCCGCCTCTGCTTTTGCAACACAATCTTCCAGCCGATTCACCCCAACCAGCGATAGCTGCAGCATCACATGCACAAAGCCACCGCAGTGCACCGCTCTCCACACCTTGCTCTGACCTCCGCAGTACTCAAACCCCTCCTCTCCCCCCATTCCAGTCGAGACCGCATGGGACGAGGGAGAGAGGGGAAAGGCGGCAGAGGGGACGGAAGAGGAGTGGGGCAGCGAGGCGGTATTGATGCCTGTGAAGCAGCGCCGACGCAGGGGAGGGCGAGCACCAAACCTTGCCGTGGTTTGCTCTGAGCCGGTTTTCTCTGAGCCGGTTTTCTCTGAGCCGGTTTTCTCTGAGCTGGTTGCTCCTGCTGCTGCTGCTGTTGTTGTTGTTGTTGTTGCTGCGAGGCCACTCGTTTGTCGCTGGCCCATGTAAGCCGCCCTGCTTGCTTGCCTGGGGAACGAGGTTCGTCCTCTAGTTCCCGGGATATCCGCACCTGAGGCGGCATCAGCAGTGGTAGTTTTATCAGGAGTAGCAGCATCAGCATCAGCAGCAGCAGCAGCAGCAGCAGCCCCAGCAGCACTCTCCATCTGCTGGTGGTGATGGCGTAGCTGCTGTTGCAGCAGCAGGCACAGCGGTGACACCTCAGTACCATCCCCTGTTGTCTCTTCCACTATGGACGGATTGTCACTCTTGCCAGATGTCACCTGCACTGCCTGCACTGCCTGCACTGCCTGCACTGCCTCCACTGCCTCTGCCAATGCTACTGCTCGGGAGAACCCTGAGCCTGCTGCTTGGGAGAATACTGAGCCTTTAGCCATATAGCCAGGGGAGGCCAAAGGGGTGGTTCCCAGAGGGGTGTTTGAGAGGCTGCTGCTGTTGCGGAGGACGAATGTGGCGGATCGGATCCGAGCCAGCATGTCCAGCTTCGGCGCTGCCGAGCCTACCCGCCTGGGATGGTGAGAACTGGGGTTGTGATCTTGGTCGGCAGAGTAAGCAGCGGCAGAGAGGGATTGAGAGGTCGGGAAAGCGGCCATGTGCGGTGCTGGTTCAGAGCTTGCGTGAGTGGTTGAGCGCGGTGCTCGGTGAGATGCGGCAGGTGAGGAGGTTTGGTGAGGCATCGTAAGGTGATCTGGGGAGGTAGATGCTTCTCTGGGTAGTTTCAAGTCGAAGCCAGAGAAGTCTGCCGTGCTTGCTGATGGGTCAGTGTCAGATGCAACACCACCTATGCTTGCTGCACCCTTGCCGACTGTACCACCACCTTCACGTTCACTGGCCTGCGCTTTGAATGAGAGTGATCGAACGGAGGAAGAGGCCAAATCCGCAGCTTCCACCTTGAATGATCCGTTGTGATTCAGAGTGCCAGTCACTCCTTCAGACACCCCTGCTCCTGCTGCTTCTCTCACTGCAGCTGCTGCAGCGGCAGCAGCTGCCACGTCAGCCTCGCTCGCCTCCATCGCCAGCTCACGCTCCACCTCTGCCAGCTGGCGCAGCGCCTCCTGCCGCGCCGCCCACTCCCGCTGCGCCATCTCAGCAGCCTCTGCTGCGATCTCCTGCTCTGTTTCCAGCTCTTGGGTCAGATACTCCACCTCCTCCTCCAGTCGCTGCCTCTCCTCCTCCGCTTGCTTCTTTTCCTCCTCCAGTCGCTGCCTCTCCTCCTCCGCTTGCTTCTTTTCCTCCTCCAGTCGCTGCCTCTCCTCCTCCGCTTGCTTCTTTTCCTCCTCCAGTCGCTGCCTCTCCTCCTCCGCTTGCTTCTTTTCCTCCTCCAGTCGCTGCCTCTCCTCCTCCGCTTGCTTCTTTTCCTCCTCCAGTCGCTGCCTCTCCTCCTCCGCTTGCTTCTTTTCCTCCTCCAGTCGCTGCCTCTCCTCCTCCCATTGCCTCTTCTCCTCATCTGCTCGCTCCTTCTCCTCCTCAGCCTGCCGCTTCTCGTCTTCAACTCGCGATTTCTCCTCCTCCAGCTGCCTCTTCTCCTTCTGTAACTGCTCTTTCTCCGCCTCTACCCGTGCCGTTGCTCGTTCCAAACGCTCCTTCTGCTCCACCAGCTGCCGCATCTCTGCTTCTGCTCGCCGCCCCTCCCCCTGCACCCGCGCTTTCTCGCTCTCCAGAGCCGCTCTCCCCTCCTCCAGCTCGCGGATTCGCCTCTCTCTCTCCTCCAACTCACCCTCTCGTTTTGCCTGGAGAGGGAGAAGATCCGTTGCTGCCCCTGCTGCTGCCTCTGCTGGCCCAGCTAGCCCTGCCGCCGCGTAGGCATTTCCTGTAACTCTGCTGCCTCCACTCTCCTCATCAATCCCACCATTTTCTCTTCCTCTTCTCCCATTCATTCCCTCCGCTTCCCTCCCCACCTCCTCCCCCCATCCCTTCTCCTTCTCCTTCTCCCTCTCTCGCTCCTTCCCCTCCTCCCGCTCCGCCACCACAAGGGGGGACTCCCCACTCCTGGTCCTCCTAAGCTCCCCAGCAGGAACCTCGAACCCTCCACCCCTGTGACTAGGTAAATCCCCTGCTCTGGGCGTCAGTGCCTTTCTTTCCTTCCTCTCTTTCTTCTCTTTCCTCTCCTTTCTCTCCTCTCCCTCCTTCCTCTCCTTCCTCTCCTTCCTCTCCTTCCTCTCTCTTTTCTCCCTCTTCTCCGTCTCCTCCTCCCCTTCCGCATGAGATCCATCGTTTCCCACGCTCCCCTTTCCATCTTCTTTTCCGTGAATTCTCTCCTTCTGCTCCTCCCGGTGCTTTCCCTCCGACCCTTCATTTCCTTCACTCCCTTCCTTCCGCTCTTTTCGCTCTTTCCGCTCCTTGCGGTGCGTTCGACCTGCATTGTCGCTGCTCGCGCTGCTGTTGCAACCATCCGTCACGTCCCTGGGAGGGGAGTCCTCCTGGGAATGGCAGACAGGAAAGGGGGGAGGGAGGGGAAGGGATGTTCCAAGTTGACTTTTTGTTATTCTGCTCGCGATCCTGTTGTAAGGATCCGTCACATCCGCGGGAGGTAAGGGCGCCTGCGAAATGTTGGAAATGGCGGGCAGGGAGAGTTTTTTTCATCATTATTGTCCTATTAATCTTATTTATTAGCTAAGTCATTCGATTTGGTTATTTTCCCGGGATGGATTTGGGTGACAGTTAGTTGGGTTACCCGGAAAAGAAAAGAAATAAACAAAAAAAAAGAGAATACGACGAAAACGAGTGGAAAAAGAGCATAAGCATGAGGGCTATAAGCTTGTGAAAATGGTATCGAATGCGGAGAGCTAGAACGCGTTGGATGCATAACATTCATGAAGCCCAAAACGGTGGCTCGGAGCAAGTCAAAACACAAAACGCGAATTCAAAGCTGAATGCACTGAAATGCGTCAAATGCGTACCATTTTCAGGGATGTCGATGCTGTGACGGAGTCAGTTTCCGAGGCGCCTCAGAATAGGTAACAGACAATGCAGCGAACCAGACACGCTGAGTGCGTACTATTTTTATATACGGTGCTACCGTGGTGGTTTCTAAGTTTCTTATAAGCCGGGACGTCGGATTGGTCCTTGCATTTCCGAAGAGACAGTTGGAGAAGAATGAAACTGACTGGCAACCATTGTAACGGATCCACTAGTTAAAAGGGTATTTACCCATATAAAGATAAGTTCTAACACAAACAGAGAGTAGCAGCTCCTGGAAATCACTAAGTCTGGAGAGTGCTAGGAGATGCAGTAACAAACTGTGGAAGGTGAGTTGAGGAGAAAAGCAATCCTATTTCCCAATTGATTTGTTGGGAGTAGGAAATGAGGAATGAGCCAAGAGGCTTCAGACCCCTTCCCTAGACCCCCTTGGGGTGCAGCCACCTTCCCCATGGCAAGGAAGGGTGCACCACCATGGGCCTTGCCCATGTGGCAAAGGTTGATCCTTTTTACCCAATGACATGGCACAAACAAAGGAATAAAATGCTGTGTATGCAATATGTTATCCATACCTGTCATGTTTTGACTGGTTGCAATTCCAACGCAAGAGTTGAGTTGGACTTAGAATGTTTGTGATTGGTTGTAACTCCAACCAGCGGCGGGAAACTTCTCGACTCACTTTGTATAAAAGTGTTCTGATTGGTTGGCTTGCCAACCAGTTCGTTTCCCCGCTTTTCAACCAGTTCATTTCCGTTTTCTCTTCCCAACCCAGGTTCAATGTATCGAGACCTTGGGTTGGTGGGATTGGATATGTTACAACCATGATGATGCCAAACTGCTCGATTTCTTCCGTTCCTTTTCCACCTCTTATCAGTCTAATGATTCGCCGCTAGATGCTTGTACCAGGAGTATCAGAAAGCAAAGCGTCTAAGCTAACCGAGCGATGGAACTGGTGATGCTGCTCGGCAAAATCAAGGCTTATTAGTGATTTTCGTGGGCGAACAGATTTCTGTGAGTGAGAGCACAAGTCAAGTGGGGGGGTCGGGACTCGGGAGTCGAGAGACCATCAAAACCCAAGAGAGAAGGGTTGACCCCCTGAAGAAGGGTGCAGGCGACGCATGAAAGGCGAGGCGGACATTTTGGCGCTATTAGACGAAACAGATGTTGTTACACGAGCGAAGGGCATTGAGGCGTGGCGAGAGCGTTGATAGCATGGAATAGTCAACCACCAGCTTGCAGCATTTGTCTCTTCGCAAATTGTCGTTACCTGCGACGCTTTCGAATCCCTCCTTGACGAACGGACACGTTTAGCGAATTGGCAGCTTGAGGTCCTCCTGTTACAGTTCTTGGAGGGCTGGCAGTGCTCGTTACGAAGTGGACCTGGTAAACGAAGGACGCAAAATCTCCCAGGGCGCTTGCGCTTACACATGCAGAAGTGCGCCTACTTCCGTATATCTAGTACCAAAGATACCGTCATACCCCGGATAGTAGCGCAGATGCGCTTATAATAAAATCTTGATTTTATTTGGGTGCGCTTATAATCGAGTAACGGCCATAAGCGCCGGCGCCTTTATAATGGCAAAAATGAAATTTGTTTGTAAGGGTACCAAAATGAAGCTTGCAATAAGGCGAACACAACGATGTGCCGTTCACGTGGGGTCATGCATGGAATCCTCGCGCTATTCGCCGCGATTCGATTCCCCACCGCACACTTCACGTCCCAGTGCAGCGCACCTGCCAGCGCTGACACAAAAGCTGTCGTGCGGCCCAATCGGGTTGTCATGCGCGGCCAGGCAGGACAACTCATCCGAACCCTCTCGAAGGGTGTGGAATATGCCCTGCCAGCACAGCACGTCTGGTGCCATGAACCCTCCTCTGCGGGTTCAGGCAGGGTGATTTTCGTCTTTCATTGATGAGGACCCCGAGGCGCTTTCCTGAAGGGGTCCTCTTCAATCGTTCATTTCTTCATTCATGCTTTGCGTTTCCCATTCACTTTCTTGTTCACGCCCGCCTGGCTGCGGAAGCCATGGCGGAATTCACAGGCACTCATTTCCTTTTCAAGAAAAAACCTAGGCCCGCTTACACAGTTGACGCTGACGGATGGTACACACGTATCCCACCAGAACCACCATCGCCACCACAGCCTCCTGCTCCTCCTGCGCCACCTGCTCCTCCTGCGCCACCTGCTCCTCCCGCTCCTCCCGCTCCTCCTGCTCCTCCGTATCAGGCGTTCCCACAACCGCCTGGGAATCATCCCGTGCTTACGCTCTTGCTCCCGTCCACCTTCGACGAGTACCTGTCTGAACCGGACAATAACAAGGGTCCAGACGTGTATGTACGGGCTCCGGCACCTGCACCAAGATGGGGCGCGCCCGAAGAATGTCGATGTCGTGAAGCCAGCTGACTCGTGAAGTCGATGTCGATGACGACATCATCGCTGACGGCTTCTTTGGCAACAACTGCCAGGAGCCCGAGTCTGACGAGGAGGAGTAGGTAGCTAGGCTGTAGTCGGACTTGAGTAGCTGGTTCAACCTGAGTAGGCTGTTGTGTATGAACCTTGAAATTGATAGGGTGAAACAACTCTTGTTAGGAATTGTTTAAAAAATGTAATGTTCTGTGAAATTAGATTGATAAGTAGATAACAGACTTTGCACATGCGCTTATAATAAGTTCAGACCTGAAAAGGGGTGCGCTTCTAATCGAGGATCCTCTATAAGCGCCATGCTCCAGATAGAAGCGCCGGCGCCTTTAATCGGACGGCGCTTATATCCGGGGCCATACGGTACTCATTTTCATAAACTAGCCTTGCACATGAACCCACTAAATTTGCATGTTTTGTTGAGCACACCTCAGATTATATCCAAGTGACTAAGGGTACATTCTTGGCTCGTGTCTGACATCAGGTCATCGGCGAAGTGGAGGCTCGGAAGACCCGAAGTGGCTCGAAATAGGGGCAAATCAGCATTCAGAAGGGACAAATCAGAGACTAAGGGCCGATGACCTGATGTCAGACACGAGCTAGGAATTTACCCTAAGGGTAAAACAAGAAATCGGATCTACTGAGGCAAAGTGGTACCCTAATGCCAGACAATATATCCTACGACTTGTGCAAATGGTTGCAAAGCGTATTGGCAAGAATTTGAACATGAAGCTTCAAGCACAGGCCGACATAGTGCGCTCCATCCCCTCTAAAGACTTGGTCGTATCTGTCCTTAGTCGTCTGGTAGAGATCCATCATGGTGTAGCCCTGTTGTGCCATGCGCCTGAACGCATACGCTTGGTAGAGCTCGTGGAATGTGCGCACTGTGAAATAATCCTGCCCTACAACTTTCCCTGAACAGCGAAAGAAGTGGACAAAAAGAGGAGAAGCATGTGAGCCCGATGCAAGCACTGGTCAGAGAAAACCAAGGCACAATGCAAAATTTACTGGAAAGACTAAGACTTCAACTTCATTCTAGCATGCGCCTCAAGTCTATACCTGACCATATGCAGAGCACCTCAAGCCCCACCTGGCCAGATGTAATGGGCCTTCCACCAGACCAGGCGGCCGCGGGTGAAGGTGCCATCGAGAAGTGGATGGAATCACCTACCTTAGGAAGAATAAAATAAAAACAATTATACGAGCCCCACCTGGCCAGATGTAATGGGCCTTCCACCAGACCAGGCGGCCGCAGGTGAAGGTGCCATCAAGAAGTGGATTGAATCACATACCTTAGGAAAAATAAAATAAAAACAATATTACGAGCCCCACCTGGCCAGATGTAGTGCGCCTTCCACCACACGAGCCGGCCGCGGGTGAAGGTGCTATTGAGCAGCGCAATGGCCTCCTCCGTGTCGCGCTTGAACGTGCGCAAGTCCAGGTCCGGTGGGGGGCGCCTGGTCCACCCGATGACCTCGTGTGCTCCGATGCTCATCACCATGGTGTCTGGCTGCTTTACGTTAGGGTCTCGAAAAGCTTCTAGAAAGTCGTTGTTCAGGTCCCTCTCTGGAGGCACCCCGGCCTGATGGGGGGAGAATGGGAGCGAGGGAGAGAATGGGAGGAAGAATAGGGGGAGGAAGGAATTAAAAAAAAAAAAAAAGTTTATGTGCTCGTGCTGCATACTCATGCTGTATTCTTCGAAGCTCACCACTGTGTTGCATGCGCAAGTGCCTGCCACTGCCTGCCAAGCCTTGACCATCAATCGCAAGACGAGTCTCAGTGGCGACCCAATCCTGACTCACAATGGGGTGGCGTTGGTGGGCCATCTTCCCTCGGAATAAGGAAGTGATTGTGGGCAGCGTTGAGTTCTCATCCCCATCCCCTGTGTCCATCAGGGCCGTGCGGTTCTTGTCCGCGTCCCACGCCCTCCGCTGCACTCCCTCACTCACGAACCCCACCCACGCTCTCTGCACTGCTCTGTATGATTGGGAAACTCACGATTGGGTGCCGCTGGTGTGCCATCTTCCCTCTAAACAGGTATGTGATTCTGGGCAGCGGCGAGTTCTCATCCCCATTGCCCGTATCCATGAGGGCCGTGTGGTTCTTGTCTGTGTCCCACGCCCGCCGCTGCACTCCCTCCCAAACACTGGACTCACGTTCCCCAACTCACAATTGGGTGCCGCTGGTGTGCCATTTTCCCCCTAAACAGATAAGTAATCCTCGGCAGCGGCGAGTTCTCATCCCCATCGCCCGTATCCATGAGGGCCGTGCGGTTCTTGTCTGCGTCCCACGCCCGCCGCTGCACACCTGCGAGGCGGGAGAACTCGGCCGCGAGGTGGCGAGTGGTGGAGTCCCCAAAGAAGTGCACCCACTTGTAGCGCAGGCATGCCCGCACCTCCTTCTTGCTGTACTCCCTGTTAGTGTGTGTGTGGGGGGAGAGGAATAGATGGAGGAGGAGGAAGGAGATGCTATGAGTCGCAATAGAACTCGGCTGCGAGGTGGCGAGGCGAGTGGTGGAGTCACCAAAGAAATGCACCCACTTGTAGCGCAGGCATGCCCGCACCTCCTTCTTGCTGTACTCCCTGTTAGTGTGTATGTGGGGGGAGAGGAATAGATGAAGGAGGAGGAAGGAGATGCTATGAGTCGCAATAGAACTCGGCTGCGAGGTGGCGAGGCGAGTGGTGGAGTCACCAAAGAAATGCACCCACTTGTGGCGCAGGCACGCCCGCACCTCCTTCTTGCTGTACTCCCTGAATGTTTGGGGAAGGGCAAGGCAAAGCAATGCTCACGAGGTGCCCTGCGAGGCGGGAGAACTCGGCCGCGAGGTGGCGCGTGGTGGAGTCGCCGAAAAAGTGCACCCAATTGTGGCGCAGGCATGCCCGCACCTCCTTCTTGCTGTATTCGCTTGTGAGATGGGGGGGAAGGAGAGAAGCGGGAAAGATCACCAGTGGCCAACCTGTAACAGCAAACAAACTCTAGAAAACGGACTGATGCTGACACATCAATAGCGGAAGGAAGGAGTAAGGCTCCCACGTGCTGTAGTCCTTCCATTACTCGGTACATTTGCAACATTAGGACTCCCAGCTGTAAGGGTTGACACACCTGTAGCGGCACGAGTACGGCTCCCACATGCTGTAGTCCTTCCATTACTCGGTACATTTGCAACATTAGGACTCCCAGCTGTAAGGGTTGACACACCTGTAGCGGCACGAGTACGGCTCCCACGTGCTGTAGTCCTTCCAGTACCCCGCAGCCGTGCCATCCCGACATAACGGCCGCTTCCTCTCGCTCTCCTCCTGCTCCTTCACCAACCGTCGCCTCTCCCCCACCGACTCTGCTGCTAGGATAGCATGTAAGGGCGACACCCGCTTGCACACACTCTCCCCTTCCCTTGCCCCCTTGCCCGCCTTGCCCTTCCCCCCCCAGCCCCCCCACTGCAGCAGAGACCTCCCCCCACCACCTCGTCCCCCCTCTGCTTCCCCTTCCACTGAGCCAACTTCTTGCCCCTCCCCGCCTTCCACCTGTTTTTGAGACGTCTCAAAAACTTGCCCCTCCCCGCCTTCCACCTGCCCTAATTGCACCTCCTCTCCCCCCCACTGTGCTGTATCATCATCCGATCCTTGCATATCCTCCCCATTCCACCCCAATAAACGCCTTCTTCCTGCCCCCACCCCCACCTCCTCCCCTCCCTCCCCCTCCTCCACCCTATCGTCACCCGGCCCTTCCAAATCCTCCCCACTCCAAGCCAATAAACTCCTCCTTGTTGCTCCTCTCTCCCCGACCTCCCCCTCCCCCTCCACTCTGTCATCGCTCGGTCCTTCCAGGTCCTCCTCGTCATCCACCTCAGCAGGGGACAGCCTCCTTTGGCACGTAGTGGGGAAGGCGTTGACTCGACAGGGCTTACCTGTGAGGTTGCGAGGGAAGAAAACGGAGGAGAGGCAAGGGAGATGCGACCAGGGAGAAGGGGGAGGCGAGAGGGGAGAGGGAATTGGAAGAGAAGATTCACATACATACTTACATACTTACCCAGGAGCACTATAGTGGGATCCCAAGAGTACCACAGAGGAGATTCACATAGCACCAAGCACCTAAATGGGAGTGCATGCACGCACGTACCCACGAGCACGATGGTGGAGTTGCAGGGGCGACAGGGCTGGCACGCGTCCTGCACCTTGTCCTGCACCCACTTGCCCACGCGCTTGGCCATAGGCTCTATCATCTCCTTCAGACGAGGGGCGTCCTGGCAGTGAGTGGAGGAGGGGAGGGAGAAGAGGTGTGCTTTGTGGCACTCTGTCCTGCTCTCCATGTCTGCACCCACTCGCCCACGCGCTTGGCCATGGGCTCTATCATCTCCTTCAGACGAGGGGCGTCCTGGCAGTGAGTGGAGGAGGGGAGGGAGAAGAGGTGTGCTTTGTGGCACTCTGTCCTGCTCTCCATGTCTGCACCCACTCGCCCACGCGCTTGGCCATGGGCTCTATCATCTCCTTCAGACGAGGGGCGTCCTGGCAGTGAGTGGAGGAGGGGAGGGAGAAGAGGTGTGCTTTGTGGCACTCTGTCCTGCTCTCCATGTCTGCACCCACTCGCCCACGCGCTTGGCCATGGGCTCTATCATCTCCTTCAGACGAGGGGCGTCCTAGTTGGGGTGGGTGGCTCAATAGGGGAACGTTGTGTCGGAGGGAGGTGTGCTATCAATATCAATCCCAGTGGGCGAATGAATCCCAGTGGGCGAATGAATCCCAGTGGGCGAATGAATCCCAGTGGGCGAATGAATCCCAGTGGGCGAATGAATCCCAGTGGGCGAATGAATCCCAGTGGGCGAATGAATCCCAGTGGGCGAATGAATCCCAGTGGGCGAATGAATCCCAGTGGGCGAATGAATCCCAGTGGGCGAATGAATCCCAGTGGGCGAATGAATCCCAGTGGGCGAATGAATCCCAGTGGGCGAATGAATCCCAGTGGGCGAATGAATCCCAGTGGGCGAATGAATCCCAGTGGGCGAATGAATCCCAGTGGGCGAATGAATCCCAGTGGGCGAATGAATCCCAGTGGGCGAATGAATCCCAGTGGGCGAATGAATCCCAGTGGGCGAATGAATCTCAGTGGGCGAATGAATCCCAGTGGGCGAATGAATCCCAGTGGGCCAATGAATCCCCGTGGGCGAATGAATCTCCGTGGGCGAATGAATCCCAGTGGGCGAATGAATCCCAGTGGGCGAATGAATCCCAGTGGGCGAATGAATCCCAGTGGGCGAATGAATCCCAGTGGGCGAATGAATCCCAGTGGGCGAATGAATCCCAGTGGGCGAATGAATCCCAGTGGGCGAATGAATCCCAGTGGGCGAATGAATCCCAGTGGGCGAATGAATCCCAGTGGGCGAATGAATCCCAGTGGGCGAATGAATCCCCGTGGGCGAATGAATCCCAGTGGGCGAATGAATCCCAGTGGGCGAATGAATCCCAGTGGGCGAATGAATCCCAGTGGGCGAATGAATCCCAGTGGGCGAATGAATCCCAGTGGGCGAATGAATCCCAGTGGGCGAATGAATCCCAGTGGGCGAATGAATCCCAGTGGGCGAATGAATCCCAGTGGGCGAATGAATCCCAGTGGGCGAATGAATCCCAGTGGGCGAATGAATCCCAGTGGGCGAATGAATCCCAGTGGGCGAATGAATCCCAGTGGGCGAATGAATTCCAGTGGGCGATTGAATCCCAGTGGGCGAATGAATCCCAGTGGGCGAATGAATCCCAGTGGGCGAATGAATCCCAGTGGGCGAATGAATCCCAGTGGGCGAATGAATCCCAGTGGGCGAATGAATCCCAGTGGGCGAATGAATCCCAGTGGGCGAATGAATCCCAGTGGGCGAATGAATCCCAGTGGGCGAATGAATCCCAGTGGGCGAATGAATCCCAGTGGGCGAATGAATCCCAGTGGGCGAATGAATCCCAGTGGGTGAATGAATCCCAGTGGGCGAATGAATCCCAGTGGGCGAATGAATCCCAGTGGGCGAATGAATTCCAGTGGGCGAATGAATCCCAGTGGGCGAATGAATCCCAGTGGGCGAATGAATTCCAGTGGGCGAATGAATCCCAGTGGGCGAATGAATCCCAGTGGGCGAATGAATCCCAGTGGGCGAATGAATCCCAGTGGGCGAATGAATCCCAGTGGGCGAATGAATCCCAGTGGGCGAATGAATCCCAGTGGGCGAATGAATCCCAGTGGGCGAATGAATCCCCGTGGGCGAATGAATCCCAGTGGGCGAATGAATCCCAGTGGGCGAATGAATTCCAGTGGGCGAATGAATCCCAGTGGGCGAATGAATCCCAGTGCCTACCAAATCCATCCCCAAACCTACCAGATGGGTCACCGAACCTATCAGGTGCGTCTCCCAAACCTACCATGTGCGTCTTGCCGATGATCTCAACCAGGTCAAGAGCCACTCGCCGCGCCGGTTGTGCCAGGTCAGCATCGCCAAACGCCACGTCAGAGCCAGCACCAGCCCCGTCAGCATCCGTGGCAGCTGACGGTAACTGCTCCTTATCCAGCAACGCCTGCTGGTGAGCCTGGTGGGGGCAAGTGAGACAGGGGTGAGGAGGGGGAGGCAGGGGTGAGGAGGGGGAGGCAGGGGTGAGGTGAGGGAGGCGGGAGCAAGGGGCCAGAAGCGAAAGGGGCAGGAGCAAACGAGATGGGGTGGGGAGAGAGGAGCAGACGAGTGCAACAAAGTAAGCCAAGTGTGAGTGAGCGTAGCATTGCAAGGCATACATACATATTGAATATTCTCAGAAACTGGACTCACTCTGATGCTCTCTGTGAGGGCTGCAAGCTGATGGGCCGCAGCAGTGCGTGAAGAGGCAGGGCATAGGGCGAGGTGCATGGATTGGGCGAAGGAAGCAGGGCAAGGGGAGAGAGGCACGGGGGAAGGCATTGGGTGAAGAGCAGCCCGGGGCACGGAGCGACACGTTGTTGCATTGCGCATGGGGGAAGGGTCGTTGGAAAAAGGTGAGGTGGAAAGGGGTGGGGGAGGAAGAGATGGGGTTTTAAAGAATGACGAATTATTGCAGGGTGGAAGGGGAGTCAAGCAAGAATGCAGAGCGCGAAGAAGGAAGTTAAGCAATTCATGCAGGCTGCATGGGGCACTCCATTGAATCTAGGTAGTTCGAGAGAAAAAGGAAGGAGGCTTGCTTGCAAGGGACGTGGTGAACGTGAGGAAAGGAAGGTGTTTAAGTTGGGATTCCTGACTTGCGACGTATCACACACGATAGAGGTAAAGCAGCAGCTTGTAGGTAGAAAGGTAGAGCGACCCTTGCATGAACGCATGGCAGGTGATGAGTTGAGGCGCCTCAAAAGTCGTATCACATGTGATGGAGGTAAAGAAGCAGCTTGTAGGTAGAAAGGTAGAGGGCACTGGCATGGAAGCATGGCAGGTAGGCACCTACCTGTTGGTCTAGATGCGCCATTTGCTCTTCCAGTGGCACCACCTGTGTTCCGGCATGCATGTATGGATTCACGGATGGGTGAATGTGTTGAGTCGGATAGGATTGGAAACAGTTGTGAACTGGAAAGGAACGGGAACGTGCATGACGTAGCGAGCGGAAGAGAGAAATAGCTGAGATAACAATTTAAGGAAGTAAGTTAGAGTGGATAATGACGATTCGAGGAATAAAGCAGAAAATAGTATTTAGAATCCCTGGTACGGAGTAAAATACAGCATGATTTGTTTGTTTGTTTGTTTGTTTGCTTTTGTTGGTTTGTTGACAAGAACCTTACCTTATCATCCCACACGGCGCAAGCGGCGTTGCTGCCTCCTCCCCTCCCAAGCGAGCCGGCTTCATGTAGATACAAGAGCGCCGACGACAATGCGACAATCCCGAGGGCGAACACCACCGGGAGCATCGCCGCGCGACGATTACGACCCTGCGACGACCCGCCACCGTCCATTGCCGCCGAAACAAACGGTAGCGATTCGGGAACCCGTCCAATGACTAGGTATTGTGCTTCGCAGCGCCTCGTAGAAACTAAGTACGCACGAAGTCCTGGTGATCGAGGTGATGGCTTTTGTGAGCTGGAGACGAATGAGAAGTTTCCAAGGCTTACTTAACTACCACTTTTTTTTTTTTTTTTTTTTTTTTTTTTTTCGGGAACAACGCTTGACCTGATCGCTAGAAACAAAGCAGACACTACCGCTGGGCGATGTATAGAACTAGAAGTTCAGGTGCATAGGTCCGATAAAGTTCGATTCTCGAGTATTTGCACGTTGAAATGTGTGGAAAACGGTGAAGGGAGGTCAGCAAGTGCAAGCTCTAAGAGCAATGCGACCGGATTTTTCCCGCGGTACAACGAGAAAGCCTAAGCGTCTCACTCCCACGGCCATTACCTTCCGTGCCACTTGCATCGAACGAAGAGCATTACCCTATTGACAGCTAGATATTTCATAATTCCGATCCGAGATCAGCAGTAGCATTGGAGCGTGAGTTTTAGAACGTCATCAGGCGAGTCTACCGTCCTGAGAAAAAAACTACCAGCAACTCTTCCTGATGAATCAACCCAGGCGGTCTATGGTATTTCACCAACCAATGTCGGCTGTGCACGTACTAGCTGATCTCAAATAACAATTTCAGAATTCTACACGCGCGTAATAGACGTATATTGTTTTTTGAGGTAGAAAAAGGCATAAAAGTAAATTCAGATACCGTATGTATGCATTCTAGCTCTAATAATGAAATGCCGCTGCATTACCAGGAATTGGGGCCCCCAGTTTACCCTTCGCTTTCTGCTTGCACAGAAAGTACGTGCTCTTCAAAAAGCAGGTTTAGGATTGGGCATGCATACACTCAACCATGATTTGTTCCATTCCATGCCATGCCAAGGTCAGTCAGTCACCACATGATCAGATCACAATTCTTCATGGGACAAACAACTACGGTACAGTGCGACAAATATGATGTGATATTTCAACCTTCGTATTCACACCACAACACGGCACCAGCACCGTAATCGCACCACTCCTCTAATACACAACAACGTATCAACAAAGAGAGGAAAACACACCGCATGCTTCACATCAGACTTAAAAGCCCCCTTTCAGAAGCTCTAAGCGGTCCATATTCCCTCCTCCCCTGTCATCTCTCCCCATGTTCCCCCCACCACCACCCCCACCCCCACGTCCTCCTATCTGTGGCTGCACCACCCCTCCCACCTTAGTCAGCCCCACACTCGCTAGAAACTCCGCCTCCCAATCCTTCTTCCACGCTGCTACCCCCCCTCCTGCTGCCTGCTTCTCCTGGCTCCCACCCATCACAGCAGCACCAGCACCACCAGCAGCAGCAGCACCAGCAACATTTCCCCGGCTGCTCATCCGCCCCTGAAACTCCTGCAGGGCCGACAGCGACACCACCTCTTCTGCATGCATTCCCTTCCCCGCACCTGCCGTCTTGCTTCGGACCAAGCCTCGCCGGTCCTCCTCGTCGCTGTCCCCATCCAAACCTCCTCCAGCACCTCCCGCCGCCCTCGTTCCCCTCTCTGACGTTTTACTCCTGAGCAAACTCCTGATCTGATCCCCTGAAGCTTTGACTGTGAAGGTACGTACCAGAGTCGGCTCCTCATCTTCTTCATCCTCCTCTTCCTCCTCCCCGTCATCATCACTCTCCCCATCATCATCGTCATCGTCTGCTGCACCACCCCGCCCTCTCCCTCTTCTCTTCCCACTCCCCTGCGTCAGTGATTCTTCTGAGCTGCTTCCTCTCAGACGCTCGTACCGCCGACCATGACGGCTAGACTCGGGCTCGGCCACGCCTTGAGGACCGGCAAGACCTGCGCCACCATTGGCTTTGGGCCAAGTGGCTGCCAGGGCAGCTGCTGCTGCAGCTTCGGGACCTGATGGGGCAGCTTGGGAAAAATCCATCTGCCCGAACTGCCCGAACAGCCCAAGATGGGCAGCCTGAAAGGCCTGCATGTGGGGGGAGAGGGGCGCGGCCATACCCCCTCCGAACCCACTGGTACCCCCTCCAAACCCACTGGTACCCCCTCCAAACCCACTGGTACCCATACTGTTGGTGTTGCGAGGGGAGAGTAAGGAGGCGATTAAAGCAGTTGTTGCTGCTGACGGTGCAGACACACCACCACCCACTGCCCCGATCCCACCCATCCCTCCCATCCCTCCTCCCATCCCTCCCATCCCTCCTGCCATCCCTCCCATCCCTCCTCCCATCCCTCCTATCCCTCCCATCCCTCCTCCCATCCCTCCTCCCATTCCTCCCATCCCTCCCTCCATCCCTCCCATCGTTCCTCCCATCCCTCCCCGGCCCACCCCCTGCTGCGCTAACACCTGAGGCGTGGTGAAGGTGTGGGGAAGAAGGAACGGCGAAGCAAACTCTGCAGGAATGGGATACGACATCTGAGGAGGACCCCCTTCCACCCCTCCTCCCCCCCCAGTATGGCCAGCAGCCTTGGCAGCTCCAGGCACCATGGTGGGTGCCTCAGCTGCTGTTGTTCTGCTCGGTCGTATCGCTGCTGCCACTGCTGCTGCCGACAATCCATGCCCCAACGACCGTGATCTCGACTCTAAGTGTCCGCGCCCCTGCTGCTGCTGCCCCTTCCGCTGCTGCTCCTGCTGCTCCTCCTCCAGCAGAAGCTGCTGCTGGTACTGGCGAGAGGTATAGGTTTTGGACTTGGTCATTCCAAACATGGCTTGCCTAGCAGCTTCCTCCTCGTCATCCTCATCCTCCTCCTCCTCTTCCTCCTCACTCCCATCATGATCCATAGCCCCCTTCCCCACCCCTGCCCTCTCCCCCTCTCCTCCCCTCGCACCCTCTCTCTCGCCCCTGTCAGCACCCTCATCATCACTGCACTCCTCCTTGCCCCCACGTGAGCCCTCCAGTCGCTCTCGAGCCGACACCTGGGCCCAGATCTCCTGCATAGTCATGCCCCGCATCTCCCCTCCCTGCTGCTCCGCCCCTCCCATACCTCCTCCCCCTCCTCCTCTCCCTCCTCTGGCGAGCCCCCCACCCGTCTCCTCCTCCTCCTCTATCTCCTCCTCTCGCCGCCCTAGCTCCCAGAGCACACCTGCTATGTCTGACCGCTTGGAACTTAGCTTCCTCAAGTCACGAGCCTCGTTCGGATCAAACTCTACCACAGACCCTGTCTCACTATAACTCTCATCATCACTATCATCAGCACCATCACCACCACCACTACCGCCACCACCACGATCACCACCAGTACCGCCGCTCCCATCGCCCCTGCCAGTTCTATCCTCGTTATTGCCATCCCTGCTACCATCTCGGCTACTACTCCCGCCGTCCGCATTGCCAAGCACTCTCCTGCTCTCCTCTTCCCTCTGCCCCAACTCCACCAGCAGCTCTGCTATATCCGACCTCTTAGCACTTAGCTTTTTGGGATCCCTCACTTGCACCACCGACCCATCACTATCACTCCCTGCTAGCTCTTCTTCCTCATCATCATCCATCTCAACCACACTCCCCCCTTCATCCTCACTCTCCTCCTCCGCCCCAGCAGCAGCATTGCCCAATCCAGCAGCGGCAGCAGCAGATGAGAACGCCTGTTGAGACAAACCAAACTGCTGCCACAGCTCCCGCTGCTGCTGCTCCTGCTGCTCCTGCCACGCTTCCTGCTGCTGCTGCTGCTGCTGCAGTGGGTCAGAAGTTGCAGCGGTAGCAGCAGCAACAGCTTGCAACGCATTCGCCAGAGCAACAGGATCACAGCCTTGCAGGGCCCCAGCAAGGTCAGGGGGTAGAGACTGCATCGCACTAGCCATCAGTAACCGCTGCGCTTCATAATCCCCTGCTGCAGCTGCCGCTGACACTGCTGCTGCTGCCGCCGCTCCAGGTGAATATCCAGGCGCCCCGTCAGGTGCCGCTTCAGGTGCCGCCACACTGCCCAGGTGGTTTGTCAGGCCCTGCATCCACGCCTGCAAGTTGCCGGCAGTGCTGCTGTCCTCGTTTTTGCCATACACGTTACCATGATCATGAAAATCATCATCATCCTCATCATCAGAGTCGTCAGAGGAGGATGGGGCTGCTTCTAGGAGGACTAGAGAGGCGGCATGGCCTGGGAGCACGTAGGGCGCCAGCACCTCCAGACGATGCCTGCAGTGGGGGATGGGTGGGGTAAACAGAATGCAAGGTGTGAAGGGTCGTCGGATTCCTTATCATCAGAGTCATCAGAGGAGGACGGGGCTGCTTCCAGGAGGACAAGGGAGGCCACGTGCCCTGGGAGCACATAAGGCGCCAGCACCTCCAGACGATGCCTGCAGTGGTGGAGAGTTGAGTTGGGTTAGGTTGGGTTGAATTGGTTGGGGGCTGCAGGGGAGGAAGGGTAGAATGCCTCAAGAGGCATGGCAGTGCCGCGGTGGTGAGAGGCATCAGCGCTTCCAGGAACACCAGAGGAGCCGCATGCCCTGGAGTACGTAGGGAGGAGCCAGGCCAGCAACTTACGTGACCTTTGCACATAAGTTGCTGGCTGCATGGCTCCCTACGTGCTCCTGGCTGCATGCCGTGGAGCACGTAGGGAGGAGCCAGGCCAGCAACTTACATGACCTTTGCACAACTCACCATGCTAACATCTCACAAACCCATCTGACCGTCCCGCAACTCACCTGATCACCATGTGCAGGTCCCTCAGTCGGAGCGGCTTGGGAATGAAATAGTCCATGCCAGCAGCAGTGCACCGCTCCTCCTCCTCCTCATCATTCCCCGTCCCCGGAGTCAGCGCCACAATGCACGCCCGCGCCACCACCGTTCCTGGGCCCTCAGCAGCAGCAGCAGCCGCGGCAGCCGCGGCGGCGGCCGAGGGGCTTCTGCTGCTGTTGCTTCGGTTGCTGCTGCTCCTGCGCAGGTGCTTCTTCATGGCGATGTCGACCTCTAGTTGCCGGAGGAGTGTGGCTGTGGCGAAGCCGTCCACAGGCCCGTTCAGGTAGCAGTCCTGAAAAGGGGGGGGGAGGGGGGGGAAGAGAACGGAGGAGATGGGGCAACAAGCACTGGTGTGGTGTTTCTTCATGGCGATGTCGACCTCCAGCTGTCGGAGCAGAGTGGCTGTAGCAAAGCCGTCCACAGGCCCGTTCAGGTAGCAGTCCTGTGAAGTGGGGAGAGGCGTGAAAAGGAGGGAGGGGAGCAGAGTAAGCACGATGGCGTATGGGGAGATGTGAGGACATGGGGGAACAGGTGGTAGATGGGGGAGATGTGAGGACATGGGGGAACATGTGGTAGATGGGGGAGATGGCGGAAATGTGGTAGAAGATGGACATGGGAAAACAAAAGCCTGCATTACCCCACCAGAGATAGGAATGATATGATCTAACTCACCAGCAGCACGAGGTCAAAGGGGCGGCGTTCAAAGAGGGAGAGCGCTTCCTGCGAGGAGCTGGCGATGTCAACAGAGCTACATGTTTCCGATGGTCAACGGACCCACTCACTCACCCGCAGGATCAAGTGGGAAGGCGACTCACCAGCAGCACGAGGTCAAAGGGGCGGCGTTCAAAGAGGGAGAGCGCTTCCTGTGAGGAGCTGGCGATTTCAACGGAGCTACATGTTTCCGATGGTCAACGGACCCACTCACTCACCCGCAGGATCAAGTGGGAAGGCGACTCACCAGCAGCACGAGGTCAAAGGGGCGGCGTTCAAAGAGGGAGAGCGCTTCCTGTGAGGAGCTGGCGATTTCAACGGAGCTACATGTTTCCGATGGTCAACGGACCCACTCACTCACCCGCAGGATCAAGTGGGAAGGCGACTCACCAGCAGCACGAGGTCAAAGGGGCGGCGTTCAAAGAGGGAGAGCGCTTCCTGTGAGGAGCTGGCGACGTCGAAGGAGACCCCCGTGGAGCGAAGCATGGACAGCGCCATCTGGCGGTGCATGTCGTTGGCCTGAGGAGAGAAGGGTTGGGGCGGGGAACGGGGAGGAGAGGAGAAAGGGGCAGTATGTAAGCTGGCGACGTCCAAGGAGACCCCCGTGGAGCAAAGCATGGACAGCGCCATCTGGCGGTGCATGTCGTTGGCCTGCAGGGAGAAGGGGGGAGAGGGGGAGGGAGGTGGTGGGGGAAGTGGGTGCGCGTGGATATGAGTGATTGGGAGAAAACCACCGTGGAGCGAAGCATGGAGAGTGCCACCTGGCGGTGCATGTCGTTGGGCTGAGGGGGGAAGGGGGTGGGGAAAGGTGTGGGCAGGTATGGGGGAGGACGTGGTGTGGTGTGTGTGGGAGGGAAGCGAGGATATGCCTGTGGAGCGAAGCATGGAGAGCGCCACCTGGCGGTGCATGTCGTTGGGCTGAGGGGGGAAGATGGGGAGGGGGAGGAGAGGAGGGAGAACCGGGAAGAGAGGAGTTCAGGCAGGCAAGAAGAGAGATCTCTGTGGAGCGAAGCATGGAGAGCGCCACCGTCAACAGGTGCACGTTGTTGTTTAGGGACACACGCACGCACGCACGCACGCACGCACCCACACTCACATCGACAATGAGAATGCGTGCGTTGGGCAGTTCTTTCCACACGTCCATATCCAACGGCTGGTGCGGATTCAGATCCTCTGGAGTGATATCCTGGCACGAGGCAAGCGGCACCGGCAGGAAACACACCACAGACGTGCCCCTCCCCACCTCACTCTGCAGCTGCACCGCTCCCGCTCCCCACCCGCCCACCACTCCCACCCCTGCCGCGCTGGAGTAACTACTCGACCTGCTAAACGTCCCCAGCCCCCCTCCTGCTCCCCCGCCTCCCCCTGCTCCGCCTCCCCCTCCCCCTGCTGCTCCGCCTGCTGCGATCGAAGGGGCGATGGCGGCAAGAGCGGCGGCGGCAGCGGTGCCAGGAGCGGGGATGAGGGCGTGGGAGATGAGGGCATGCACTGTGCCGAGGCCCGTGGTGGCGAAGGGACGACCCAGGAGGAAGGACGCAAGGGACGATGGGGATGGCTTGCTCTGGCATGGGGAAGGGGCATAAGGGACCAGGGAGAGGGAGGAAGGAAAGAGGCAACAGGGACATGGCACAGGAAACAACAGAGGGCAGAGAGAATCCATTAGACAGGAGGAAACAGTACAGCAGCAGAGACGGCGGCCACAGTGCCGAGAGTGGGGATGAGGGCGTGGGAGATGAGGGAATGGACTGTGCTGAGTCCGGTGGTGGCGGAGGGGCGACCCAGGAGGAAGGACGCCAGGGATGATGGGGATGGCTTGCTCTAGAAAGGGGATGGCTTGTTCTGAAAGAAGGGAACGGGGGGGGGGGGGGAGGGGAGGAGGGATGTGGGAGGGGCGGGGGGCGGGTGGTAAGGCAGGGATGGTGGAGAGGGATTCTTCATGTATGCTCTGGTGGAAGAAATATTGGGGGGTAACAGGAATGGGAGTGGAAAAGACCTACCTACCTTCTCCAGCTCTTGTATGAGGGCAACTAGTAGCTCCGTGTCGATCCCATTGCCCGTGTCCCGCACTTCGGACCGCAGCAGCACTGACCCTGCCTTGCTCTCAACCGCTGTCCTATCCCACTCCCTCTACTTCCTTGCGTGTGCTGCCCACCCACTCCCTCCCCACCTCCCCAACCTACCTTTTCAAGCTCTTGCACGAGAGCAGCAAGTAGCTCTGTGTTGATCCCGTTGCCCGTGTCCCGCACTTCAAATCGCAGCAGCACCGACCCTGCCTCGCCCTCCCGCCCTGCACCATCCTCCCCCGCTCCTCCTCCCCCCATAACTCCTCCCCTGCGCGTGCTGCTGCTGCGCCTCTCCAGGAAGGTGGCTACCGCAGCGCTGTCTTTGCGGCGCTGCTTCACCCGGTGCTCCTCTGCCTCCTTGTCAGATGCCAGGCGCACCGAAACAGTCACGTCACCCCTGAGGAGGAAAAAGGTATTAGAGTAGTGATAACAGAGAGGAGCGGGGGTGGGAGGGAGTGGGGCGCACGTGAGTGTAGGTGAGTGGTGTCTGTCCTCTCCAGGAAGGTGGCTACGGCAGCGCTGTCCTTGCGCCGTTGCTTCATTCACCCGGTGCTCCTCTGCCTTCTTGTCAGAGTATTTTGAGACGTGTTTTGAGACGTGTTTTGAGACGTCTCAAAACACTCCTTTTTTCACGTGTCCTTGCGCCGTTGCTTCATGGGTCACCCTGACTCATGTTCGAATACTGCAGCCCTTCGAACATGAGTCAGGGTGACGTCTCAAAACACTCCTTTCTTCACGTGTCCTTGCGCTGTTGCTTCATGGGTCACCCTGACTCATGTTCGAATACTGCAGCCCTTCGAACATGAGTCAGGGTGACGTCTCAAAACACTCCTTTCTTCACGTGTCCTTGCGCTGTTGCTTCATGGGCCACCCTGACTCATGTTCGAATACTGCAGCCCTTCGAACATGAGTCAGGGTGACGTCTCATAACACTCCTTTCTTCACGTGTCCTTGCGCTGTTGCTTCATGGGTCACCCTGACTCATGTTCGAATACTGCAGCCCTTCGAACATGAGTCAGGGTGACGTCTCAAAACACTCCTTTCTTCACGTGTCCTTGCGCTGTTGCTTCATGGGTCACCCTGACTCATGTTCGAATACTGCAGCCCTTCGAACATGAGTCAGGGTGACGTCTCATAACACTCCTTTCTTCACGTGTCCTTGCGCTGTTGCTTCATGGGTCACCCTGACTCATGTTCGAATACTGCAGCCCTTCGAACATGAGTCAGGGTGACGTCTCATAACACACCTTTCTTCACGTGTCCTTGCGCTGTTGCTTCATTCACCCAGTTCTCCTCTGCCTTCTTCTCTGATGCCAGGCACACCGAAACGGTTATGTCACCCCCGGGGGATGATGGGAGGTGGCATTAGCTGACAGTACTGTAAACAGTAGTACCAGGCGCAATACCACAACACAAGCAGCAGCACAACGGGCGGCACCAACCACCTACCTTTTGAGACGTCTCAAAAGTCATTGATAGCACCAACCACCCACCTGTCAGTGTGCTGTACAGCGTTGAAGATGAGGTTGTGAAGCACTTGGCGGATGGCAGGGCCGTCTGAGAGGATGAACTGCGGCACGGCGGAGTCGATTCCACACAGCAGCGCCAGGCCCTTCTCCTTGGCATGCACGTCCATCAGCCTCACGCACTCTCGCACCTGATGGGTGGGAGGAGTTAATGAGGCCACATAAAGGGGAGAGGCACAGAGGGAGAATGTGAGTCAATGCCACACAGCAAGGCCAGGCCCTTCTCCTTGGCATGCACGTCCATCAGCCTCACGCACTCTCGCACCTGATGGGGGAGGGGAAGAGAAGAGGGCGTATAGGGGGAAGAAGCACCAAAGAAGGACGAAGCATGTGAGTCGATGCCACACAGCAGGGCCAGGCCCTTCTCCTTGGCGTGCACGTCCATCAGTCGGACGCACTCGCGCACCTGAGAACAAGGAACGGGGAGGGGGTTTGGAAGGAACGACAGGGTTTGGAAAGGAGTGTTCCCCCATGTCACCCCCTCCCTCCTCTACCCTTTCACGCCACTCATCCCAAAATCCCACCCGCTCCCTGCCTACCGTCTCCTCTCGTTCTCTCACTCTCACCTCCGCCCTTTCCCCTCTGCGCTGACTCCCACTCTCGCTCTTTCAACGCCCTTCCCTCTCCCCATTCCCCCCTTTCTCCTCCTTCCCAAGCCGTACCTCTCGGTGCAGGTCCGTTTCCCGAAGCTCCAGCCTCGGCGGCTCGTCATCCTCGTCGTCAGATTCGGGAACAGCCTCAGGATCAGCCTCGGGGGACTTGAGGAGGCGGGCGAGGGTTTGGGAGAGGCTTTCAGCGGAGGAGAGGAGCAGTTGCACGAGGGACCTCTGGTCAGGTGTTAGTGCGCGAGAGTTGAGAAGAAAATCGGCCACACTTGCCATGGCTGGGGAAAGTAGACGAGGAGGGGGAGGGGGAAAGCGGTGATAGGGGACGGTTAGGGGCAAGGGAGGAAGAGTGGGAACAAGGGGGAGAAAAGGGCAAGGGGGAGAAAAGGGCAAGGGGGAGAAAAGGGCAAGGGGGAGAAAAGGGCAAGAGGGAGAAAAGGGCAAGAGGGAGAAAAGGGCAAGGGGGAGAAAAGGGCAAGAGGGAGAAAAGGGCAAGGGGGAGAAAAGGGCAAGAGGGAGAAAAGGGCAAGGGGGAGAAAAGGGCAAGGGGGCGACGATGGCAAGGGAGGAGTTGTGGGTGAGCGGTTTTAGTCACTTCAACTGGGATTCCTTTCCTTTCCCTTCTCTTCTTCTCACCTTTCCCCTCTCTTCTCTCCCCCTTCTCCGTCTCCCCTCTCCCTCTCCCCTCTCTCCTCTCCCCTTCTCCCCTTCCCCCTCACCCCCATCTCCTCACCATCCCTAACTTACCATTCAGAGGCATGGCAATTTCCCTTGTCAGCGACGCCATGAGGGCGGCGTGCTTTGTCTTTAGCTCCTCCTGGAGCTCCTCCGCCGCCCGCTGCCTTGCCTCCCGCCCCACCTGCTCCTCCACCTCCTTCCTCACAAGCGCCTTCAGCACCTGTAAATCCTCCTCCCCTAACTGCGACAGAGACACAGCGCCAGGGGGAAGGGGGGGCGCTGCTGCTGCAGGGGTACTAGAAGGAGGTCCGGAAAGGGTGTATAGGTCGGTTATATTAGGGTGGTTTTTGCCACTGCCTGCTGCCGCGGCAGTGGCAGCAGCAGCAGCAGCAGCGTACAGATCTGCGAGCCCCACTGCCCCGCTGCTTCCCCCTCCACTTGCCCTTCTTCCCACTCCTTGCACTGCAACAGCAACATCAGCAGCAGCAGGTGCTGCTGCTGCAGCAGCCACAGCACTACCACCAGCTGATGGCTTCCCACCAGCAGGAGCAGCAGCAGCAGCAGCAACAGCTAGAAGGTGCAGAGAAGGAGGGGCAGTTGCGGACGAGCAGAGTGACAGTATCACCACCAGGTTCAGGTGGTGGGACAACTAACGCAGCACTACCACCACCACCCACAGCCGCAGCAGCAGCAGCGGCGGCGGCGGTGGCGGCGGCGGCGGCAGCAGAAGAAGATGATGGGGTGGAGTGGCAGAGGGAGAGGGGCGGCACTGCCACGAGCTGAACAGAGACGGCAGCGCCGGCGTGGCTGGCGAGGGTGAGCTGTAGCGGGGGAGGTGGCTTCTGGTGCAGGTGGGAGGGGAGTGCTGCTGAGTGCACCATCTGCGCCACCAGCAGCAGCCACGCCTGGGGTGAGGGAGAGGGGAAAGGGTGGAAGGGGGGAAGGGGAAGGGGGAAGGGTGGAAGGGGGGAAGGGGAAAGGGTGGAAGGGGGGAAGGGGAAAGGGTGGAAGGGGGGAAGGGGAAAGGGTGGAAGGGGGGAAGGGGAAGGGTGGAAGGGGGGAAGGGGGGAAGGGGAAAGGGTGGAAGGGGGGAAGGGGAAAGGGTGGAAGGGGGGAAGGGGAAAGGGTGGAAGGGGGGAAGGGGAAAGGGGGGAAGGGGGGAAGGGGAAAGGGGGGAAGGGGGGAAGGGGAAAGGGGGGAAGGGGGGAAGGGGAAAGGGGGGAAGGGGGGAAGGGGAAAGGGGGGAAGGGGGGAAGGGGAAAGGGGGGAAGGGGGGAAGGGGAAAGGGGGGAAGGGGGGAAGGGGAAAGGGGGGAAGGGGGGAAGGGGAAAGGGGGGAAGGGGGGAAGGGGAAAGGGGGGAAGGGGGGAAGGGGAAAGGGGGGAAGGGGGAAGGCGAAAGGGGGGAAGGGGGGAAGGGGAAAGGGGGGCAAGGAGAGGGAGAAGGAGTGAGGGGGGATGAGGTGTGACAGTGCGGGTTGGAGGGGAGAGTTGCTGATTGCACCATCTGCGCCACCAGCAGCAGCCACGCCTGGGGTGAGGGGAGAGGGGAACGGGGAGAAGGAAATGGGGTGTTGGGTTGAGGTGTGACAGTGCGGGTGAGGGGGCAGCGCTGCTGAGAGCACCATCCGAGTCACCAGCAGCAGCCAGGCCTGGGGTGAGGGGAAGGGGAAAAGGGGGGGCGGAGGAAGGGCGAGAGGGAAAGGGGGTGAGGAGTGGGGGGGGGGGGGGGGGGGGTGGAGGGAGAAGAAGGAGCAGCTTGGGAGCGAGGTACATACAAGGCAGATGGTGCAGGAGAGGGAGTCCAAGAGAGAATTTGTTCTCCCCACAGTTAATCTTCACGAATGATCCGGGCTGGAATCGCCTTTGAGAATTCTCAAAAGGGATTTTATCTTGGGAGTGAGGGACATACAAGGCGCATGGTGTAGGAAGAGGTGACTTTTGAGTCGACTCAAAAGTCAACTCCATACAAGGCACATGGTGCAGGAAGAGGTGACTTTTGAGTCGACTCAAAAGTCAACTCCATACAAGGCACATGGTGCAGGAAGAGGGAGAATTTGTTCGCCCCACAGTTAATCTTCACCAACGATGCGGGCTGGGTGCATAAGCCACATCAGCTGGTCCTAGCTGGGAGCATAATCTCATGGGAGTCAGGCGAAATGATAAGTCGATTTTTTAGTCGACTCAAAAATCGACTTACCACCACAGCTGGTCCTAGCTGGGAACATACTCTCATGGGAGTCAGGCGAAATGATAAGTCGATTTTTTAGTCGACTCAAAAATCGACTTACCACCACAGCTGGTCCTAGCTGGGAACATACTCTCATGGGAGTCAGGCGAAATGATAAGTCGATTTTTTAGTCGACTCAAAAATCGACTTACCACCACAGCTGGTCCTAGCTGGGAACATACTCTCATGGGAGTCAGGCGAAATGATAAGTCGATTTTTTAGTCGACTCAAAAATCGACTTACCACCATAGCTGGTCCTAGCTGGGAACATACTCTCATGGGAGTCAGGCGAAATGATAAGTCGATTTTTTAGTCGACTCAAAAATCGACTTACCACCACAGCTGGTCCTAGCTGGGAACATACTCTCATGGGAGTCAGGCGAAATGATAAGTCGATTTTTTAGTCGACTCAAAAATCGACTTACCACCACAGCTGGTCCTAGCTGGGAACATACTCTCATGGGAGTCAGGCGAAATGATAAGTCGATTTTTTAGTCGACTCAAAAATCGACTTACCACCACAGCTGGTCCTAGCTGGGAACATACTCTCATGGGAGTCAGGCGAAATGATAAGTCGATTTTTTAGTCGACTCAAAAATCGACTTACCACCACAGCTGGTCCTAGCTGGGAACATACTCTCATGGGAGTCAGGCGAAATGATAAGTCGATTTTTTAGTCGACTCAAAAATCGACTTACCACCACAGCTGGTCCTAGCTGGGAACATACTCTCATGGGAGTCAGGCGAAATGATAAGTCGATTTTTTAGTCGACTCAAAAATCGACTTACCACCACAGCTGGTCCTAGCTGGGAACATACTCTCATGGGAGTCAGGCGAAATGATAAGTCGATTTTTTAGTCGACTCAAAAATCGACTTACCACCACAGCTGGTCCTAGCTGGGAACATACTCTCATGGGAGTCAGGCGAAATGATAAGTCGATTTTTTAGTCGACTCAAAAATCGACTTACCACCACAGCTGGTCCTAGCTGGGAACATACTCTCATGGGAGTCAGGCGAAATGATAAGTCGATTTTTTAGTCGACTCAAAAATCGACTTACCACCACAGCTGGTCCTAGCTGGGAACATACTCTCATGGGAGTCAGGCGAAATGATAAGTCGATTTTTTAGTCGACTCAAAAATCGACTTACCACCACAGCTGGTCCTAGCTGGGAACATATTCTCATGGGAGTCAGGCGAAATGATAAGTCGATTTTTTAGTCGACTCAAAAATCGACTTACAACCACAGCTGGTCCTAGCTGGGAACATACTCTCATGGGAGTCAGGCGAAATGATAAGTCGATTTTTTAGTCGACTCAAAAATCGACTTACCACCACAGCTGGTCCTAGCTGGGAACATACTCTCATGGGAGTCAGGCGAAATGATAAGTCGATTTTTTAGTCGACTCAAAAATCGACTTACCACCACAGCTGGTCCTAGCTGGGAACATACTCTCATGGGAGTCAGGCGAAATGATAAGTCGAATTTTTAGTCGACTCAAAAATCGACTTACCACCACAGCTGGTCCTAGCTGGGAACATACTCTCATGGGAGTCAGGCGAAATGATAAGTCGATTTTTTAGTCGACTCAAAAATCGACTTACCACCACAGCTGGTCCTAGCTGGGAACATACTCTCATGGGAGTCAGGCGAAATGAGGCACTCTTTCACTCACCTCAAGCTTGGGCACGTGGCTTGGGCAGAGGGGTTCACAGGAGGAGTTGCCCCACAGCTAGGGAGGAGTTGTCCCACAGCTAGGGAGGAGTTGCCCCACAGCTAGGGAGGAGTTGCCCCACAGCTAGGGAGGAGTTGCCCCAACGCGAACATGTTCGTGTTTGCCCCTTGCTCATCCCTACCCACAGCATGTCTTCACTGGTACGCATACACTCATGGAACAGGGGCGAGCGAAGAAAAAGGCACATGCTTACTCACCTCGAATCTAGGCACGTGGCTTGGGCAGAGGGATTCGCAGAGCGAGTTGCCCCACAGCGTGTCTTCACTGGGGCATCTCAGAACGGCAGCGGCCGCAGCGTTGCAACTGATGACTCGCGAGAAGACCGCTGGGGACACCAGCAGCTGCAGCTGGCCAATCGATGGAGATCCAGCCCTGTGGAGAGGTAGGTGAGACGGGGATAAGAGGGATGCACGCTAATAGGTCATCCCACTGCCTGCGAGAAGACCGCTGGGGACACCAGCTGCTGCAGCTGACCTATGGCCAGCCAGGGACCCAGCCCTGGGGAGGGGTAGATGAGAGAGGGAAAAAAGGGAAAACGTGAAGAACAGACACGTGAGGCACGTTAGGGCATCTCAAGGCGGCAGCGGCAGCAGCGGTGCAGCTGATGACTTGTGAGAAGACGGCTGGAGATACCAGCAGCTCCAGCCGGCCTCTGGCCCGCGATCCAGCCCTGGGGAGAGGGAGATGAGACGGGGATAAGAGGGGAGGGAAACGGATGCACGCTAATAGAGCAGCTCCAGTCGGCCTATGGCCCGCGATCCAGCCCTGGGGAGAGGGAGACGAGACAAGAGGTGAGAGAGGGATGAGAAGAGAGAGGGGAGAGACACAGATGCACACTTCTGGCTCATTTCAATGACAGCAGCTGCAGCTGACCTATGGTCAGCGACCCAGCCCTGGGAAGAGGAGAGTGAGAGGGGGGGAGGGAGGGAGATGGGAGAAAAAAAAGGATATGAGAGGTCGGGGAAAACGGCGGCAGCAGCAGCAGCAGCAGTGGCAGCAGTGGCAGCAGCGGCAGCAGAAGAGAAGAGGAGGGTAGGCCGTACCTGTAGAGAGCAAGGGCGTCATCACCACCAGGCGCAGCATTAGAGGCATCAGTGGCATCAGTGGCATCGGCGGCGTCCCTAGTGCTGCCAGGCACAGGAATCATACAACTCTCAGTGCAGGCCTCCCCGCCCGTCTCTGAGGCTGAAGCTTTCTTTGGGGCATTCCCTTGTCCCTGTGACGCTGCCCGCCTGTGAGTCACCACCTCTGACATGGATCCTGACTTGGTCCGCCCACTCTTCTTCTTCCCTCCACTCTGTCCGCCTCTCTTCCCCGTCTTCCCATCCCCGCCTCCTCCTCGCCCCCCCTCCCCTGCGCTTGAATCACCAGCCTCTGCTGCTCCTCCGCTTGAACCCTCCTCCCCGTCTCTCCTCCCTTTCCCCTGCCCCTTCCCTTCTCCTTTCCCCACCTTCTTGCCCTTTCGTGGGGATTTCGATTTTGGCCCGCTTTCAGCAGCCGAAGCATCAAGCTCGCTATCCCCGCTAGTAGTTGACGCCTTTCTTTCACTCTCACTAAGAACACCACAAGTGGCAAGCGCGGTTACGCCAGAGCTGCTGAAACTGCCGCCTGGGAGGGGGCTGTACAGGTCTATGTCTAGCCGAGCTGCAGCAGCACCTGAGACACCTGAAACACCTGAGGCACCTGAAGCACCTGAGGCACCTGAAGTACCTGAAGCACCTGCTGAGGCACCTGGAATACCTGAGGCACGTAAAACGGACACGGTAATATTACCATCAGGCTCTGGTTCTATATCTGTGGCAGTTGCAGCAACCACTGGTTTCTTCCCTGCTGCCTCTTCCTCCCCAGTGATTTCCCTCCCACTTCCCACTCCACCTCCCCGTTTCTGCTTCCTCCCTCTCCGCCATCCGCCCCTGCACTCCCGTCCCCCACTCCTGCTACAACACCTGCTACAGCTCCTGCTACAGCTCCCGCTCCAACTGCTGCGCTCCTAGCGCCAGAGGCTCCGCTAGCATCACTGGCAGCTGAGCCGACAGACGACGCTGACAGCCTTCTCATGCGCTGACCCTGCTGCTGCTGGCCCTGCTGCTGCTGGTAACCCTGCTGCCCCAGCTGACCCTGCTGCTGTTGTGCTGCCCCTCCTCTGTCACTAGCACTAACACCAGCACTAGTACCAGCACTAGCGCCAGCACTGGCACCAGCGCTAGCGCCAGCACCAGCAACAGCACCAGCTACATCCCTCTCATTCTCTCTTACACGTGAGCCTGGACCCGCTCGTCCTCCTCTTCCCCCCATTCCAAGTCCCCTCCCTACTACTACCTCACCCCTCCCACCCCGACCGCCCCTCCCTCCTCTGCCTCCCAATCCCCCTCCCCCTCCCCCTCCCCCCGCGCTACCACCAGTACCAGCAGCGCCTGCGCCAACAGCACCCGAACTAGCACTACCTGAACCAGCAGCTCCTGCACTTCCAGCACCCAAACCAGCAGCTCCTGCACTTCCAGCACCCAAACCAGCAGCTCCAGCACTTCCAGCACCCGAACCAGCAGCGCTGCTCCGCATTCTCTGCTGCTGCTGCTGCTGCTGCTGCTGCTGCACCTGCTGCTGCTGCTGTCCTGACTGCTGGCGCTGCTGTTGCTGCTGCGCTTGCAGCTGCACGGTTTGATGTGCCTGTTGCTGCTGGCCACTGCCAACATCCCACGTTCCCTCCACTGCTCCCATCCCCCCACCTTCTGACTGCAAGCGCGGGCCTGCCCTTTGCACCGGAACAAGAGCCTCCCCCGACCCAATCCGCTGCATTCCCCCCTTAACTGGCGAGCCCACCTTCTCTGTGCAAAGATCCAAGCTCCGCCTGCGTTCCGCCTTGAACACGCCCTTGTTCTGCTGCTGAAACTGGGGCATGGGTCGGTAACCCGCGCTAGTCACCCCCCGCCCAGTCCCCCCGCCATCAGACGCGGATCCATCCTCCCGTTCCGCGTTACCCCGCTGCGCCTGCGCCTGCGCATGCGCTTGAGCCTGCGCCAGCCTACTCGCGGCCGCCATTCGCGCAGCAGCTGCACCCGCAAGGGGATTCATGGCGGAAACCCTGTCCCTGTCTTCGTCTGATACAGACCGCGGGTGCAGCGGCGGCGGTTGCTGCAGGTACTGCGGACTTGACACAAGCGGATGCGCACCGCCGCCGCGCCCAGGACTGCCCACCCCGGCCATCGTTCCCCCTGACGCGCTTCCCCATGTTGCGCCTGATGCGCCTGCTACGCCACCCGCGGGGCCGGGTCCGCTGGGCAGTCCCCGCGCCCAAGGCGGGGCTTCTTCCGCCGCGCTCCCCGTGCTGCTTCCGCTTCCCCCTGCCCGTGCGATCCCCGCGCTGCCCTGCTTCTCGCTGTGGGTTCTCCGCATCTTGCCGAGCGGGGGAGCGCCTGCGCCTGGCTCTGCGCTGCTAGGGGGAGAGAGAAGGGAAGGAAATAGTAGCATTGAGCGGAGAGGCGGGAAGGAGAGAATCGACAGGAAAGACGATATGCCTGATGCGCCTTAAAACAAGTGGTTGGGGGTGTGGCGGAGCGGGAAGGGTGGTAAGGTTCGCAATGGGGGAATAGGGGCGCTAGGGTGTGAGGGAGAATGGAGGAAGAGAAGGGGAAGAAGGGGAAAATTAGCAAGAGGAGAAGACCTAAGCGGAAGGCGGAGGCAACGACGGAGAAGCGGAATGGTGTTTGGGTATTACAGCTGCTGCTCGATCGTCGCCGCGAGTTTCATCGCGTGTTTTTACACGAGAATGCAGCTTTACCGCTCATGTGCAAACCTATAATACAGCTCATACACGCTGCGATATAGATCATTCGCGCGCCGATACAGCTCATACACTCGCCGGTATCGATCATACGCGTTTGCAGTATTGTGCGAGCTTGCGCTGCTTGTAGTCGGTGTCTCATGGTACCCGGCAATGAGCTTAACCCTTGCAAAACTCTTTCGTGCCGACTCAGCTCATCATACCGGAACTCTTTCGTGTTGTCTTAGCTCATCATACGCGTGCCGACTAGTGTGAGCTTCATCATACTCCGACTCAGCTCATAACGCGTACGCAGGTGACTAATTTTCGATGTTTCCGGCTCAATTGGAAATTGATGACGCAGTACCGACTCAGCAGATCGTACGCGTACCCAGGAGGCTGATTTCGACCGCCTCTACCGCCAGCCAGATGTCGGCCTGGAGTCATGACCTCCTGATTGGGCCCATTCTGCGACCGCTGCCGCATGGATGCAGGTTGCGGACTCTCCGGCTGCTGCTGCTGTTGGCGTTGAGGCGAAGGGGATTGTCTTTGCATGAAAGGCGGCTGCTTGTTCTGCTGGGAATGCTGCGGCCGCTGCGGTCCCGCCTGCACCTGCTGCTGCTGTGGCTGCATTTCGCTCCAATACCGCGTCGCTTAACGGTTCAAATTTCGTCTAATGTTGGGCCGGAATAGTTATCTGAAGCCATATCTTGCGAGAACACGCTGATGAAGCAAGGCTGAACGGTTATCAGACAGTGACACCTGCTTTCAGTTGCGTTAGGGAGCACTGGACAGTATCAGTCGTCATATGTGAATATTGCCACAGACACCTAACAAGCATCCACGTCCATACCTCGACAACAATTGACAAAAGACGAAGCAGTCCACCGTGAGCAATATAAGGAGTCTGGATATGGAGATTAGGTGCCTGAGGATGATCCAGCCAACCTCTAGGTCCTAAGAACGCTCGATCGATCGTGAAAACCGATCGTTCACCGCACTGAAATCAAGTCTATTGCGCTCGAAAGTTTAAAACCTTTTTTAGGCCCGCTTTTTTTAAAAACTGTGCAGGATCGATCGCCAAAATGAGCCAGAGGTGACACGTCCTAACGCAACTCGAGGTGCTTGTCTTCGGGTCATCCCACTTCGCTCCTGCCTGGCTTTCGCCAACAAAACCAACAACCTGTCTGCCAGCCATAGGGGCCTTGGGTTTGGTTTGTCCGGACCTCGTACATCGAGCCCAAGGCAGGAGGTTCGGCAGACCCCAAAGCACCGACGAGCTTGACTGTGGTGGTTGGGGAGGTTACCACCAGACAGCTGTCAGCCCAAGACAAGCAAACTGACGGCGAGACAAAACTACTGTGTGGATGATGAATGCAATTCAGCGTACAAACGAAAAATTTTAATCACCGACCTGACCGGATTCATGCCTACACCAATCAATCACATGCAATTAAAAGTTTTCTGTCCAGCGGCCAGCAAAAAGAAAAAAGCACCAGCGTAGGTGACCCGAGCTCTGATACGCGGTTCACAGTGATGGGGCCGAGCATTGGGAATGCTTTGCGCATTCTTGGCTCCATGACCAATTAATTTGGCAGTTGGAAGCTCGGAGGACATGATCCGAACAAACACCAAATAGGCCCTATCCGTTGACATCCACGCGAGATGCTCCATCTGGTAACCGTTTCGCGGAAGCAATGATATTGGCATCAACCCACAGCCTCGCAAGGATGCATCATTTCCCAAAAACAGTGCTGTACTATCCAAGCAGCTTTGTTGAAATAAACGAGGTAGTTTATCAAAGAGAGATTGTCTTTTCGCGCTAACCAAGTCACAAATACACTAAATCCCCCTTGACCTAAGCTCCTTCAGCCCACACCCCCTCCAGATTATCGCCGCCAGGCTTATTCCACACGCGTTCCGCTTCCTGAGTTAGCTGCTCCTCCGATCTGCGTGCATACCTATTTTGCCACCCCAAGCCGCAATGTCGGGCGGATCAGCATCAGGTAGACTATTTAACTAGCATACCTTTTTCTCGCTAGTAAAACCTTACAGGCCTGTGATTAATATCCTGTTGAATGTGCGAATCGTGAGCAGGAGCGGAGCTGGAATGGCCGGCGACGCGCGTGCGCGACACGTTTCTGCAGTTCTTCAAGGATCGCGAACACACGCACGTGCCGTCCAGCCTCGTCGTGCCGCTGGATGACCCCACGCTGCTCTTCGCCAACGCTGGTTAGTGCTCTCAAGCTGCAGCAACGACTATTTTTTCTCGTTATACAAGAGCGACGATCAGTGCCTGCCGGGCCTCCGTCTTCGCAAGTCGTTGCTCTCGTTATAGAGAAATCATCAGGTAGTGCGCTCGCTATACAGGAGCGTCCCTCACTCACCATTGGAATCGATTTTTCAAGGTCACCTGGATCTGGCGGTAGATGCTCTGTCGATGGGATGTACCGACTGTGGGATCACAACTGTTCAAGGATCGTACACATGCCACAGGGGTTTCAAATGTTCAACATGGTCAGATACTTGAGGCGACTCAAAACGCGTGCACCTATATTTTTATCGTACCCGTACACGTGTCACCTGTTCAAGGTGATCGTATTCACCAGACCCGCGGCTGTGTACTCGTGACCTTTCGCTACGTGAATTTTGAAACGACTGATAAGTCAAGTCGGTTGTTGTGTGCGCGCATAACACGTCGGGATGCGTGCCGCATCGTTATCCGCCTTGTCGTACGGAAACGTCGCCAGAATCACTTCGTTCGGCCTCTGGGTTCCGCTCGAGTTGATGCGGCCTTGTTTCCCCCGATCCCAACGCCCGCGCTGATCTCACGAGTCGCACTAATATCAGTATTTCCGTGGATCTCATTGCCGCTCACTTCTTCGACCTTGTCCGTTTCCTTCCTCCAACCCCCTCTCACACCCCTCTGTTTCCCCTCCCCCACTCCCCCCACCTCCTCTCCCATTTCTCAAATACCCCGTCAGGCATGAACTAGTTCAAGCCCCCTTTCCTACCTCGCCATCTTCCTGGAGACGGTTGACCCGCGCAGGCCCCTTGCCTACCTGCCGGGTGAACTCTCATCAGTGCATTTGCGCGGGCAGCAAGCACAACCACTCAACTCCTCCCACCCGCCCCCTCTCCCCCGCCAGGCATGAACCAGTTCAAGCCCATCTTCTTGGGAACGGTGGACCCCCGCAGCCCCATCGCCGCCCTCAAGCGCGCGGTGAACTCGCAGAAGTGCATCCGCGCTGGCGGCAAGCACAACGACCTGGACGACGTGGGCAAGGACACGTACCACCACACCTTCTTTGAGATGCTCGGCAACTGGTCCTTTGGGGATTACTTCAAGCAGGAGGCCATTACGTGGGCCTGGGAGCTCCTCACGCAGGTACTTGCTTCTTCCTTGCTTTGTGTCCGCTTTAGGAATCCCCCCTTCCCCCGCTCCCCTTCGTCCCCCTCCCCTACCCGTTGGGCGGCAAGCACAACGACCTGGACGACGTGGGCAAGGACACGTACCACCACACCTTTGAGATGCTTGGCAACTGGTCCTTCGGGGACTACTTCAAGCAGGAGGCCATCACGTGGGCCTGGGAGCTGCTTACCCAGGTGCGGGCCTACGGCCTTTTGTCCCCTCTAGAGCCGTCGCTCTCCCCCCTTTTGGACGACATGGGCAAGGACACGTATCACCACACCTTCTTCGAGATGCTTGGCAACTGGTCCTTTGGGGAGTACTTCAAGCAGGAAGCCATCACGAGGTAAGCACTTCTTTCTTGCCTTTCAGTTTGTTCTAGAGCCCCCGCCTTCTCTCCCACTTGGGCGGCAAGCAGGGGCTTCTGGCCGTTGAGTCGGTCCTAGAGCGCCCCTCCTCCCTCTACCCCCACCGTTGGGCGGCAAGCACAACGACCTGGACGACGTGGGCAAGGACACGTACCACCACACCTTCTTCGAGATGCTCGGCAATTGGTCCTTTGGGGACTACTTCAAGCAGGAGGCCATCACGTGGGCCTGGGAGCTCCTCACCCAGGTAGGTCTCGGCTGGGCAAGGTAGGTGCTCGCGCAGGTAGGTCTGGCAAGGTCTCTGTGACTCTTTCTTCTCTGGTTGCATACATCATTTTGTTTGCTTTGTATGTTTTGAGACGTCTCAAATCATTTCTTCATACACGTAGGTGTGGCAAGGTCTTTCTGACTCTTTCTTTTCTGGTTGCATGCATACACCATTTTGTTTGCTTTGTATGTTTCTCTGTTTCCCTGCATCAGGTGTACAAGCTGCCAGAGGATCGCCTCTACGCCACCTACTTCGGCGGGGACGAGAAGCTAGGCTTGGAACCGGACCTGGAGGCTCGGGACATCTGGCTCACTGTGCTCCCAGCCAGCCGAGTGCTACCCTTTGGCTGCAAGGTTCGTCTCATCCTCGTTATGGAGGTCCGTGGTACACTGCATGACTTTATTCTCGGACAGCCCACAAATGCCCATGTGGCCAAACCCATGCACTGGAACGCCAGCTCTAAATAATGCTTTTGCTGATGTGTATTTGCTTGCACCCATGCATGTGCGAGCAGGACAACTTCTGGGAGATGGGTGACACGGGCCCCTGTGGGCCATGCACGGAGATCCACTTTGACCGCCTGGGCGGGCGCGATGGCAGGGTGAACGCTGACGACCCACGTGCATTGAACGGAACAACGTGCATCTGAGGGGGTGTGCACTTGTAACAAGTGTGTAGAGACGTGTTCAAATGATCATCTCACGTGCATTGAGATCTGGAACAACGTGTTCATCCAGGTGAGAGCGTCAGTGCGTGTTAATAGCGAGTGCCATTATAACGAGTACGTATGGGAGAAGTGTTCAAGTGATGACCCCATGTGCATCTAGACCTGGGACGAACAACGTGTTCATCCAGGTGAGAGTGTGCTTTAAACGAGTGTCCTCTTATCGAGTATGTGAGGACCCCACATGACTCCAATACCCCATTGCACCCCACCCCACCCCACCCCACCCCACAACACCTCACCCCACAGTTCAACCATGAGGCGGACGGCACGCTCAAGACGCTACCAGCAAAGCAAAGCATGTGGGCACGGACGGGGGTGGGCTTTGAGCGCCTGATGCCCTTGCTGTTCCTTGAAGCACATTCCCCACCTTACTCCAATACCTCATTCCGCCCCACCCCACCCCAACCCACCCCACCTCACCCCACCCGATCAATACCCCATCTCGCAGTTCAACCGCGAGGCGGATGGCACACTTAAGACACTGCCGGCCAAGCACGTGGACACGGGGATGGGCTTTGAGCGCCTGACGTCCATCCTGCAGGGCAAGCTGAGCAACTACGACACTGACGTGTTCATGCCCATCTTTGAGGCGATCCAGAAGGTGGGAAGCTGTGGATAGCGGTTGAGCAGGGTTGGGTGGGGTTGAGCAGGTTTGGGTGGGGTTGGTTGAGCTAGGTTGGGTAAGGTGTGGGGAGAAGATTGATTGGGCTTTGAGCGGCTGACGTCCATCCTGCAGGGAAAGCTGAGCAACTACGACACTGATGTCTTCATGCCCATCTTCGAGGCGATCCAGAAGGTGGGGGGGAAAGAGGGTGGGGAAGAGGGGATGGAGGGAAAGGGGTTGGTGAAGGAACCGTGTGATGAGGGGGACCAAGTCCGCACCCTCTCCCTCTCCATGGTTGCCCGGTCACCATGGTTGCCCGGTCACCATGGTTGCCCGGTCACCATGGTTGCCCGGTCACCATGGTGAGGGAGAGGGCGCACACCCTCTCCCGTCACCACACCTCCATCCATGCATGCAATTGTCTTCCTTGAAGCTTTGCTGTCTGCCTGTCTGCCTGTCTGGCAGGTGACGGGAGCAGCACCGTATGAAGGCAAGCTCGGCAAGGAGGACACGGGCAACAAGGACATGGCGTAGCGTACCGTGTGGTGGCGGATCACATCCATACTCTCTCCTTCGCCATCTCTGCCAGCGCCAGACCTCCCCCATTGCTCTGACTTGACTTGCCCCACGCATGCCACCCACCAGGTGACCGGAGCAGCACCATATGAGGGCAAGCTGGGGAAGGAGGATGTGGGCAGCAAGGACATGGCATACTATGTGGTGGCGGATCACATCCGCACTCTCTCCTTCGCCATTGCTGTCCGCACTCACCACAACTCTCATTGCCTTAATCTGACTTGCTGCTTGCCACCCACCAGGTGACAGGAGCAGCGCCTTACGAGGGCAAGCTGGGCAAGGAGGACACGGGCAACAAGGACATGGCGTACCGTGTGGTGGCAGACCACATCCGCACTCTCTCCTTCGCCATCGCTGACGGCGCCAGGCCCGGCAGTGACGGTCGTGACTACGTGTTGCGCCGCATCCTGAGGCGAGCTGTGCGATACGGACGGGATGTGCTGGGCGCCCAGGAAGGCTTCTTCAGCTCGTGAGTGTCCTGGGCATGTGGTTGTTTGGTTGGGCATGTGGTTGTTTGGTTGGGCATGTGGTTGTTTGGTTGGGCATGTGGTTGTTTGGTTGGGCATGTGGTTGTTTGGTTGGGCATGTGGTTGTTTTGTTGGGCATGTGGTTGTTTGGTTGGGCATGTGGTTGTTTGGTTGGGCATGTGGTTGTTTTGTTGGGCATGTGGTTGTTTGGTTGGGCATGTGGTTGTTTGGTTGGGCATGTGGTTGTTTTGTTGGGCATGTGGTTGTTTGGTTGGGCATGTGGTTGTTTTGTTGGGCATGTGGTTGTTTTGTTGGGCATGTGGTTGTTTGGTTGGGCATGTGGTTGTTTGGTTGGGCATGTGGTTGTTTGGTTGGGCATGTTGTTGTTTGGTTGGGCATGTGGTTGTTTGGTTGGGCACGTCTCGAAGCATCCGCTCCGCACTCTCTCCTTCGCCATCGCTGATGGCGCCAGGCCCGGCAGTGACGGTCGTGACTACGTGTTGCGCTGCATCCTCAGGCGTGCCGTGCGTTATGGGCGGGACGTTCTGGGGGCTCAGGAGGGCTTTTTCAGCTGGTGAGTGTCATTCGCATGTGGCTGTCGTGAGCATGTGGCTGTCGTGAGCATGTGGTTGTTTGGTTGTCTCGAAGCAGCGACGGGACGCGGCTATGTGTTGTGCCGCATCCTGAGGCGGGCCGTGGGCTACGGACGGCACGTGCTGGGCGCCTAGGAGAGCTTTTCCAGCTCGTGAGTGAATGTGAGGCAGCTTATGAGAGTTATTCTGTTGGTTCAGGCAGGCATCTTCGATCATGCAAATGACTTGCCCACTTTTGCCCCCCTCCCTCCCCCCTGTCATTTTCGTCAGGCTGGTGCCAGTGTTCGCGGACCTCATGGGGGACACCTTCCCTGAGCTGTGCAAGCACGGGCAGCGCATTCAAGACATCATCAGTGAGGAGGAGGCTGCTTTCGGCCGCACCCTCCAAAAGGTGGGTATTTTCTGGGTATTAGACTCCACCTCTCTAGTTCAGGATTTTGGGTTGGGCAGTTTTTTTTTTTGGAAATTTTCACAATGCTTGATTAGTTCTCGAGTGATTTCACAGTTTGCCTCGCTTCTTTTTTTACCCCTCCGCTATCCCCCGTTCTTTCCCCCCTTCTTCTCCCCTTTCTTCTCCCCCTTCTTCTCCCCTTTCTTCTCCCCCTTCTTCTCCCCTTTCTTCTCCCCCTTCTTCTCCCCTCTCTCCGCTGCTCCTCCCGCTCCTCGCCCCTCCACCCCCTCCTTTGCAGGGTCTGCAACGGTTTGAGAAGGCTGCCTCTGAAGTGAAGGACGGCAAGCTGAGTGGCCAGGTGCGGTGTTGTGTATGCGGAGCTCTGGTGTGCGGTGATGTGAGATGCGGTGATGTGAGATGCGGTGATGTGAGATGCGTGTGCGGGACTTGATCTCTGCTCCTTCCATGCCACTCTGCTGCCTCCATGTCATTTGTTCCTTCCTGAAGGCGTTCTATCCATCGCTAGTTATCCCACCCGCCTGCCTTTACCTCCACTCCCCCTCCCTCCCTGCCCTGGTCTTCTTCCCCGCCCCCCCTTTCCCCTTCTCCCCCTCATCCCTCTCTTTCTCTCCCTCTCACCCCTCCCGCGTCACACACAACGCCGTTATGCCCTGTGACACCTTCTTGAGTCGATTCATATTCCGTACTGCCTCTGCTCCTCTCCTTATCCGCCTATCCGCCTCTCCCTCTCTTGCATCCTCCCACCCACACACACACAGGACGCCTTTGTGCTCTGGGACACCTTCGGCTTCCCTGTTGATCTTACCCAGGTACGCCTGCCTGTGCTTCTGCCTCTGCTTTTGTTTTATGAGGTGCCTAAAAGCCCTGGTATGCCTTCCTGTACCTCTGCTCTGCTTGGCGTCTCCTTCAGCCTCTGCCTCTGCCTCTGGCTTTGCCTTTGGTGAGGCCCCCTCCCCCCTACTTTCCTTGATCCCTCTGTCCCCCCCCCCCCCCCCCCACATCAGCTGATGGCGGAGGAAAAGGGTTTGGCGGTGGACATGGCATCATTCGAGAAGGCGATGACTGACGCCAGGGAGATGTCACGAGGGGCCAGGAGCAAGGTGAGGGAAAGGGAGGGTTTCGGATGGGGTTGGGAAGAGGTGGGAAAGAGCGAACGCAACAAGGCTTGGCGGCATTCGAAAAGGTGATGACCGATGCCAGGGAGATGTCGCGAGAAGCCAGGATCAAGGCGAGGAGAGGAGAAGGAGGCGGATTCAGAGAAGCAACAGACGCTCTCCAAGGAGCTGGAGGAGAGCCAGGCTGCAGTTACCAAGCTGAGAAAGTCGTACAAGGAGGAGGCTGTGAAGCGCAAGGAATACTACAACATGCTGGAGGATGAGTGGTCTGGGTATTGGGGTCTCGAAAACAATTTTCTTTCACGTTTTGAGATGCTTTGAGACCTTAATGCCTAGTTCACTCACCCTCCAGCATGTTGTAGTATTTCTTGCGCTTCACAGCCTCGTCCTTGTACGACTACTTCAGCTTGACAATTGCAGCCTGACTCTCCTCCAGCTCCTTAAAAAAATGTTAAGTGCCTATAGATTTGCTTTCCCTAATCGCCTCATTTCTTATTGATTCAAGCTGGGCGGAGGGGGGAGTTGGTGACGAAGAAAGAGGCGCCTTGAAAAAAAAATTATGGAGGCGCTCTTGGTTAGGTGGGGTGGGGCCTGTGTTCGTAAATCATCTTTCTTGTCTGCGTGTTGTTGTGTGCAGGGTGGAGCGGGGGCACTGGTGATGGAGGCAGAGGCGACAGCAGAGCTGCAGAAGCGGGGCATCGATCCCACTGATGACTCGCCCAAATACGTGTGGCGCCAGGTGAGCAATGAGGAGCACTGAGCTGAGCACAGCTGTGAGCACCCATCTGACGTGACGACTTGTACGACTCTCCTTTGCTTCACTCTTGTTGTCTCAGCCCTTGCGACTCAGACTCGTTCCATTCCATTCCAGGCCCACACCAAACCCGCTTACCTCTCCTTTCTTCCTCATCCTTTTTCCGAACCTCCCTCTTCTCTCACCCTCCCTTAGTCTCTCACCCTCCCTTAGTCTCTCACCCCTGGACCTTGTTCCTATTCTTACACCCCTCAATCCCCCGTGGTTCCCTGTCTTGTCCCCCCACAGGATCACCCAACCACCGTACGAGCCATCTTCACCCCTTCCGGCTTCGTCGAATCAGTAACCGCCACGTCAGCAGACGCACCCACCGAAGTTGGCCTCGTGCTGACCAGCTCCAGCTTCTACGCAGAGCAGGGCGGACAGATATTCGACACCGGCGCCATTATCAAACCTGCTAATAACGGGGATGCTAATAACGGGGATGCGAGGTTCGAGGTCCGGTCGGTGCAGGTGTACGGCGGTTACGTGGTGCATGTCGGCGTGGTGACAGGTGGCAGCGTGGCAGTGGACGACGCGGTGGTGTGCCAGGTGGACTACGATCGGAGGGCCCTGGTGGCACCGAATCACACCTGCACGCATTTGCTCAACCATGCGTTGAAGAAGGTGTTGGGAGACCACATCGACCAGAAGGGCAGCCTTGTAGCGGAGGATCGACTCCGATTCGACTTCTCCCATGGTAAGTCCTGCTCTCTCTTCGACTTCTCCCACGGTAAGTCCTGCTCTCTCTTCGACTTCTCCCACGGTAAGTCCTGCTCTCTCTTCGACTTCTCCCACGGTAAGTCCTGCTCTCTCTTCGACTTCTCCCACGGTAAGTCCTGCTCTCTCTTCGACTTCTCCCACGGTAAGTCCTGCTCTCTCTTCGACTTCTCCCACGGTAAGTCCTGCTCTCTCTTCGACTTCTCCCACGGTAAGTCCTGCTCTCTCTTCGACTTCTCCCACGGTAAGTCCTGCTCTCTCTTCGACTTCTCCCATGGTAAGTCCTGCTCTCTCTTCGACTTCTCCCACGGTAAGTCCTGCTCTCTCTTCGACTTCTCCCACGGTAAGTCCTGCTCTCTCTTCGACTTCTCCCACGGTAAGTCCTGCTCTCTCTTCGACTTCTCCCATGTTGAGCCTTTCACGCTTCCAGAGGGACCCGGGGAGGATTGAAGCAAAGGTGGTGTGGTGTAGTGAGTGAGCGCCTAAAATGTGTCACAACTTACCCCTCGAACTGCTTACCTCCTGCTTCTACACATGTTCATACAGCAAGCCTCTGCTTCTATCGTTGCAGTCAAACCAAGGATATGGAGAGGAGGATAGGAGCAGAGGTGGTGGATCGTGTGGCGGCCGCAACGTCTTGCCCTTCGTCCCTCTTTCCTCGTTGCCTGACCGCACACATGTGCTGTGCACGTCCAAGGAAGCCCCTCAACCCCAAGGATGATAGGAAGATCGAGGGGAATGTGATGGAGCGAGTGAAGTGAATGAGACCTCGCATTGCCCTCTTTTCTTTGCCCTCTTTTCACTCGCTTCCTATCACCACCCACTTGTATGCGTGTGTGTGTGTGCATGCAGGCAAGCCCATCGACCCCAAGGACCTGGGGAAGATTGAGGGGGAGGTGGTGGAGCGGGTGAAGGCGGGTCTGCCTGTGTACGCTCTGGAGTCCAGCCTCGCGGATGCCAGGCGTATCATGGGGCTCAGAGCGGTCTTCGGAGAGGTGAGTGTGGTGCAAAGCGGTGGGAATGGAATGGTCAGGTTTCGTCAGTCAGGCACGCCCTGATTCCATGTGCGCGACGTCTGGTATTTCACGACCCTCCTCCTGCCTCTCATGCGTGCTTCTGTAATCTCCCTGCCTCACATCACAGGTCTACCCGGAACCCAATGCGAGGGGTATCATATCAGTGCACATGCCAGTGGAGTGGAGCAGCTGCTGCAGGACCCAGAGAACCCCCAGAGTGCCCCTCCCCTGGGGCACTGTGTGTTCCCCCTCCCCTGGGGCACTGTGTGTTCCCCCTCCCCTGGGGCACTGTGTGTTCCCCCTCCCCTGGGGCACTGTGTGTTCCCCCTCCCCTGGGGCACTGTGTGTTCCCCCTCCCCTGGGGCACTGTGTGTTCCCCCTCCCCTGGGGCACTGTGTGTTCCCCCTCCCCTGGGGCACTGTGTGTTCCCCCTCCCCTGGGGCACTGTGTGTTCCCCCTCCCCTGGGGCACTGTGTGTTCCCCCTCCCCTGGGGCACTGTGTGTTCCCCCTCCCCTGGGGCACTGTGTGTTCCCCCTCCCCTGGGGCACTGTGTGTTCCCCCTCCCCTGGGGCACTGTGTGTTCCCCCTCCCCTGGGGCACTGTGTGTTCCCCCTCCCCTGGGGCACTGTGTGTTCCCCCTCCCCTGGGGCACTGTGTGTTCCCCCTCCCCTGGGGCACTGTGTGTTCCCCCTCCCCTGGGGCACTGTGTGTTCCCCCTCCCCTGGGGCACTGTGTGTTCCCCCTCCCCTGGGGCACTGTGTGTTCCCCCTCCCCTGGGGCACTGTGTGTTCCCCCTCCCCTGGGGCACTGTGTGTTCCCCCTCCCCTGGGGCACTGTGTGTTCCCCCTCCCCTGGGGCACTGTGTGTTCCCCCTCCCCTGGGGCACTGTGTGTTCCCCCTCCCCTGGGGCACTGTGTGTTCCCCCTCCCCTGGGGCACTGTGTGTTCCCCCTCCCCTGGGGCACTGTGTGTTCCCCCTCCCCTGGGGCACTGTGTGTTCCCCCTCCCCTGGGGCACTGTGTGTTCCCCCTCCCCTGGGGCACTGTGTGTTCCCCCTCCCCTGGGGCACTGTGTGTTCCCCCTCCCCTGGGGCACTGTGTGTTCCCCCTCCCCTGGGGCACTGTGTGTTCCCCCTCCCCTGGGGCACTGTGTGTTCCCCCTCCCCTGGGGCACTGTGTGTTCCCCCTCCCCTGGGGCACTGTGTGTTCCCCCTCCCCTGGGGCACTGTGTGTTCCCCCTCCCCTGGGGCACTGTGTGTTCCCCCTCCCCTGGGGCACTGTGTGTTCCCCCTCCCCTGGGGCACTGTGTGTTCCCCCTCCCCTGGGGCACTGTGTGTTCCCCCTCCCCTGGGGCACTGTGTGTTCCCCCTCCCCTGGGGCACTGTGTGTTCCCCCTCCCCTGGGGCACTGTGTGTTCCCCCTCCCCACTGGCCCTCATGCATGCTTCCTTGATCCGTCTTCCCGTCTCTCTACCCCCCTTCCCAGGTCTACCCTGACCCAGTGCTGGTGGCATTAGTGGACACGCCAGTAGAGCAGCTGCTGCAGGACCCAGAGCGAGCTACTGTGCGCCTGTGTGTTACTTTCGCATCTCCCTGCCTCTCAGGTCTACCCCGATCCAGTGCGGGTGGTATCAGTGGGCACGGCAGTGGAGCAGCTGCTGCAGGACCCAGAGTGTTCAACTGCGCACCTGTGTGTATCTTGTGCATACTCGTGTTCCCCATATACCCCCCTGCCTCACGTGTCTCCCTGCCTCTCAGGTCTACCCCGATCCAGTGCGAGTGGTATCAGTGGGCACACCAGTAGAGCAGCTACTGCAGGACCCCGAGAACCCGCAGTGGGCCAACAGCTCCATTGAGTTCTGCGGTGGTGAGTGCTGCCTGCGGTGCTGAGTATTGTGTGTGGTGGTATGCTGTGTGGCGAGGAGTTGTACCCCTCATTTGTATGGTGGTGAGTGCTGCTGGCAATGCAGCAGCTGCTGCAGGATCCGGAGAACCTCCAGTGGGCCAACAGCTCCTTCGAATTCTGCGGTGGTGAGTTGTGCGTTGTGGTGTGTTCTGTGGCTGTGAGTTGTGCCTCTATATGGCTATATATTACGGTGAGTACCGCCAGTGGAGCAGCTGCTGCAGGACCCAGAGAACCCCCAGTGGGCCAACAGCTCTACTGAATCTGCGGAGGCGAGTGCTGCCTGTGGCTGTGAGCATTATCTTCGGAGGCGATTTGTGTTGTGTTACACGTTCATATACCTATACATGTCCCTCCCTTTCGCCTTCCCTGCTCCACACCCTCTCTCCCTTCCCCCTCCCCCAGGCACGCACATCAGCAACACGTCAGAAGCGGAGTCATTCGCAATCATCAGCGAGGAGGGAATAGCCAAGGGCGTGAGGCGCATCATCGCATTCACCACTGCCAAGGCCAAGGAGGCCATTGCCCTTGCCGACCAGTTCGCCACCCGGATTGAGGCGGCCGGCAAGCTGTCTGGGACCGCCCTGGAGAAGGTGGGTTGACTTGTGTTGACCTCTGTTGGCCTTTGTTGACCCCTTGTCCCATTGGAGAAGGCAGCCGCCGGAGCCAACCTGTTGTTGCTGTTACAAAGCACAGCTCAAAGCATCGCTCCTGAAGCTGCATGACTGCCTGCGCCAGGCACACTTGGCAGCCGCCGGGGCGAACCTGAAGCTCGCCATCCAGACGGCTGTGGAGACGGCGGCAGCTCCCAGTGTGTGATAAGTCGAGTTTTGAGTCGACTCAAAACTCGACTTATCACGCACAGAAGGCAGCCGCCGGAGCCAGCCTGAAGCTCGCCATCCAGACGGCTGTGGAGACGGCGGCAGCACCCTGTGTTGCCGCTCCTGCTTCCCTTCCCTCATTCGTTGTCCCTTCCTCCTGCCCCTCCCCACTATGTCTCTCTCTATTCCTCGACGAACAGGAGGTGGCAGCTTTGAAGGGCTCTGTTGATTCAGCTGTGATCCCAGCGGCCTACAAGGCGCAGCTCAAGGCGTCGCTGCTGAAGCTGCACGACCGCCTGCGCCAGGCACAGAAGGCTGCTGCCGGGGCCAACCTCAAGCTCGCCATTCAGACTGCGGTTGAGACGGCGGCAGCGGCGGCAGCGGCGGGGGAGAGTGTGTGTGTGTTGCGGATCGATGTGGGGCTGGATCCGAATGCGATTAGGGAGGCTGTGGTGACGGTGCTGGGGCAGCAGAAGGTGAGTCTTGAGGGGTGGGGAAGAGAGGGAAAACAGGGGATTGCGGTGGGGGGAATATGGTGGTATGTAACGGCAATGGGTAGGGGAGCAAGCTTGTGTGTGTGTGCTGTGTGTGTGTGCGTGCTTCAAAATTGACGGAGGGAGGAGCATGTGTGACCGTGAGGAGGGTAAGGCAGGGTTGGTGGAGGCTTTTATCCCCGACCCGCTCTCCTTAGCCTCGCACCTTCAACCCTTCTCCCCCCTTCCCCTTCCCTCCAACCAGGAGCTGGCGGTGCTGATGGTATCGGTGGATGAGGAGAAGGGCAAGGTGTTGGTGTATGCGGGTGTCCCTGACGCTGTAGCGGCCCGTGGCCTGTCGGTGCTGGAGTGGCTGCGGGCGGCACTGGTGCCTGTGGAAGGCAAGGGGGGCGGCGGCAAGGGCGGGCTGGCGCAGGGGCAGGTGAGCGATCACAGAGCAGAGCCGGGTTAGTGGGGAGGGTACGTTAGGAATGGGAGGGTTGTGGGCATGGGGGAGTGGGAGGTTGGGAGTGAGGAATGGAGTGGACAGGGGGTTGTGGGGTGCTGGCTGGATGCCTTGGCAGCATGTGGGCTGTGTGTGCTGGAGTGGCTGCGGGCGGCACTGGTGCCTGTGGAGGGCAAGGGCGGCAGCGGAAAAAAGGCGGGCTGGCTCAGGGGCAGGTGAGAAAGTCGAGTTTTGGTCCTGTTGGTTTGAGGATAGGTGGGGCATGGGAGAGTTGACTGAGGATAGGTGGGGCATGGGAGTGTTGACAGAGTTGAGAAATATCAAATGTGATGCATGATGGAATTCTCCAGATTACTGTTGCTGGTGCCGTACATCGACAAAACAGGTTTCCAAGTCTATGGTCTGGTTGTGTGCCCCTTACCTATCCTTTTCAGGGCAACAAGGCTTCGGGTGCGAACGAGGCGATGGATGTTGCTAAGAAGTTTGCTGCAGAGAAGTTGGGGAAGTAAAAACACGCCCATGAGATTTCTGGGTGGGACCGTCTGTCTGGCACCATCTTGTGATTATCGTTTGTGTAACTACTCTCACATAACAAGTATTCATACCGTAACACTTGCGACTGTGTAACCTCGGTTTGTTGTGTCGAGTCTTGACTAGTCAGTTTCTGTGCCACCGAGCCGCGGTAGTGGAGGGCGGTTGCCACAGGCCCCAATTCTTTGTCGTTTACCAGCGAGTCGGGAAACCGGAAACGAAAAAGAAGTAGCGAGAGTATCAACCCTTCGCTAAAGCTAGTAAGCGCCGCGTGACGCGGTGGTCCTACGACAACAACCTAAACTCTTCGCCTGCTGGTAACATGTCGGCGATCAACATCTCGAGCACACAAACGAACAAACGAACTCGTCGTTGTCTCGCAGTAGGAAAAAGTTCTCGCATTTTCACTGCGTTCCCCACCGAATCTCGAAGCGCAACCAGCCCAGCAGCCACAACTCACGATTTCCCTTCCCTCTCATCACGTATAAATTGTTTCTACCTCTCTCCACCTTCAAACTCATCTTCTGCTGCTTCTCAGTCTTCTCAACTCATCACTGAACTGAACTTCGACTTTCCAACCATTTCCAACTCAACTCGAACTCTTCGTTTACACTAAACTCCAGCTTGATCCGACGACACGATCATGGCCTTAAAAAATCTCCTCATCGCGTCGTTGTTCGCAGCTCTTGTGATTTCATGTAAGTTGCGGCAAAGAATATCTATCCACGAGTGTCAGCAACAGCGCCACCCTCGTGCTCTAGCACACCCACTACTACATTGAGTCTACTCATCCTTTTTTAAGGTTTTTAAGACATCTCTACTCACTGTTAGTGATTCTAGAAGCTAAAATATGTCCGTGTTCATCCGTTCAGGTGCCGCTCATCGTGGAGGTCGCTTTGGAGGCGGCGGATTCGGCGGTGGCGTGTGGCGTGACGTCATCAGCGGCAAACTCGGCACTCCAGTTGGTTCTCTGAGAGCCTTCATGAACGGATCGCAGGTGCTCGACGCGAGTGGCGCGGCCGTGGGCGACGCGAATGCGACGGGGGTGATCGGGCTGGTGGTGCTGAAAACCGATACAGACTACAACATTCTTTACCAAGCCGGCGTGCGCGTGACGGACGCCGGCCTCCCCACCTCCATCGCCATCAACTCCGCCGCCGCCGGCGCCGGTGGCTCCCCCGTTATTGAGTTCTCCGCTACCGAGGCCGCGTGGCAGAATTACACGTGGAACGGCACCCGGTTCGGGCAGGGCGGAAACGGCGCTGGCGGCGCGTCCGGGCGCGGCGCGGCGCTGAAGGCGGTGCTGCAGGTGTTGGCGCAGTTCTTCCCGAATCTCAACGCCACCGGCACGGGATCCTTCTTCGGCGGGCGGGGCGGGCGCGGGGGTCCGCGCGCCGGGTTCGCTTATGGCTTCTCCGGTGTTTGGTACAACGCGAGCACGATCACCAACAGCGCGGGGCGCAGCTACGCTGACGTGGTGGCCACCGACATGCTCGCCGCGCCCAGCAGCTTCTTCGGCGTGGTTACCACCGACGCCTACGCCGACGGCGTCGTCGGGGGGCCCTTCGCCAACCACACCCGCCACGCGGGCGGTCGCGGCGGAGGCATGCGCGGTGGTAGGCTCGGAGGTTTCCGAGGGTAGGCTGCAGGGTTCGGAAGTGGTGGGGCGTGGTTGGGCGCTGTGAAGATGGTTCGCCTTCTTCGGAGGCGAGGCGGAGGTGAGCTCAATGGATGGCTAGTGGAAGCTAGTAATGAATCTGAAGAATTTCAAGGTAGTTTCGTAGAAGCAGCGGAGGAGGTTCTTTAAAAAAGGGGGATGTGGGAATGAGTGAATGGTGTGTGGAATCAGAGCGCATGGCATGGAGATCAAGTCTGGCGCTTGCTGCCTGCATCAAATACTCGTGGGACAGCCATGCTGATGCAGCGCTAGACTTGCTCTCCATGTCGTTGCATTGTACGGTACGTACCTTTCTATATGTGCCTTCCTGTGCGTTCCATGCATACTCCTTGTATGTGGCTGAGATTTTATGAGAAGCGTCTATTATCACCATGATTCTTGGCAGAGCACAATTGACAATTGATATTAGCAAATTGGACCATGTGTTTCTGACTAAAATTTTCTTATAGCAATCTAGGGAGTGGAGGTGACACCTCTATTTCAAGGCATAGAGGGTTCTTACTGCAAAAGATCAGGAATGAAGGGTTGATACTTCAAGGGGTGCTCAGGAATGAAGGGTTGATTCTTCAAGGGGTGCTGCTCAGGAATAGAGGGTTGATTCTTCAAGGGGTGCACCAACCTTGGATCCATTCTTGCTATGGAGCTGTGCAAAAGGATGTCTGTCTCAGCCACACTTCATTCCAACATGGACTACAGAATGATTTACGTACCTATCTTCCTGGTGGTAACCCTACGGACTGCAGCTGCCCTAGCATGGTGACGTTCCCTACAGCTTATCAATCATCTGCTGACAATCCTCCTCCTTCCCTTCCTTCCCCAGGCCAGCTAACAGTATTCAGGATTATTATAAATCTCACCAGCAGCCACTGCACTACCCCTAGCTGCGCTGCCAGAACGTGTCAGGGGTCGGGCGGGTGAAGTTCGCAAACTGACCGCGGGCAGCTCCATCTGCAAATGCTGCTGTCTTCACAATCCCGAAGTACCCACTCGGATTCGCCAAGAGCAGATTCGCCACCTCGAAATAGCTCTGCCCGTCCGCGTTACTGTACTGCGTGGCATTATACCAAACGCCAGAGAACCCATACACATAACCCGTGCGAACAGCCGGGCGGAAAAACCCAAAGTATTTCGGAACGGGGGCGGCGTGCCTGCGACCGCGAAAGTCCCTGCGCGTGCCGTTCCAAGTGAGGTTGGCCCACGCTGCTTCGGTGGCGGAGAACTCGAGAAGGGCGGCGCCGCTGTCTGCCGAGCCGGCAGCGCCGGTGCGGATGGCGATGGAGAGAGGCGCTCCGGAGGCGGTCAGGCGGATGCTGGCTCCGTAGCGAATGTTGTAGTCGCTGCCACTCCTGATGGGGTGGGTGGTGCAGGGGGAAGGTTACAAGGGAGGAAGGGATGGGTCTGGGACATTCATGGAGTGATATAGAGTGTTGGGTGTGGTCAAGCGGATGCTGACTCCGTAGCGAATGTTGTAGTTGCTGCCACTCCGGATGGAGGTGGGTGGTATGGGAGAGAAGGAAACTACGGATTTTGTTCTGGTACCACCGAAAAACGCGATGGGAAAATATAAAAACTAATGTAGAGGAAATTGATTGGCGATGCGAGGTAGAGTGGCTCACTGGAAGACAGCGAGGGAGATGACGCCCGTGGCATTCACATCGCCAGCAGCACTGGTGATCTCCGTGCCGTTCAGCGTCGCCACCACCGCTCCTAACGGGATGAGCGATGCAGGCGGGATGGGGAGCAGGACGGATGGGGAGAAGGACGGATGGGGAGCAGGAGGGATGGGAACAGGAGGAATGGAACAGGGGAGACACAGAAGTGGAGGAATTACAGTGGAGGGAGGCGAGGGTTGGCGACTGATAGTCAGCATACCGTACGTCTGCGTTGATCTGCACTGTAGGATTCACTGTACAATTCTACAGCGCTGACGAAGGCCTCACGACCCAAACGCGTACGCCTACGTTCTTCACTGAAGTTGGACTTACCTAGTCCTGATTCTTCCATTTTTCCCACTCTAAGTACTCCAAGCTGTTAGTTAAGAATCTTGAGGAGACGTCTACGCTTGCTGCGGTTCGAATCCAAGTCTTCTTGGCGACTGATAGCCAGCATACCGTACGTCTGCGATGAGCTGCACTGATGGCCGTCTCCGTGCCATTCAGCCTTGCATGCTAAGGGGACAGAAACCAGCGAGGCAGAAAATGAGAATGAGTCGGACTCACTCACCCACGCGGGTGCCCAGACCCCCCGTGCCGTTGCGCCGGCCGCCGAAGAAACCGCCGCCGAACCCGCCGCGACCACCTCCGCGTCCGCCTTCAAAGCCTCGTCCTCCGCCACCCCCGCGCCCGCCGCCGCCGTGAGCGGCGCCTGTTGCGGCATTCGGGGAGGAGGGGAACATCGTTCATGGCATCAGAAACAACACATTTTTGGATGCTGCAGTGCAGGTTAGCGGAAGGACCGAAACAAAATGTGTCGTTTGGGAGGGCATGTCCTTGTAACGGGTATCGAGGCGGTGCTTACAAGCGACGACGAGGAGAGCCAGCAGCGACGCGGCGAGAAGGAGGCGAAGAGCCGCCATCGTCGTTATCGCCTTCGTTGATTGGACGGATGAGATTCTAAGGTGCGATGACTCGAGTCCAGGCGAGAATAAGGATTGCTCAATGTGAAGCTGACTGGAAGTCAAACGTTAGTACTAAGGAGGCTAAGATGAGAGGATGTGAAGTTGAAAGTGTTGTTTTAGTCGAGAGAAATGAGACGCTTTTATATTCCTACTATCTGGTAGACCTAGCAGCAATATGTCGCAAGGCTACTGCTCCTCTCTGTGGAGGTTCCATGTCGCATTCTACGAGGCGAGTCGCCATGGGGTAGGCCGCAACAGGCCGCAAAAGGGGAGCTATGCGAGGACTGGTCAGCGGCAAGAACGGCGGTGCGACGAAGCCACGCCGCAGCTTCCGTGATAGGTGTCAGTCGAGCCATCAGAGTGGTAGGTACACAAAAAGCTGTGGAGCACCCACGAGCAGGAACAAAGCAGACGCGAGTGAAAGACGCGGGAAAACCCACTTGCTTACCCGCGGCGCGGTTTCCGCGATCAGCGGCGAGAGATCGTTGAGGAACAGAATCCACTGAGCAGAGACAATTTGCGGGGAGGAGATGGTTGGTCGGTGGAAGGCAGAGGGGCAATGCGAAAAATTGGCTCGCGAGCATGCGACCATTCTACTTTGCGAAGGTGCGACGATCTTCCTACTGACCACTGCGGCTGCTGCTTTGGTCAGAAGCCAACCCTCACAAGGCTGAGCTGACCTGAAACGAGCCCTGAAATATCGGGGAAGCAGCTAGATCCAGGCCATTTTGATTCCTGCTCTTCGGTGACGTATTTGTGGAGGAGCACTTAGTGGCGCTTACAGCGGGAATCATAGCCGGGCACCCATGAGACGATGGGCTAAGTAAAGAGTAATCTTCTAAACTACTCCGCTATACGAGAGTTCTATTGACAACTGAGGTATTCTGATGACGGTGTTATCGAACATCCAAAGATTCTTCCCACCCTTTCAAATTGATTATGCTATAAAAAATACCTCTCCCAGGGATCGCCCATACCTCAGTGTCGTATTTGAAAGGTCCGAATTCACAGGTTCGTGGATCAGGGTGCGTTCCTGGCCCGTGTCAAGCTTCGGGCCTTCCAGGGAAGGCCCAAAGCTTTGGGTCAAACTTCCTATCAAACTTCATGTCTTCCGGAAACAGGGGCAATTTTTGGCCGGAAGACCCGAAGTTGGTCTCGGATGGCCCAAAGTGGGTCCAACTTCCGGTCATCCGCGGATGACCGGAAGCTTGACACTAGCCAGGAACGCACCCTCAGGCACGGTGGTGCTTGCGGCGTAATCATAGCTAGGCCCCATAATGACTCTGGGCTATGTTTCAAAATGTAGGCGGAATTTCAAGGGTACAATTTCGTGACGGGTATCTTCTAAACGTTTCCCTTATACCAAGGCTCTGCATTTAAAAACAAAGACATACCGAGGTATTTTAGTGACGGTATTTGAAGATCTTCCACACCCTTCAAATTGTTTCTATTATTATCTTTAACCCTCTCAGTGATTCCCCACTCCCAAAGACTACCACCCTTTCTACTGTGTCGGCGACGGAAATGTCACAATGCTAGGCCAAAATGAGAAACAGGCAAGAAGAGTTTTGACTAACAAGCATAGGGATACATATATGCAAACCCTAGAAGGGCTGTACTCGCTATAGAGTACCCCACTGCAGGCTAGACAACCATCACATTCTGACACACCCCCATAGTCAAAGTGGGGTACAATCAACATAACAAGCAGACAGAGCAATAGTTCACAATTATAAGCAAAGCTAGAGGCTATCACAGAGGGCAAGTGAGGAGGAGGAGAAACTGTGGGAGCAAGAAGATGAGAGGCGACGGCTGAAGCTGCAGACACACAGGCAGCAGGAGTACGCCGCACTGACGCTACCAGGCTAAACCCGGACTACACGGCGACAGGGGGTCGCAGCTGGCTCGCTGTGCTCCCAGGAGTGCACACACTGTAGCTACCGGGCGCAGAGCCCCGGACTACTCAGGCCACAGGGGGTCGTGGCTCCCTGGACTTCAGGCGCTGCGGACGACAAGTCGACGGCCTCCTCTCAACTTCCCCCAGCTGTCCCACCCCCTTTTTACACACCCCCTGCTGTTCCCCTAGCACCGCTCACACTACACCCCCTAGCGCCACTCCCTCGGCTCCCACACACCCACCCCCCTCAGCGGCAGCTGCAGCAGTGGGAGACGGAGAAGGAGGAGGAGGAGGGGAACGGCACTCAGTGGCTTCACCCCCATACCCCTCACCCCCAAACCCTAATTCAGGAGAACGGGCTGTAGGAGGGGTGGGGCGCCAGTAGAAGCACGGGGGACAGTGGGGAGGGCAGGGGCAGCGAGGAACGGGCCGCCCACGGGCCTGGCATAGCCGCCCGAACCGCGCGCAGGCGGCCCGAGCCGCGCGCGGGCCTGGCGCTTCCCGTACGGGCCGCGCGCGGGCCTGGCGCAGCCCGTACGGGCCGCGCGCGGGCCTGGCGCAGCCCGTACGGGCCGCGCGCCGGCTGTACGGGCCGCGCGCAGGCCACGACGGGCGACGGGGGGCGACGCGCGGGTCCCCGTCGCCCGTCGCAGCGCCTCCCGGGGGCGACGCGCCGAGTGACGGGGCAGAAAACCGCCGCGCGCCCATCGCTGCGCGCCCGGAGCGCGCGGCAGGCAGGAAACAGCAGGAAACAACAGCGGAAGCTTCTGGTGGGACCACCCACAGGATCGACCCAGGAGGGTCGACCCGCTCTGATAGCATGTCAAAATGCTAGGCCAAAACGAGAAACAGGCAAGAAGGGTTTTGACTAACAAGCATAGGGTGTCAAATGTTGTAGCCTATAGTGAGGTTTGTCTTAGGGGGTACAAAACTTAGGGTTAGCTATATGTACCCCAACCAACATCAATGCATCATCCATTCTTCATTTTGACATGGTATCAGTTAGGTTAGGATCCTGTGGGATCCCGTTCCTCCGTTCTCCGTTCGAGCCTCCCGAGCCTGATCCTAGCTCTCATTCGTCCCGGTTCCGTTGTTACCGCGCGTAGTGCCGAGCCTAGCGCCACCCGTTCCCCTCGTTCCGTAGCGCCCGCCCTTACCCCCCGTCGCGTCGCGTTCCCCCCCCACGTCGTGTCGCGCCCGTTCCCCCCGTTGCGTCACCGCCCATTCCCCCCGTCGCGTCGCGCCTTTTCCCCCCGTCGCGTCCTGCCCGCCCTTTCCCCCTCGTCGCGTCCCTTTCCCCCCGTCGCGTCCTGCCCGCCCTTTCCCCCCTCGTCGCGTCCCTTTCCCCCCGTCGCGTCCTCCCCGCCCTTTCCCCCCTCGTCGCGTCCCTTTTCCCCCGTCGCGTCCTCCCCGCCCTTTCCCCCCTCGTCGCGTCCCTTTCTCCCCGTCGCGTCCCGCCCGTCCTTTCCCCTCGTCGTGCCCCTTTCCCCCCGTCGCGTCCCGCCCGTCCTTTCCCCCCCGTTGGGTCCCTTTCCCCCCGTCGCGTCCCGCCCGTCCTTTCCCTCCGTCACGGCCCGCCCCTTCCCCTCCTGTAGCGGCCCGCCCTTTCCCCTGTAGCGGCCCGCCCTTTCCCCTGTAGCGGCTCGCCCCTAAACCCAGCCCGTCGTCTTAACCCTAGCCTGCTCTTCCGCTGCCACTGTATCCCTAGCGTTAGTTCTCGCTATGGCGACTCCGCGTGTGCTTCGTTTCGACGCTGACGGTAGACCTCTTGATTTTTCCGTCTGGCTTCTTCGTGCTCGCCGTCTGTTAGAGAGTCAGGTCCAGGCAGGCGAGACCCTCTGGGCGCACGCTACTGGTGCCCTACCTGCGCCCCCCGACCCTACGCCTTTAGGACCTGCCCCTGACGAAGCCGCTAGAGCCCGCTTTGCCACTCAGCGAGCTGACCAGACGGCTTGGACGTCACGTGACGCTGCGGCCTGCATCGCGCTCAGCAGCCTCCTCCCTGAGTCTGAGGAGGTTCACTTCACTCAGGTTCGCACCGCTGCTGAGTACCTCACTGCGATTAAGGCCCGCTACTCTTCTCCCGCTGCTGTCTCTCTTGGCCGCCTGTTCCTCCCGTTCCTGTTTCCTGACCTAGCGTCTTTTGAGCGCTCTGCTGACTTGATCGCTCACCTCCGCTCGCTCGACGCTAGTTACCGCGCTGCTTGCACTGAGGCACAGCTTGCACTGCTTCCTCCCCCTATGGCGATTACTATCTATTTCATCGCCACTAGCCTCCCTGACCGCCTTGCCTCCGTTCGCGACGCGCTTCTGCTGAAGCACCCTAGTGAGCTCACCGTCGATGTCCTTGAGTCTA